GGATCGGGGTAGGTTCACAAGGAGGGAATCCCGAGGGTGTAGACATACCATGCGAAACATGTTGGATACAAAGGCTTTCATCGGCTTGGGCTGCCACATACGATAAGAGAGAATGTGAGCTGGTTCTGAAGTTCAGGAACGCTGGGGAAAGGTCGGTGTGGAGTGAATATGCAGGAGGAGAACAGGAGCTTTTTGGATCAGTCCGCAGCTCACACGCTCTGTATTCGGCTGCAATGGGTGGACACTCTGAACGACGATCAATAGGTGGTAGGCAAGGTGGGAAAGCTGTTGTGTTGGGTTTCGCACGAGAGAGTAGTTGGGGGAAGCGAGAAGAGCTACGTCATCTCCTCCCTTGGATCACACGTGATGGTGATGGTGATAGCTCTGCAACTCTCCGTCTCGCCATCTCGCCATCCCGGCATGCGACGGGCACGACGGGGCAACAAGCCACTCACGCGTCCTAAAGGAAACAATCCTCCTGAGCAATTCTGCACGCTGAGCTCGTCCTTTCCTTTCTCAGTTTCTTTTATCCTGTCGTTTCCTGCTCGACGCTTCTCTCCTCCTGCGCACTTCGGGCCTTCAAGCCACGGACCACATCCTCGTGCAATGTTTCCCGAGGCGAGAAATATCCGGGCGACCTTCTCCTGCGGTCATCACACAACACAACCACAGAATGCCTTGACAGTTTGATGAGATGCATAGACCGGGAAGTTGTTGTTTTTGGTGATTGCAAGAGTCAAGGCCCTGCGGAATAGGGGGAACTACTCTGAAATCACATGCATAACCTCGTGGCAATCGCTGAGGGCAACAACTACTACGTCCTTGATGCTTATGGAAGGCGAAAGACATGGAATATGGGAGACAAAGAATGAAAAGATCTAGATGCTGGCGATCTAGGAGGCCAACACTCATTCTATCCTCAGGCTGAACCAGTGAATCCTGGGGGCTGGATCTGTGCATGGGGCGTGGGCTCATGGTGCATATGTTGGGGGTCATTTCCTCTAGTACTAGCCCATGTAGATGGACGATTGTCTTACTTGCAGTGATTTAGAAATCCATTCACGGGCGTAGACCTCTTGAAATTGGGGAATGGCTGGAGACGCGATGCCCATAGTGTACCGAGTATTAATAGAGAACGGCGCAATCATGAATCCGTGCTGGGCATCCTTCCGCCGGGGGACTTGGCAGCCTTTATCACCTTTTCAACCTCATGCCTCGCAACCTCTCCAAGTCTCGCCACGTCCCCATCCAGCTTCGAAAGTTGAGCAACTTTTGGGTTCCTTGAGAACGGATGCGACCATTACCCTGATGAGGGGGCTTTGCGCAAGTCACGAACAACCACGTGGTCCAAGAACGATACGGCTTTCTTGCAGGGTAAGATCAGCCGATGTTATACGTGGAGGGGAGCAAATTGCTCTTTTCTTCCATCTTCCTGCATGAAAGCGAGTCCCGGGTATGACATATTTGTACTCCCAGGTTAGATGTCTCTCGTGCTGACAGCTTGATTCTGATCAGTTGAAGGAAGAAACCCAAAAGCCCGCGGAAATTGTGATGAAAACGTCGCCTCTTGATCAGACACCATCATCATGAGCATCAAGGGCGGAGACCAGCCTCGACGGCCACTGGGTCTTCTTGACCTCCCAGCAGAGGTCCGACATCAGATCTATGCGCACCTATTTTGCCACAAACCCTCGCCTATCACATTGGGCTTCCACGACTTCTTCACAAAGTGGGCGGCGACGTGGTCGCCGTTCGAAGGCGAGCAAGAAGCGCCGCACGAGCCGACCTTTCACACGGCCCTGTTTCGCGTGAACAAGGCCATCTCCCGCGACGCGCTTCAGTTTGCGTACGGCGCCAACTCGTTCCGCTCCGACAAGGACATCCAGACGTTTTGCGCCCTCGGTCCCGTCGCGCTCGCCTCGATCAAGACCCTGCGCGTCTACAGGAACGCCTGGCTGAACAGCTCGTACGCCACCTCCTTCTGGCGGACCTTGGACCAACGCTGTCCCGGCCTCGAGCTTCTCGTCGTCGAGGCCGCATCCCACATCTTGTTGGCGGCCATTCCCTACCTCAACGACTTCATGGCCTCCATCCCCCGAGGCCAGCGCAAACCCAAGCTGGTCCTCGATCTCAACGTCTGGGACCGGCATTTTTCCTTCGACTTCCCAGACCGCGACTACCAGAGCGCCTTGCAGGATTTGCGACGCAACATGTTGGAGAGTGACTGGAAGGAGTTTTTGGATCCTTACATTTACGTGATGCGCATGCCGAGGCATGTCCAAGAAATCCGGTTCGCCTTGGATCTCGGGCCCGGGGCGCTCAGAGCTCTGGAAGAGGTTCTGAGGCAATCCACCGACCTTTGCTTTGTCGAAGCCGACCAAGCCTCGTCAAGCACTGGCGGCCACCTTGCAGGTCGTGGAAAATACCGCTGCTTGGTCTGGAAAGAAACCGGTGAATAGTTGGGACGCGTCGCCCGCTTTTTCTCGTTGAATCATTCTCAACTCAGGTGTTCTTCGCTACCGTGGGAAAGAGGGAATGAAGTCGTGGCACATCTGATCATGGGATCCTGCGTCAGGAACTATGTGTGATTCATGCCAGCAGCACATGCCTTAGGGCAAGAAACACCATCCACATCAAGAGACGAGCGTGGTTGATACACCGAGGACTCCGGAACCCGCCTGGCATACTTGTAAGCATTGATGGGTCGCCGGTGGCACCGTGCCTGGCCTGGTATATGTGGCTTTGGACGGGGAAGCACTCCCGAGCACAATATGCTTTGGAAGCAAACAACTAATAATGCACGAGCACTCCGTACAGTGCAGGCCGGTTGAATTATGACTATCTAGAATCTAATGTTGATGGTGTAGCTTTCACCATCTGCCAACGCCCTCGAGACCAAGAGACGCCTCGCCAGTTGAGGCTGCCTGTTGCTCTGGTCGGAAACTTCGCACCTCTAGTGAGCAGGGCTTTGCAACACCCCGACCCAGTTGCCAAGGCGGCAGGAAAGAAATTGACGGCCGCTCAACGTGTGAAGTTGTGGGTATCAGCGTCTGCTTCGGTCACTCAGCGATCCGGGCCCAGACTGCCGTAAGGCTGAGATGTGGCCGAAAGGTCGGAGCGAGCTCTGGTCGAGGCTGTGGCGCTCGGATGCCAGGATTTCTCGCCTCCTCGTCGGTACTTTTCTTGCGGGTAACCGGGGTCGGGGAAATAGCTCGAGTCAAAAAAAAAGGGGCGCCGGTCGGAAGCCCACCAGCAACACTTCAGCCCTCGCAAGTTGAGGTTAGACTCAGAAGCCACCAGGAGCATAAGGTTTGTGGCAGAGACGTGACGTGACGATCGCGACTGTGTTTACGTCCGACGTCTCGACCTCATGCCTCGAAGAGCGACGATCAAGCTTTCCCCGGCACCGATTCTAGCAAACATCCAGCGTCCCTTCTGCGTGGGTGGTGAGAATGGGCTAGTCGACATTTCCCGCACAATTGGAATGGAACTATCAGCTCGACCCATGGGCCTGGCGTCTGCACCCTTTGGATTGCATCGAGACATCAAGGGACAGCTCAGAAAAGGGATCGCAGAAATAAAGCCCGATACGTCAGAACCAGGAGTCGGGCACTTTGGCAATGCCATGTGCAACATTTGCAGCTCTTGCCGTGAAACCGATCCACTTTCCTCCTGTCCGCGACAGAGTTGCTGTTCGTGAAGCCGCATGCAGATTCCCGAAACATGTAGTTGATGAGCATTGGTCTTTGACTTCTGGCAGAAAAAGCCGAGATTGCAAGACTCCAGTGATAGTCGCCTCAGCCCTGAAAGCTTCAGGCGCAGTGAGGCAATAGGGGCTGACGAATGCTTAGGCTCCACTCATAGTCCGCACATAGATCTATTGATTGCAAGATCCAGAAAACACGTAAAGAAGAAAATGAATCGGCAAACAGCACGCAATGCGGCCAGCGGATTCCCAAGTCCGGGAACTCAAGAAATGGATGTTTCTGTACGTAGCATATGCGAGTTAAGCGATTCGTTGGCGGCAAAGGACCGTAGGTCGGAGGATTCAATTTCCGACATGTTGCTTGACTCGAGGTCTAGACTTTTGGGACAGGCTGGGAGGGAGGCTGAAAATCTGCAACATGCCCATGGCCTGAGATGCGTTTGACTTCGAAACGTCAGTAAGGCTGTAAAGGGACGGAAAATTATACCATGGTATCAGGGAGTTTCCTTCGGAAAACGCCAGGAGGGTAAACCAATAGCGCACTATCAGCCCAATGAGCCTGCCGGAGCGGAGCAGCCCCAGAAACCCCGGCAAGCGGGTGTCAGCAACGAGGTCGAGGACGCGATCTGCAGGGGCAGCTTTGGGCGTCTTGCAAGCGGTATAGCGGTTCGCTTAGGGAGGTCCACAATTGGCTATCCCCTAGAGCTGCTGCTCATCGAGTGCCCACAAGGGCCCCTTCTGAAAGCCCGAGCACTTGGTTTGCCTCGTGACAAGCCAAGCTCTCCGAAATTGCTCCTGGAGTTTAGGGGATCAGGTTTGACGTAAAGCGCTTACTGAGCTCAGGGCCAGGAGCGAATCGCATGGAGAGCTCGGCCACGCGACTGACCAAAACACCCCCAAAATGAATGCCTGAGTAATGTTCGATCTTTTCGATCAGCGAAGATGGGAGAGAAGTGTAATAATAGTCGGCGATAACCAGAGTGATCAACAGGGGGGCGATCTCTGACAGACAGCCACTTGAGATGTGCGCGGTGATCTTGGAGCCCAGCTTGGCCATGCACAACGGCGGGCGTTCTCTTGTAGAGGGCGGCCTCAAAGTTCCATTGGAAGGTTTGAAGAGCCCGTTTTGCGTCTTCGCATGAATGTGTCAAAAGCGTGGCAGCCTCAGGGCGCTGAACAGATCGATCTGTCGAAGGGCAAAAGGGCTGGCTGGCGCCGCCTAGTTCACGGTGGCTGTTTCTACAGCACGATTATGGCTGGCTGAACTTCCAGGAAGAGCAGCATGGTCTGAATGTGGGTGGAGCGTAGCTGGATTGGATTCAGCATGCAGGTGAGGGACAAGCAAACGCCCAGCAAGCGTGCTCGACGCTCCGCCCGATCAACTCACGAAGCCTTAGGGGCATCGGAAAAATGAGGTGGCAGCCACATGGCACTGGAAATTGCTTGATCCGCTGCCAGAGTTCAGGTCGCTTGAAAGTGAACCGCCGAATAGGAGACGGCACCAATGCATGCGCCGAGGACTAGCCCAGAGCTAAAGATCGTATTACTGCCCGTCAGTCGGCCAAGGACCATTGGGGTTGTGGGTTAAGCGGTCGCTGATGAAGGAAGCTTTAACCCCAAACGTCTGTGCACACAATGGCTGACAATTGCCTGTACATCTTGTCTAGAGCCAGAGACTGTTGGCAACGCAACCATAGGACAGAGGCCTCGAGCAGGTCTGCTCGGCATATCACCCTCATATCGAGATGGCGACTGTGCACCATGACCTATTTTGACGAGAGCCGAGGAAGGAGATGTCTGGTCAACGTGACAGCTTCGGCAAGAGTTGTAGTGGTGGGGTGTGCACTTCAGGTCAAAACCTCGGATCAGAACAAGGGAGCTTGACAGAAGCCTAGTTGTATCAACCCATGTCGGGAAAGATCCGGGCACGGTTTTGAGGAATGTACCTTGGGAACGGTAAGGTGTCGAGGGTCTCGGCAACTGTGGCTCGTGGTCGCAAGGGAAACCCCCTGAAACATCCTCTGATCAACGGCGAGGCCGTGAAGGTTGGTAAGGTGATGTCCTTTGCGGCGAACAAACAGTGCCAGAGGTTTATTCCTTTTTCCTCTCTTGTACTTTTCTAAGCCCGGCTGGGTTAGGTCGGTGATGCACTGGGGAGGGTGAGAGATCGATAAAGAGGATAGCTCTGGTTTCTCGCCTAGCTAGTGAGCCTGGTGAGGAGGAAGGGTGGGCACTGAGCAGACTAGGTCCAAGTGCGAGTCGATGGGTTGCTGCTGGCAAAAGAACCGTAGGTACGGGGTATTGGGCGAGAAGGTTTACCTAGGATGGAGCCCTGTCCCAGGTCAGTTGTAGTTAGCACGGTCAAGATAAAGACACACAGACCATGGGCGGGCCAAATGACCAGGGCTAGGATACATGTCGGGAAAGGATTTTCCTTGGAACAGGTGATGAAAATAATGGGGAGCGGGAGAGGAACCAATTTTGACGCAGGGTGGACACTTCAGATGAACGCCGAACACGAGGCAATATTACAGAGTACAAGGGGGGAATACAGCGATGTGAAAGGTACAGAGAATGGAGGGAGAAGAAATGCCAAATAACCGTGATAGGGAATTTCAAAGATACCACAGGAACCATGACGAGTTGGTACGTGGTTTTGGCACCCCAACGCCCACACAGTGGTTAGTCCAAGGAGTGGTACTGTAGCGAGTCGTGACTAGTTAGAATTGATTAGGCAGGTGCAACATGTTGGAACCTGGACATATGGGCACTGGGGGGGACACTGGGACGCCTACGAACAAACCCCGGGGATGAGTATTGCCGTCATGTGCTCCGAGTGACACAATACTAGGCCACACACTAGGTACTCATAGGTAAGCAAGTCAACCGGCTCTAGGTGCTGGACAGGCGGCCCAGGCAAGAACACAGGTCTGAAATTATGGGTAAATCCAGGTAAACCCTATGGTAAAAAAAAAAAACAGTTTGGAGAGGGGGCTGCTTTTCGGTACTTGCTCGCAAGGCACCTCCCTACTACGAGTACAGACATTCCATGGTACAGTAAAGTTGGCCCCGTCTTTCCAGGAGGAACAAGTCGTGCCGGGAAAGCATCATCACTTTCTTCTCGGTAGTCCCAGGAGTAACCGCGGTCAGCTTCTCAATACCTCCTCCTGCTACTACTGAGGCACCCCCTCCCCAAGCGCCTGCATAGAGTACTGTGCCAACAAACCCACCCCTCCAACTTCCCAAACCTCCCCCCCCCCTCCTCTTCCCTTCTACTGCTACTTGACAGAAAATTCTCCACCAGCAGCACGCAGAGACTCATCACACTCCCAATGCCTCCAGTGCTAAGCCGGTTCCAGCATAGGCGTGCCTCAGGATCCAATTTCTCGCGATCCCGTTTGGGAATCAAACTCTGGGTGCAGCGCTCGGTCCAGACTGTTGTGCTGCTTTTTTTCCTCCTTCTCGTCAACCACCAACACCAACACCACCGGAAACTGAGACCCCAGCCGACGGGGACCCATGTCAAGCCCATCCCATCGATTGCTCCTCTTCCCCTACTCGTCCTCCTAAAACACGTTCCTTCGTTCAGACCGCAGTTCACCATCTTCTCGCTTTCCCTCCCCCTGGCTCCCTGTCTCGACTCTTAGCCTCTTCCGTGTCCCGCCCACCATCATCCCTGACCAAAACTCTCTTCTCCTCTGCCTGCATGACCACTACTGACCACTGACCAGATGGCCAGCTCCACACCTTTGTTCACGCCAGTGTGCCCTGGCAATCAGCAATCAGCTCTCTGCCCGACCTTGCTCACACCTCCAAGCCTATCCTGTTCAGCGTTAAAGGGCAGAAAACACGTCCCCCCACCCCGTCCAAAGTCTGCAGCCCGCACAGCAGCGCCCATCGCGACCATACCCATCACATCCTAGCACCTCCTGACTCCGCTGTCCGTTTTCGACCAGCTCTCTTCTTTTTAGGCGACGAAGGCGACAGGCCCGTCCAGCCAGCCGGCCGCCAGCTGCCCGCTAAGAACGCCATGTGCTCCCGACCAAAAGGATCGCGACCTCGAGTACTCTTCAATCTTTGAAATCGTCCCCGAACTGCCCTCATAGCCTGATTTCAAAATCCTTCTCTCATCCTCTCCTCGTCTGCGTGTGAAAACACCCGACCTCCACGCCCGCCCGTCACCGTTACTTCGTTCCAGCTCTGAGGTATTGACTGAGGTCACACTATCCTCCTACCACATCCCCTCGCACGACCCAGGAGGAGCACTGTCACTATCGGTCTTGGTTGACTCCGTGCAGATCTTTTCCCTCGATTATCTGAAGAAGGCCCATTGACCATAAAAAGCCCCCCCCGACCACTGAGAAAGCCGCGCAAGTCAGCCGCGTTCCCAGTCCAAGAAACTGATCTTCACCCGCGAGTACTCCACCACCCTCCAACACTTTCTACCAAGTTGCCAGTCTGCACCGCGTATAGGCGCTGTTGAAATAGATCACATAAACCTGGGGCTTTTCTCGAGAACATCAAGTTGAACCAAGATATAAGTTCAATCCGAACCGTCGCGATAATCGATGCCACACCCATTTTGACTCACTCCTTCACACAACGACACTCGGTCAAGAACAGCCGCCTCCTTTTCTGCCCTTTGTCGCCAACATCGCCGGGAACAAGACGGGAACGAGAATCATCGATTTCTCGCTAGATCAACCTCTTTCGGCGTGTTGATTCTCATATCTCTTTCTCAGAAGCAGCGGATCCCGCATTGAATCCCTCCCCCATCAGTCACTCTGGCGTCTGTCGCAATTCCCCTTCCAATGGGGACAACCCTCGATGGCCTCACCACACCTTCTAGCCTGAGCCAGCGCAGGCAAGCCGCCTTTAGCCTCGAGCTCCCACCTCCGACCACTCTCCAGTTTAACCCAGTGGTATCGAGTCAGAAATTCCCTCCTCTCTCAGGCATCAATACCTCTCACGCCGTGCCCCCGATCAACGTGGGACAGCTTCTGACGCCTCCGTCCAATTCGGCCTCAGATAGTAGCGCTGCCTCATCCGCCATTCCCACGGGAACGACTCCAAATAGCGCAGCAGGTCCAGTACTGCCCTATACGCCCACGCTATTCGGAACAGGGAATACGCCGACAGGGTATCACACGGGCTTCACACCTCCCTCCTGGCAGAACTCATCTCTTGTTTCCGGCCGATCTGTTTTTTCGCCAATGCCAGGAGCCTCCTTGAGGAACAGCACCAACTCACCCACAGCTGGGGAGGCTTCCGCATTGCCACCTCCGCCCTATGACCTCCATTCGGTGCAGCCGTACGGCGCCTCTCTGCAGCTCTCTTCTCCTACAAGTGTTTCCCACGCTACGGCACAGCAGAGCATCATATCACCATTGCCAAACGGTGTGAGGCCACCCAGCCAGCAATCCCCTGTCACACCGGGAGATGGAGTCAGTAGAGCTGCATCAAATCCAGCCCTGTATGCAACCATGACAACGACGGCTCAGCCTCATCCTGGGTATCATTATGCATCTGCAACTCCGGTATCACAAAGCTCTCATCCTCATTCCCTTTCTGCCCCCCGAGTCTCGCCGCCGCTCCATCAAGGACCTCAACCTCAGGCTCCCTTCATGCGCCCTCCCCCGCCTTCGTATTCGTTGCCTGCCATGCCTGGCCCGATCATGTCCAACGTCCACAGCCCCGGCGCACAAATGGCCATGGTAGGCAATATGCAGACCAATATGCTGCCCATGGCCTTCAATAGCGGCTATGCCGCAAATCCTCAAACCATGTATGGCCAGCAACGTAGCAATACGCCTCAGCAACAACCAATCCACGATCGGCCTTTCAAGTGCGATCAATGTCCGCAAAGTTTCAACCGCAACCATGATTTGAAGAGACATAAGCGGATCCACCTTGCTGTCAAGCCTTTTCCTTGCAGTCACTGCGACAAGAGCTTCTCTCGCAAGGACGCGCTCAAAGTAAGTAGTGATGACTGGGCTTGATTGCGACTAGACTAACGTGTGTCACAGCGACATATCCTTGTCAAAGGCTGCGGTACTGGCAAGCCACCCGATGCTATGGCCAGAGAGGACGGTGTTAAGTCCGAGTCTGGTAGTGATGGCATCAACGAAAGCCCAGCAGCTGCTCCCGCAGCTTAATCAGGCGTCACCCCTCGCTTCACTGATTGCATATTATCACTTTCATTGAGCGACTGTACAATATTTGATCTTGGGAGGCCCTAGTCTAGTGGATTTTCTTTTCATTCAATGTTTTTGGGTTATGACTTGATGGATGGCAGAACGCCAGCGACAGGCGGAATGAGACGGATGGATTTTGATGGAATTCTATTGCTAGGAATGGGCATTTCTGATATACCATTTTGTTCATTATACCCAGCGGAATGGCATGACAGGACAGGGCTATACTGGTGACTTTTTCTGGCAGGGCGTGTGGTTGTGAGCATGACAGACTCAGGTCGGGCATCAGCGGACACTCCAAAATTTCTGACAGAATCAATACAGCTTTAATGAATATATTTTGGTGGTGGTTCGAGATGACGATGCCTGGTGCGCTGTACCCATGGAGGCCCTGCTGCCATGACACCGCGAAGCCACCTTGAGGACTTTCCCGGTGATTGACCGGCGCGGCCAACTGGTGCCAGGTCTTTTATGATGTAGCCACTGTCCAGTTTCGTGTCTGGGAAGATCCCTGTAGACCACGCGAGGGTGGCTTGATTTGGGATGGCGAGATGGCGCGAGCCTCGCTTGCGGAAGAGGCGCCGACAGCCACGCCCTCGCAGCCCCTTTTCTCAGCCTTCCCATATCCCCGAGTCTCCATGAGTGTGGGGAAGCCTGGATCACGTGCACCACACGGCTGACCCCACCTCCAGCGGCCAGCGAAGCGAGCGAGGGAGCCACCGAGCCACCTGGCCGCCTGCACCTGGCTTGCTGCACTGTGGATTCTCTCGCTCTCTCGCTCTCTCGCTCTCTCGCTCTCTCGCTCTCTCGCTCTCTCGCTCTCTCGCTCTCTCACACCTCTGTGCCTCCCGCAAGAACGCAGCCAACATGCCTTGTGCCGTGCGATTGCCTTCGAGTCCCATTTCCTCAATGTCCTCGACACAGAAGCAATGCAATACCACCTTGCCCACCTTGCCGGAACCAGGAACCGTCCAACCACATGGTGAACCACGCGGGACGGCCAGACAGCTTTGTACAGCCACTTGTGCCATCCTTGGCTCCCTCATCTCGCGTGGTGCCCAATGACCCTTGAAAGGTTACACGATCGACACAGTTGACAGACACGCGGAAGACAAACTGCGCTTCAGGAAGAGCAATGGATCGCGAGAAGCTGAGCGAGTAGGAACACTCCTCAGCTTGGACACGCACACAATCAAACACACCCACACACACGCTCTGTCTCTCTGTCTCTCTCTCTTTTCTTCTGCTACGGCCTCACCCTCTCCTTCCTTTCTCTCTCGCGGACTCCGGCAGGATGATCAATGATTGGCGGTAGCCGACAAGGTGTGGTCAGGGCCAGCCACCATGGCGGTACCGAACAACAAAAGCCAATTTGACTCAAGACGCATTCCAATGTCCACGTTCATGCCAGCCGTCCAGATGCAGGTAAGTGCAGGCTTGTCCTTGTGTCATTTGCTGCAGCCAAAAGTTTACCTTGCAGCTGTTAAGCGAATGGCTGCTCAAATCAGCATCGCGTTCGCTCCCTCTTTGCTGCCTCTCTTCGGTCGTCGCTCTGCCTCGTACGTCAAACTCACAGCGGTCATGTTTTGCAAACACAAACCCCGCCCTGGAAACCCACGTTTTGCCTGCAGGCTGCTCTCACACGGTACAACAGTCAAAGACAGTCCGTGTATTCCCCGATCGATCGGCGCTACCTCGTACCACACTGGAGCTCCACATATCGATCTCGCAGATCGACTACTCCGACCTCAGATCGAACCTTGTTTCCAACCCATCCTTTCTCTCGCGTCACGCCATGATGCTTGCTCTGCTACCTTTGTCCTGCTTCAGCCACAAATCGGCCCTTCCACCAATCCATCCGTGCCCCTACATTTTGACACCTTGCCAGCGCCCTGCGGGCCATGTCCATCCTTCCATTCACCCTCGAGTTTCTCCAAGGTTCGAGCTTGGTTCCCGGATGCCACCCTTTTGTGGCTCCGCTTTCTCAAGACCTTTCCCAATGATTTCATGATAACTTATCCTTGACTGCATCGACACCCAGCAGAATTAGTCTCGTCAGCCATGTTCCTCCTGCACCATTGGTCCCTCGCCCCTCAACTCGTGGATGGCATACGAATCTAGGTACTCTCTGCCTCTACGCCCATCCTGGCCGATCACATCCACTACCTGAGAAGGCTACTGCTCTGCCATTTGTCGCCAGCTGATTAGCTACGATCATTGACTCGTCACTGAGCGCCCCTCCTGTCAATCTCTGTCTTCTTTTGCGAGTCCTTCACGATTCGCACTTTCCATAGGCTCGGCCCCCAAGTCTCTGTTGCCAGGTGCCCCTGTTCTCCTCAGACACTTCCATAAATCCACCGCTCAGCCTGCAAGAGAAGCTTCTCGTCGACACAGCTTCTACGCCTTCTTCTCGCACGCCTGGGTATCGGTTGGAAGTCTTGAGGTTGCAAGGCCATCGCTCGAGTCATATTCAGATCTCACAGTCCGGTATTCGCCTGAAGACAGGGCTATTTCATAAGCGAATAAGGCTCTGGCATTGCAGCTGGCCCAATGACCGCCCATCGTGTCCTGATATACTTGTTGCGACGAGACCTCCGACTTTCAGATAATCCCGTCTTCCACGAGATCCATCAGCTTTCCCAACAGGCACAAAGGCCCTTCACTCACGTTCTCCCTGTGTATGTTTTTGCCGCCCAGCAGGTTGAGGTCTCTGGGTTTCTCTCTGAACCTGGCGCCAAGTCACCGTTTCCCGAGGCTCGTTCAGAGGTGGGAAAGTTCTGGAGATGTGGACCTCCCAGAGCCAGATTCCTCGCCGAGTCGATTTGGGATCTCAAATCTCAACTCGAAGGTGTGGGTAGTGGCCTCTGTATCCGCGTCGGCCTTTTAGGCCGAGTTGTCGAAGACATTCTGGACCAGTTCCGTCAAGCTGAGGACGTGTCTGTTTCGGCGGTATGGATGACAGAGGAGGAAGGGGTGGAGGAGAAGCGAGAGGAGCGGGACGTGCGCAAAGCTGTTGAGAAGTTCGGGGCAAGTTTCCGATTGTGGCTGGACGAGAAATACTTCATCGATGAGTATGCATGCACAAGCGACGGGACATTTCGCAGGACTGACTCATCATAGCCGAGATTTGCCATTCGATAAGCCCTCTGATCTTCCGGATGTCTTCACGAGCTACCGGAAGTCGGTAGAGCCGTTAAGAGATGCGCCACGAAAAACCCTCCCTCCACCACCATTGTTGCCGCCGCCACCAAATTTCACGCCGTTGCAGTCCCGTCCGTTCTCGATACCTGACACATTCGAGACATTGGAAGCGGCGCTGATGAAACCGTTGATGGCCAGCCCTCCTCTCTCCAAGCCACCCCCTTTCCCGTCTTCAGGAGTCGCCTCTGCTCATCCTTTCCATGGGGGCACTGCGGAAGGACTGAAACGCCTACAATTCCTCGTTCAATCGGGAGCCATGACTAGATACAAAGATACACGCAACGGCCTGTTAGGAACAGATTTCTCCACCAAACTTTCCGCTTGGCTGGCGCTCGGTTGCATCACCGCGCGCCAGGTACACTTCCAACTGCTGGCCTTCGAGGACGGCCGGGATGACCGATTTCAGGGCACTGAAGGCTACGGGAAAGGTGAGAACTCAGGCACTGCTGCTGTGCGCTTTGAGCTCTTATGGCGAGACTATATGCGGCTGTCTGCACGCAAATTTGGGTATCGGTTATTTAGGCTCGAGGGGTTCCGGAACGACCGCTCTTACCCTTGGAAGACACCTGGCAGCAAAGGAAGCGGCCCAGAAGCGGCGGAGATGTTGGACCGATTTCTGCGTGGCACAACGGGGACATCCTTCATCGACGCCAGTCAGCGGGAACTCTTCCACACGGGCTACACAAGCAACCGAGCACGACAAAACGTGGCGAGCTTCTTGGCCAAGCACTTGGGCATGAATTGGAAGTTGGGAGCCGAGTGGTATGAATGCATGCTGACCGACTACGACGTCAGCTCCAACTGGGGCAACTGGCAATACGTGGCTGGGGTGGGGAATGATCCTCGAGGCGAAGCCAGGGTGTTCAATCCCATCAAACAAGGCTGTGACTACGATCCCCAAGGTGAGTATTGCAAGGCTTGGGTGCCAGAGCTGCGCGGTCTGAAGGACGCGCAGGAAATATTCCAGCCATGGAAAGTGAGCAAGGAAAGGAGGGCCGAGTTAGGGCTCGATGGGCTCGACACGGTTGAGCGACCACTCAAGAGGATTGACTTCAAGGTGGGCGGCAAAGGTAAAGGCGGCGGCAGTGGCAGCGGCAGTGGAGGTGGCCGGTATGGAGGGAGTTGTCGAGGAAGAGCCAACGGTGGAGGAGAGAGGGGCCGAGGGCGAGGCAGCGCTCATTTTGTGGCAAGGGGAGGGTATCGCGGGCGAGGGAAGAGTGATGCAGGTCGCGAGCAAGGTCGTCAGGGGAGAGAATAGAGGGCAAGGCCGGTCAAGTGAAGGGGATGGGCGTTGGAGGATACTGCCAGGGGAGATGTATCTCGGTATCTAACAGTTCTTTGATTTATGATTTCTCCAGACCTGGGTGGGAATAGGGATGAGGACAGATGCCATTGGATGGACGGGGACTTCGGGGGGGATGTGTTGTCTCTGGACCGGTATCAGTTCTTCACGTCTGTGTATCGGCAGCAGCCTGTTGTCGCCAGCGTCGTCATCACCATCATCATGAACGAAGGAATGCTCCGACGGTGGCATGGGACAACCAATTGGACCGTCGGGGATATTGACCAGTGACTGGAGGTGGATTTGCTGACTTTGGACACAAGCGAGCAGACTAATATGAGGACGTGGACAAGGGCAGTATTCGGCAGAGTCGACATAACGAGTAATAACATTAACCCGCTTTATGTTGGTTCACAATAATCATAGTGGCTAGACTGTACGAGTAGCAGAGAATTCCTGCTGTTGATTGGCAGTCGGGCTCGCCGTCTTTGGTGAGACCATATCATATTATTGTGGGAAGTGGAAGTCACAGTAATTAATTAATTAGGTGTCGATGATGACGCTGCTTCTGGTCCTGGTCCTGGTTCCTGGTCCTGGTCTCGCTGTCGCACTCGCTGCTCGCTGCTCGCTGCTCGCTTTCTCCCTCTCCTCTTCTCTTCTCATTCCCCTCCACAAAGTTCAAACCATCGTCATGTGCTGCCATTGTGCCTCGGCATCTTCCCTCGCCTGCGCCATGCCAATCAATCACTCTTGCGAGCCCAAGCTCCCGCCCACCATTGATCGTATTCATCCCCATCTTTTGCTTTAAACTCTTTTCTGGTCCTTCCTCCGTAAGGCTCGTGTAGAAATCAAAAAGACGTGTTGCTCATCCTTCCGGGGCTGAGCCCGTTCCGAGTCAAGTCCCAGCACCAGATCCTGGAGCCTAGACGCCTAAACTCGACGAGCGACCTGGAACCTCGCTAAATGCCTGTTTCTGGCTTTTGCAAAGTCTGATCAGCAGGATCAGCCCCTTGTTCCAACTGGACTGTCGTTCGAATCACGGCCAACAAGATACGTGAACCGAGTCGGTTTGTTGAACCTCTGGCGTGATACATAACCAAGCCCTCTTCTTCTTCATTCTTCCTATCGTCTGTCACTCAAATCGGATTGACTTACTAACGGAAGCTGGGCTGTAGCTGAGACAACACACTCTCGTCCTCGCTTGCCACTACTCGTTTGTGTCCCCTGCTGACATTGATCGGGTCGCATCCATCAGTTAAACCCCCGACCAAATCCAATCGGATCCCTGCTTTTCTTGCGACTGAGGCCACCCACTCGGGGACGGACTGGCAGCTCATTAATACCATCCACCGAAGCAGAATAAATACCATCCTCGACGGCCCTTGACAGTCCTGGGTTTCCATTCTTGCGGTACCTCAATCCCCCAACGTCCAACCATGGCGGTCATGTCTATCCCTCACATCCCCATCCCCGTCCTTCTCATCGCTCTTGTTGCGGTCTTTGCCATCCACCGGATCTACTATGAAGTGACCACCGGGGCCCGTAGGCGCCGCATGATACGGGACAATGGGTGCGAGGAGGTCGCGTGGTATCCACACCAAGGTATCATGGGCAAGCTCTACGGAGTGGACGTGATCAAGCAGATGGTCAAGTCCGGTAGGGAAGGTCGACTGCACGAGGCGACTCGGCTCCGAAACTTCAGCAATGGCAGAAACACTCTCAAAGTCAAGATGGCCAAAAACACCGGTACGTGTCCCCTTTTTCTGATGCCTTGCAGGCCCGGGCAAGCAGGCTCACTGGAGGAAACATAGTCATCTCCACCATCGAGCCCGAGATCATCAAGACCGTCCTGTCCACCAAGTTTCAGGACTACTCCTTGGGCAAGAGAAGGAGACAGGTCTTCCTCCCCATTTTCGGCCACGGCATCTTCGCCAACGACGGCGCAGCCTGGGAGAGATCTCGTGCCATGGTCCGGCCCAACTTCACTCGTCAGCAGGTGGCCGACCTCGAGATGTTTGAAGCGCACGTCTCCCATCTCATTGATTCCGTCCCTCGTGATGGATCTGCCGTCGACCTGCAGGATCTGTTTTTCGGCTTGACCATGGACTCTGCGACCGAGTTTTTGTTTGGCCGATCGACAAACACCCTAGCACCAGGTCTGGAGACCAAGTCAGCCAACGAGTTTGTCAAGGCTTTTGTCTACGTGACTGAAGGTGCGTATATTGGCCAGGCCTGCGGGATGAAAGTCGACTAATGCATTCATTTTTGTAGCTTGTGGGAAGAACTTCCGCACCGGAGGTCTGCTTGAATACATCCCGGATCCGCAATGGCAGAAGAGCGTAAAGATCATCCACGGCTTTGCAGATGAAATTATCCAGGAGGCCATGGAGGAGCTGAAGACTGGGAAGCGGGATCCCAATAGTCGCTACGTCTTCCTCCACGCTTTACTCAACCAGACTCAGGACCCCTACGCGCTCCGTTCGGAATTGCTCAACATCCTGCTCGCGGGCCGCGACACTACGGCGGGCTTGTTGTCCAACACCTGGCACGTATTGTCGAAGCGACCGGATATTTGGGCCAAATTGAAGGCCGAGGTGGATGAGCTCGGCGGCGAGAAGCCCGACTACACTACGATCAAGGAGATGAAGTATCTGAAATGGACCCTGAACGAGTCACTCCGGCTGATGCCGGTCGTGCCCGGCAACAGTCGTGAGGCCATCCGCGACACCATCTTGCCTCTTGGTGGAGGAGAGGATGGCAAGGCACCCGTGCTGGTGAGAAAGGGGGAGGTGGTGGCCTATTCGCCGTGGTCAAGTAAGTCTCTACATGGAAGCGTTGGATGACCTGCGACGATACTGACAACTGAGCCAGTGCACCGGCGCGAGGATTTCTATGGACCTGACGCACTAGAATTCAAGCCAGAGAGATGGGAGTTCCTCCGACCGGGCTGGGAGTACTTGCCGTTCAACGGAGGACCTCGCATCTGTGTGGGCCAACAATACGCCTTGATGGAGGCATCCTATGCCACGATCAGATTGATCCAGACATTCCCGAGGATCGAGAGCCGAGACGACAGGGAGTGGCGCGAGTGGTTGACCGTGACGCTGGCCAGTGGTGTTGGTACCAAGGTCGCGCTCTTCGAGAAATAAAGAGCTTGAAAACAAAAGAGAGGGCAGTGCTAATAGGACACACATGATGACAGGAACGATTACGATCACCAGGGATGTATTTTATCTCTCCAAACACGAACATTTCTCCTCAGCCATGCTGTATGCATTTTCGATTGTCTTGGTCCAACACGGAGAAGCAGGAGCAGGGAAGAGGAATCGAGGCAGTGTACTCTCCACATCCAGTCGAGCTTTTTGTATGCCTCGAGGTCAAATTCATCCGATTCTATTATATTCTTGGGCAATTCTCTTCTGATACGTGGCCTCGAAAATGTTCCCGTCGACGTACTCGGATCTATGCAAGAATGCTAGCAATGCGTAGATAGCAGGGAGGACCGAACTAGGCGACGTGCAAAGGCAAGGCAGAATGACATAGTCTGGCCCAAAGGGATGTGAGCAGTCCATCGGGATGACAACAGCGGGAATGGGAGTCTGCCTCACCTAACCTTGATCTCCTGCAGGTGTATCCGCAGGCTATGATCGACTTCTAGTGGGGACGCAATTGGTTGGGCAGTTCACGGGCGAACGCAGGGTGGGTGGTATTCCGGCGTTCTTTTGCATCATGAGGGCCGTGGCTTTCTCTAATACCTTGTCGGTGACCTGTAGGAGCGATGGAGCACAAGGGCAGCACCACCAGCACCGCTGTGCCCGAGTAGTGTGCCTTGTGTTGCGGGGGGGGACGCGGAGGACTTGGACCTGGGAAGAGCTGAAAGCGCCACCTCATGCGTCATGCACCCGCTTTTGGATTCTTCTGTTTGGGTGGCTTTAACTAATCTGAAGAGCCTAAGAGCCTAGGCGGCCCCGGGGAGCCCATGGCCCTGGGACGAGACTTTGCGGGGTTCGACCTGGCGTCACTACCCCCCTGCTGGGCTTTACTGGGCTTTAACTGGCATTCACCAAGTCATACCTCTCCCAGGCGCCGACACCGTGCCTGTGACACAATGGCTCACCCGGCCGATCGATATTGTCTGGGGAGAACCTCGCTCACCGGAGGGAGGTTACATGCCTATTATATCATTTGTCAGGCGAGCTGGCCCTCGCTGGTCAGTGGTCAGTGGTCACGCACCTACTTTCAGCACCTTTGCCCACTTTTTGCTCACGGCTGAAGCCCCCCCCGGTCGACTCGCCCACTGCCCATTATTGCCCATTATTTCCCGCTGCCCGCCCTGTCCGACTCTTCGCCGTCGCCAGCCACACGGCGACAAGGCAGCCCAACTACCAACTAGCACCCTTACCGCCGTCATTGATTCGAGGTCGCCCTACAACCCCATGCATCGTGACCCGATGATCTCCTGCCCCAACATCAGCTCTAACACTCCCGCACACCACGCAGTCGACCCATCCGACATGCGGCTTTTAGCGAAAAAAGCCAGTCCATGCCGCTGGGCCGTCTCTTCTCATATGGGCCTGGGGCCGCAGCTGAGGCTCGACAAATTGCTGTTCTCCTTCTTCTGCTCACTCTCGTCGTCGCCGACATCCTGACTGACCACATCAATCGTCTCTTGTCACTTTGACTGTCACGTCCGTCTCTCGCCCTGTCCGCCCCCCCGTCGGTCTTACCCTGGGCCTCGATCGCCACTACTATCGTTCGTGAACCGTGCTCCCCGCGACAGTAGCCAGCTTGCGACTTGACCGCGCAACATCTACCACGCTCAGGGTTCCACGGACTGCGTATCAGGCCCGTCAATCGGCGACCGCGTTGTACAGCAACCTGAATTGGCAGCCGAACCCCTTCACCGCCATCGCAAATCACCCCGTTGCAAATCCAAGTTTTCTGCCTCATATATCTCCGGCGCATTTCAAAAGGCTCACCTCCCATGTCTCATGGCGGAGACATGACCGACCCCCGACTTTGACTCGATCGCTTAAATGGCTCCAACAACAATCCTGTCGCGGCGCAATGAGAGCGGCACTGTGGGTACGGGAGACGGCGACTGGCGAGCCTTTGCCTCGGATGAGGACTTCATTCTGGAGGGCTGGTCGGAGGGATTCATGGTCGGTGCGCTCGTCATCATGGCATGCATCACCGTCGCAAATATGAGAAGGGGGGTTCTTTTGCACAAGTTGATTCTAGTCGAGGTAAGTTGTTCGTGGTTGTGGGCAGAAAATAAAGTGGTATGCAAGGCTGACACATCACCTCGCTGCAGCAACTTGCAGCCCTCTCACATGGTAAGCAGGATCGAATCAGGACTCTCTGACAGACGGGCTAATTTTCTCTCACAGGAACATTCTGCTTCATGGGATTCAGAGGCTACGGTTGGTATCTGTCCTCGACCGCCACTCTCTTGTACATCTCCTGGATCGTCCACAACATCGTCGCCTGGATGAAAATCAAACCTTTCTTCATGGATTCCAGGAGCATGTTCAAGCCCGAAACCGGCAAATGGGTGCGGAGGATATACCTGGGGACATTGGCCCTCACGGTGCCTTTCATCTGTTGGCAGATCTCGAACAATTTTCGGTTCTTCAATAACATCAACGACTTTTATGTCAAGGTGCGCCCTTACGAGCCCCTCATGAGGGACCCGTGGTGGGTTTTTACCTGTCTCACCCTGTTTTATGTGATCAACTCCGTGTACGGGACGGGTGTCTTCGAACTTATCAAGCGATCCCCTCGATTTGGAATCCTACTATGCGCCATTTGTTTCTCCCTCATCTTCACGGCGGTCGACATTGCGGCAAGTATTCACAATTTCACCGGCAGTACTGACGGGTATGTGCCCCCTCCAATCTTGTCCGTGGTCTGGTGATTGACGAAAGGGCTCTACAGCATCAACCCGTGGTGGAAATTGAGTCTAGTATTCAAGTGCCTCACCGATACAATCATGCTCGACGATTTCAAGACCGAACTGAAGCGCCTCGGCATCCGACGCATGCGCAAGGAAGAATTGAGAAGGCATAGCTTTGCCCTTGTCGGCGACCCCAACGACTACAAGGAAGGAGACGATCAAATGGAATTCTCCGACGCTCTGCACACCAATCCCCTCCAGTTCCAGACAACGCAAAACTTGGATGACAGCCCAAGGAGCAGCCCTATGGGACGCCTGCGGCAAGATTCGATCACCAATTCACAGTCGAACGAGAAGGAAGCCATTGGGAAATCGGGCAAGAAGATCTCCAAGCTCCCGAGCCTCAAGGACTTCTCCTTTGCTTCCGGGGGCCGCAAAAAGGTGCGAATCCAAGATCCCGAGAAGGATGGTGAAGGAGGAGACTCGTCTCGTCCAGCTGCACCAGCTTTCGACCGTCTGGCGGATATGCGAAGAAGCCTGGGTGTGATCGACTACCACAACCGATGAAGGGCCTCGCCGACGTTCGCAACAGATATCACAATGGTCTTACGTGCTCAATGAATTCACGATTTATGTCCTGTATCAATACTGGAATTTCTAGGGCGGAGGCTTTGTGTACATAACTTCAGCCGCACGAGCTATCGACCCCCGTCGCTAGTCGTGGCGACCTAAAAGAGTCCAATGTTTTCCCTGCGGAAGGCTGACTCGAACCGTGCCTTCGAGGACGCTTGCTCCTTCTCCGCTATCCTCACTTGCCTTGTCCAACTACCGCCTTCCATTGGAATGCGCTTCCCGAGGAAGTTGCTGCTTGGTGCTGCTGTGCCGCATCTCCATCCCAACACTTCAACCATCCAGTCCAATTCTTCCAACCTCCAGATCAGAAGCATTGGTTTGTGACATTCAGGTATTTGATATTGTGCATACTACAAGCTTCATACTTGATCTGCAACTTGCTACCTGCCACTTTGCGTCTTGGGGCCGCAGCCTCCGGCTCGCTGTCCTCCCACAAAGTCCTGCATCACACTACGCCACCGGTCATCTGCACAGCAACGCAGCCACTTAGTCCTAATATCTGACGTCCTACCTTCATGATGGCAACTCCTCCGAGATTCCCGTCGCTTTCCCCTGATCAAAGCCAGAACACGAGTCGTGAGGCAGACGACGTCGAGTTGAACGAGATGCGCAGCGGCCTCGAGCCTAGGCGAGATGCACCGTCGCCACGTCCACTTTCGGAGATAACCTTGGTAAGAGCAAGCTGTTGCGAGCATTATCAAATTGCTGATTTTCCTACTCGTAGATTGGGACTTCGCCCACGTATGCTGTTCCCCCATACTCCATCGGTCAGATCGATGGAGCCAGCGGCCCAGCGACGACGACTCGTTCTGTGCGCTTTCGACTCGACGAACCTGACCAAACTCGAGTGCAGAGAGCTCTGTGGCGGAGCAGAATTCGAGGTACCTTGGAGGCGACTGTGAAAAAGTTGATTTTTCTGAGTTACTTTACATCCAATGCCGCCATGTTGATCCGCATGGCTATCAAGGCGTCCCACGGCACACAAATGCAATATGACGAGGCCCTGGGCTGGGCGTTTCTGCAGTTCTTGATGCTGATCGTCTTGTTGCTTCGATATCTCTGGTTCAGCATCATGGCATCTCAGATGGGCCTACCAGGCAGTCTCAGGCTCGCTGCTGCGTGTGGTGGCACCTTGTTTCTGGGTGGCGGACTCGGAGTCTTACCACTTTTCTTCATCTAGTGCATGCTGTACGAAGGGCCAGTACCTGGCGCAAGTGACTACTAGGGCCTCAGTTACTCGGGGGAAGTCAACAAGGATGTGGTTGTCAATCTTTTTCTCCTGGCTTCACGACCTCGGGCGGAGAGAGATGAGGTCGGGGACTTGGGATCAGGATAGCAAAGGCAGATGAGGACCGCGAGTATAATCTGCATTAATTCGATTGCATTTCAGCTGTTTCTTCATGTGAGCGAGCACCCAACATGATCTATCCCTTGGTCGCGTGCATGCCTCGGAAACCTGTCGTCCACGCCAAACTTGGGTCGCGCAAAGCCCATTCAATAGCCCCTTGCTGTGGATGGGAGAGCCACAGGCATCATGTTACCGTGTGGAGGAGAAAGGGAAGTGCTCCTTTTCAGGCGGGGGTGTAGAGGATTCCTTCTCTTTGTAAGTCTGAGTCTGGGATCGCGGTGTCTGGCGCAGTCGTCTGCTCGCCTGTTCGCTGACATGCTTCTCTACTTGCATACCCCGGTGCTCATCCAGGGTTGTTGCCCCTCCCCTTTCTTCACATCTCGCCCAGACCCTGAGGATTGCGCATCATGCATCATGCATCATGCATCGTGCATCAGGCTGATGATATGTAGCTACTTGTTCTCTTTCCTCGTGGAATGACTTGATTTCTTTCAAGCCGCCTCCTCCTCCTCCTCCTCCTCCTCCTCCTCCTCCTCCTCCTCCTCTTCTTCTTCTTCTTCTTCTTCTTCTTCTTCTTCTTCTTCTTCTTCTTCTTCTTCTTCCTTCTTCCTTCTTCGATGCAAGCTAGTATCCGTCCTCGAGGGAGGGAGGGAGGGAGATGCAAGGACTCCCGGAGGTCCAGATCTGGATCCTCAGTCCACCCATTCTATCCCCCGTATCTTCCCATTGTTGTGATCCCCTCTCTTCTTCGCAAACTTGACGTCCTGCGTAACGGTATGTCTCTTTCTCGTCCTCGTGCATGAAGGAGACTCGGTCACCACGTTCTCCCCCGGGAGGCCCAGCCCGGAGACGAGGAGATGAAGGGACAGGAATCCTTTCTGCAAGGTCAGCGATATGCGAGTTGGACACGTGGGGGCTCACGCAGGAGTGGAAGAGCAGCGCGTGGAAACTTCACGGATTGGAAGCACGGAAAGTAGTGAATGGCTCCCTCAAGGTCGATCAGATCGCTCTGTCACGGCCAAGGTCTCAAGCTGTGCGAGCGGGCCAACGCTCACGAAAACCGAAAAGTGAGAAAGTTCCTGCTCAAGGCCGTCAAGAACATGGCACCTTTCTACGTTTTGAAAGCGCGAAAGAAGGCAGAAACACACAAGACATGGAAGCAGTCAAACAGAAGGATTCATTGAATGAATTTGGATTGTGTAAGCTAGACTAGGAGATACCATGCAGCCAGCGTGTGGACCGTGTCCAAGCCGTAGAATGGTTGACAGTCGACGGTAACCTCCAGCGCACCCTCATCAGAGGCATGGACGAGGAAACCTGTTCGACTGTGCTTTTTTTTTGTAATTTCCTTTTTTTTCCACAAAACCAATACTGAACTAAGAGGGGGCCCGTTGAGAGTAGGACATCGCCTTTTGTTTCGAAGCAGAGGCTTCAACTGCTTTGGAAGCTCCCAAGCACTGTTCGCATCTTTTGGCTGCATAGGCAGGTGACTGAGGTAGTGTAGTCAACTGAGTGGATCGTACTCGGACAAGAGGATTGAATGTGGGTGCATGCAGACCCGGGATGGTTGCCGCACCGGAAGCGTCGAACTCGGTAGAAGTCAGAAGATGTCTGCCTTGGTAGCTCTGAGAAGACGCTCAAATGTACCACATGGCGAAGACGATGCCGTTGACGTTGAAGAGAGGCATGAGAGGTTTGACCTCGGAGTCGGAAGGTTCAGAGCTTCGGCTTGGGTTCTGTTGCTTGAAGCCAGCACCGCCTTGAGGACCAGCAGTAGCAGGCAAGTCTTCATGAGCCTTTGCACGGTTGGAGGCCAAATGAGCGTAGTAGACTGACGGATGGAGAGACACCGAGGTGGTCGAGCGCATGTATTGATAACAATGCTCGTAGATCATGTTCTGTATCACCTCCGGACGGTGATTGGCCTCATCAAGAAGAACCGAGTAGTGCACAGGACGAGAGGTTCCTTGCAACGCGATGTGTGAGTAGAGATAGAAATCAAACTCATTAGGAGTGGTGACATCTCTCTCAATCAGCATGCCTGGAATAGGGTTGCCTTTGTTGTCAGCGCCGTCTTTGTCGGGGAAGCAACGGACGTGGTGGCGTTTGTTGGCAACGATGACAGTCAACTTGCCCTCAAACTTCTGGCCATCCATGCAAGACTCAATGACTTTCTTGATATGCGGAACTTCTTGATTGAGGACGTGCTCGAACTGATTGGTCGACACCCCGTCTCGGATGTAGTAGATTTGCTGAGGAGATCGGCCGCCCCCAACCTGTGACATCCACTGGCTCACGAGAGGTCTCAAGATATTGCGCCAGTTAGTTTCCGAGATCATTTCGACTCGATGGCCATTGGTTTGACACGCAGCAGCGTAACGTCCACCAAATCGATCATAGGAGACACTTACGGCCGCCATCGACGCCTGCTGACTGCCAGGGGAAGCGTGCGAGACATCGGCGCCAATGATCATGGTCGGCACTGAGAACGTTTTGAAACCACTTGTCGGGTGAGGTACAGCTTGGGATGTAGTGCCGCCCAATTTGGCATTGACCTTCATCAGAACATTGGAGTAGTATTGAGGGTTGCCCTTTAGGACTTGCTGGATTTGCATCACCTGGGAAACAACACCGAAGCGACAATCGCAAGACTTCTTGATTCGGAGATAGTGGAAGGAATTCCGGTCCTGCACCAAGAAGAGTAAGAGCTGCGGTCGACGATTGAACTTGTTCCCGGTGGCTTGATGCAGGCCAGCAACAGCAGCGCCAACATCCTGGTTCAAAGTCGTGACATATGGTGGAGCGTTGGCAACTTGTCCGCCATGGTTCCGATAAGCGCGGGAGAAGTCGAGAATGAACTGGTCAATCTGAGCCCGATCTGGCTTGAGACGACCGGTGAAGACTCCCACACCCCAAGAGACAAGTTCCTGAGGGTTTCGAGTTAGGAAAGTCTTGCCTTTGAGATCCCAACGCCCTCGTGTGCCGACTTGCTCAACTTTGTTGCCGAACTTGATGCCCGGCGCTGGGAGAATACGCGCCATGGTCTTGATGGGCGCCGAGTTGATGCGAAGTCTGTAGTTCTTGAGATAATCATCGCCATCCCAGTTGAGCCAACTTTTACCCTCATTGATGGCGTTGAGTCGGACATGGGGCGGTGAGACAGCAAACTTGATCATATTGGCTGTCTGGATCTCGTCCAGCTTTGCACCATATCGCTGACCCTCGAGGATGGAGAGGAATTCCATGGGATATTTGACATTCTTCTTCGTCATCTCCACCAGTCGCAAATTGGGGTATTGCAAGTTGATATTGTATTTGCGCTTGAAATAGTGCGCCACAGAGACCATCTCGCCAGTAGGTTTTTTAGTGACAGGATCCTTCCATTCAATCATCTCCTCGTTGGCGTTGTTGATATCGAACCGAAAGATTTTCCATTGCTTGTCGAGGAATGGATTGCCCTTGTACGTTGCCTTGACCTCGACTCCTTTGAAAACTCTCTCCAGAGTCTTGGTGAAATCACTAGGGTCTCGATGACCATTAGTCTGAACGGGCTCCATTCTGTAGGCAATATCATTGAGGTCTTTGATTTCTCTCCACTTTGTGACGATGGCAGCAGTCAAAGACGTCGGTCTCCAGAAACAAGTGTTTGCGACGTCCACGTTGATGATCATCTTCTGTCCTTCAGCGAGACGCATTGACTGGTAAACACCACGCCAGACCTCGATGCCACCGCCTAGATCAGCGCGCTGACCTTGACGCCTAAAGAGGCTTCGGCGGATGGGGATGAATTGGGACGAGGATGATGGGGTCTCTCGGAGAAGATGATCGATAAAGATGATGGCTTCTGCGACGAGCTTGTTCATCTGCACGCGACCCTCAAGGTACTGTTGGATAAGGCTGATGTCAAGCATTCGAGTTCGCTTGATGAGCAGGCGGAAGGCATTTTTACCTTCTCGAGAAGGACGGCCTTCTTCCTGATCGAGATCGACCATGAGGCGGAGTTCATTGTAGTCACGCAAGGACCAAGCAAGACGGTTGCCATCGTAGATGATAGGTGGACCGGTGGCGTTCTTTCGAGCTTGAGAACCCCACACCTTGCGGTTGACAATGCGTTTCTCCTGACCATTGCCGATGAGGACATCGTATTGGAAGATTTTGACCGAAGGATACTCTTGGACTTTGAAAGCGTTGAGGTTGACTCCAACGGCTCTGCCGGTAGTGTTGTAGCCGGGACGCTTGACATACTGTGTCGGAAGGCTGTACTGTTGGTAATAGTCAGCACAGGGGCCTTTAAGTTCAGGAATTAAAGGTATTACGCGCTCCAAAGCCTCGGGGATGTAACGTAGTTAAGACGCTGCGGGTTGATGTGGAACGACATTGCTCTGTGGACGAGAGTGAGAACCAGGACTAGTGTTGCCCGGCTGGCGGACAGGGGAGCCAGGAGCAGGGGTGCGTACACCAGATCCAGAACCTCTGGAAGCTGGAGGCGCCACGTTTGCAAGGGATGGAGAAGATATATGTAGGATTAGAGACCAAGTGCGAGGGACAAAGGGGGTATAAATAGTCTGGGGCGAGAACTTCGCAGTCCATGTCGTGTGAAGGGATTGGAGGCGCAATGAGAAGTGTCAATCCACGAAACAATGCGGACGCAGTGCTTGAGAATGAGCAGTGCAGTCTTTGAAAGAACCCGTGTTGAAGACCGAGCATGAATGTCGACAGACAGTCCGCGGGGTGACAGGGTAAATAGGTTCCAAAGGAAATAATGACATCGCGCGGCAGACCTGAATAGGAGAAACTTTGCAAGCAGGTGGGCAAGGGAAAATCGTGACGAAATGAAGGAGCTGGTTCGTTGCGAGTGGGTGAAGCAGAATAGACAGTGCAGTGGAAGAAACACGCAAAATGACTTACCAACTGATCAATATTGTAGAATGACGCTGGAAGATCGATATTGCGCATCTGATCTGTGTATCGTGCCTGTCTATCTAGAGCCGGATCGACTCGAAGGACAGTTGCTTGAGTTTGCGATGGTTGGCCACCAGACTGGCTGCTGCGACGACTGCTGGGAGGCTGAGACTGAGCTTCGAAACCTCCTTGCGGGACACTGGGACTACCAGCACCAGACGCAGCAGCACCACGGCCTGCAGAACCAGGAGCGGACTGTGAGGCGCTTCCTCGAGAAGCAGGCCCATCAAAGCCGCCGCCTGGGACTTGAAGTCGATCGCCACGACGAGACGCAGTTTCGGACGGCTGCTGACCCCTAGTTGCGCGGCCGGCGCCTCGCTTGCGGGCGGCTCCAGACATGTTGACTCAAGAGCTGCAGACCGTTGATCACGAAGTCAGTGTGTGAGCTTGCAGAGGGTAAAACGAGGCGCGAATCTGACCAAAGTGCCGGTATGGACGACCCCGATAGGGGAAGTGAGAAGGTGAGGATGACAAGGTAATAGTTACGGGATTTGCAGAAATGATGATGAGATGAACCAACAAGATATGCAGGGAGGCTCTCGATTGAGGTCTAGAAAAGAGCTTGTGAATGTGTTGTTTGTTGTGTTGTTTGTTTTGCGGGTGAGGCAGAGACGAGGGAGACGGTGAGGGATGAAAAGGCAAGTGCAACCGCTTGATTGAGGCCGTGTCTCGTATTCAAGGAAGACTGCTGCAGGAAGGTGCGAGCGATGGAAACAGAGGAGACGTTGCAGTTACTCACCTGAGTTGCTCGAAGAAGTCGGCTGGTCAGAGACGGTGTTGATGGTAGGGTGAGGCTTGCGCTCGAGGGCTCCCAGGCTCGCAGCCGAGATGACTCTGGAGGAGCAAGAATTGGCGACTGCCTGAGGCGGCCAAGAGAACGAAGACGGTGTTGAAGACGATCAATGAGAAGAAGGAACAAGAAGAGAACGAATGAGGTTGGTAGAGAAGAGGAATCCAAGTGGTCGAAGGTAGCAGGGAGGAGGAGATATTTGTAGCCTTGGGGGCTCAATCACATGCTTCTGCAAGAGGCAGCAACACGGCTCTGTCACCCACCAAGGCCTCAATAGGAAGGCAGCGAGATGAGAGATGAGAGCCAAAATGAGCTGGTTCTCAACGTTCTCTCACACTTTCCTCCCAGCCAGCCTCATTGCAGGCACTGGCGGTGAGGCTCGACTGACAACAAAGGTGAGTGAGATGTGGACGCCAGGAGAGGCAATGCTCTTCCGCAGCTCATGTCAACCATTCTACATCCAACCTAGCCTCAACGCGGGCAACAACCGCTACCAATGGACCTTCAAGCCCAGGCGCAGTCCCCTCCGAAATCTACGCAGTCCATTGGATCAATCACCCGCCAGCAAACACTGAAAGCATCTTGCCTGAGCGCCCTCACTTATCCTCGTTCACTTACAGTCCAGCCGAAACTGCCCTGCGGCATACCGCGGAGAAGCAAAGGAGATAACAGAGACAAGAGCTGGAAGACCACACGCAGACAAAACAATAACTTCTTTCAAGATAATTATTATTCTCGGAGATTTCATGGCTGGCTCAGAGCAGCCGACTTTTCCATCGTGCATGGTCCCAATTAGCCCATCCTGTCCGAGGCTCCGTGATAGCGTGCATTCCTTGCTATCTCAGCCTGATCTGGACTTCCAACTGGCTAAAATGCTGAAAAATCAAGTATTGGTTTTACATCATGCTCTGGATCCCAACCGATTCCCCGCCCTCCAGTACAGTGGCCGTGTCTAGGCGTATCGGAATGGTGCTAGAATCCACGTCAGTAGTGTGATTTCGAGAGCTGAGATTTTGCCGGCCACTTACCTCCTCCGTATGGACCTTGTGTAACGCTGGGCGGCGGCGCGAAGCCTTGTGGCGGGATCGGCACTGGTGGATGTGGTGGATACGCTGCCCATGCTGGCTGAGGTGCTTGGGCCGGAGTCTGGCTGTGTTGGGCTGGAACTGCTGCCGGCGGAGGCAAACGCACGTCACGAATGAGCTCCATGATCTTCACGGCGTCAAACCTGGCATCAACATACGTAGACGCCTTTGGCAGGATGCTCAGAAGGTAAACAACAGCTGGGGGTAAGGATGGGGGAGCTTGAAACTGCGGTAGGCCGACAGGAGGGTTGACCTGGCGCTGCTGCTGCTGTTGCTGCTGTTGATTCATGCGACGGCCCGCTGCACCCTTCAGTGGGGACTCGCCGCGTGCTAACTTGCGTGGCCCGATATCTTCAAAATCGTCGGGGAATGGTCGCTTGGGAGAATTGGTCGTAATCGCGTCAATCACCTTCTGGATAGGGGAGTTGACGACTTCAGGTACCTCCACAGAGGGCATGACCGCATTTTGCAGAGGCTGGACTTGTTGTGGTGAGATGACGGGATAGGTGTTCATAGTGTCAAAGCTGGATGTGTTATATCGGCTGGAGAAGAGCTTGAGCATAGGATCTTCAGGGAAGTGCTTCTTCATCCGCTCTTCCAGCGACTGGACCTGCGCCAATTCTCCGTATTTGGATTCATAATCGTGCAGAAAAGCAAACAACGGTTTGGCCTTTGCTGTATGTTCGGCATCATCATGACCCAGGAGTCTCTTGACCGTGGTTTCGAAGACGGCTCGTGCATTCGTGACATCGTTGATGTCAAAGAGGTGCTTGACGTACTGCAGCGGGAGGTAATCGTCTTCAGGGAACAGCTTCATACCACGGTCAAGGATCTTCGTCCCGGTAGGATCCCGATAGCATTGCCACTCAATGCGCGCAGATTCGACGTAGAAATCGCTCGTGAGCTTGCCTCTCTTGCGCGCCTCGCCAAAGACAGCACGGAAGCCACTCGGGCCTCGTTCCGTAGGCAATCCTTTCCCCTGCACTCGTCGGGTTGCTCGCATCAGCGCAATCCAGACATGCGAAACCATTCGACTGAGGACATCAGTCTGTGCGTGAGCACTCTTCTTGATCGTCTCAATCTGGCTGTCGATGACCGCTTGCTTGGCCGCAACATTAGAAGCATTGAGGTCCTCGTCCCCCGCGCCATCTCCATTGCCAGCTGCGGTGAGCTCCACCCTCTGAATGTCTTGTTTCTCATGGATCGATACTTTCTTTATCAGGTCATAGAGTGCGTCCAGCAACTTATCATACGGATCCCGAATTTTCTTCATCCGTTCTTTGGCACCAGGATCTGCACTTTCGTCGTTTTGGGTCGATGTTTCGATACGGTCTGCCAATTTAAACGCCAACAGGGGTGATTCTGGGTTGGCTGCGATTCCTTGGTTGAGAAGTTTGGTACCGTCGGCATCAAGGCCGTTGCTGAAACAGAATTCAACTGCATCATACCACATCTCCGGCCAGAATTCTAGGGCCATGAGAGCTTGCTTGTATGTGAACAGGATCCGATTCTTGTACAAAGCAGGGTCTTCATCTTGGAGAACAAGGTTGTCTTCCTTCTCCCATTCAATCCACTGCTTCCACAGACCGACTTGACGCATATACTCGGCATGGCCCTCGAAGCCAGGCGCCGGTGGCAGTTGCGGCCTTGAGGTCCTCTTTAGGCCCTTTGTCAAGTTCTGCAGTTGGGTATATGCCGTTCTGGCAGTCATGTAGACGGGGGACTTCTCTTGAAGATATTTTCGACCCTGCAATCGTGTTAGTATAGATCCCAAGCTAGGCGGTGTAGTTTTTCAAACGCACGTTGATCTTGTTCAGCCCTGTTTCAAACGCATCATATTCTTTCCACAACGGCATGGTTGCCGCGGTTGGAACAGCAATTGCTTTCTGGTACGCCTCCCGCAAAGCGTCGACTTTTGCTCCGTCTTGCCAACCACTACCCCCAACAATTCCCGGGCCGGTCTTGAGGAAATTAATGTAGTCTTGCCATAATTGGCCAGAGTCCTTGTCCATGCCGATTGTCTTGAGAGCAAAGGTGAAGGAATCGTTGATGATGGTGTACGAGCGAGTGATGTCGCCTGTTTGCATGCTGTTTCGCCGGCGGATATAGTTGATGTACAACGTCCAGAGTTGAACATCAAGCACATCAAGCAAGGATCGATTGAAGAGGGTTTCCATGGCGCGCATTCGATCATTCTCCTCTTCCCATTTGACGTACGCACACCATTGTTCAGCCTGAGATTCATTAGTGTAATGCAACAGATGCGGCAGAGGACAAGCACGTACGGCAAGAGGAAAGACTTTGAGATATTGCTCATACACCTGACGGACATCTTCTTGTTTGTTTCGACTCTTCAATTCGTCGATTAGTTCAAGATAAGCATCAATGTCACCACGAGGGTCATCCTTGATGCGATCTTCCAGAATACCGACCACATCATGAGCTAGTCGAGACTTGGGTAAGCCTGGAGCAACAGAGGCATTCACATGCGAGCGAGGTGGAGAATTCTGAGTCGGAAGATCAGGAGCTGTTTGAGAAGGTGTGGCAGTGGCAGCACGCACATCAGCACTGGCACCAGAAGGAAGAGTAGTGGAAGAAGAAAGGTCAGCGTCAGCAGGACTACCAGTGGCCTGGACAGGAACAGGAGTGATTCCATTTTCTTGTTCTGGTGACTGGGAAGCTCTATTAAGGGAATTGGAGTTTTGATTTGCAGAGGTAGGAGCAGGTGTCGAGACATCGAAGTCTAGCCCCACGGATGGATCGTAGACATCAACCTCATCCTTTCCGTCTTGTGTCCCTTCTTCATCTTCAGGATCATCATCAACTTCAAAGCCACCCACTATGCGGGGCTTGGACTGCGCAAGAGCGGGTGTAGAAGACTGAGTCATGGTTGGGGTGGTGGCTTGGGAAGAGAGCTGGCTGACTGGTTTTGTAGGAAGAGGATGAAGACTGGACTGAGTCGGAGATAATATTTGATCACGTTGATTATTGACAGGACTCTGCTCTGAGGGAGCAACTGGATGCGACAACTGCGTAGCACTTGCGCTTCGCTGATCGGGGGCAGCCGCAGTACCGTTGAAGTAAGATGACAGCGCTGCCGTTCCAGAAGATGGTGACGGCAACCCTGTATCTGGATTTGCCATGCCGCCCTGCCTACCCTCTGTGACCGGTAAAAGGGAATGATAAGAGAAGGGGAGTCTCTGCGAAGGTGTCAGTGACGATCGTTTGCTGGGACCTGCGAAGAGTGGACTCACCTTTTGCGCAAAATCAACTAGGAGCGCCTTTTGAAACTGAGCATCGTCGTCGTGAATGACGGTAAGGATGTGGTTATGAGATCAGAAGACGTTTCGTTGATGGAGTTCGATTCACTTCGCAAACTGGCACAGTTTGGATTGTCAACTGCCAGTGGCACATTCTGCGACGGCGCATATCCTGTGAGTGGAATTCGTCATTTGAAAACCCTCGATGAAGAACTGACTAACTTTCGGCTAACTTGCCTCCAGATTGATTTGCGGGCAGGCTGCGGAATCAGAAGCCAACGACGCGACTTTTAACGCGGCGATGGCTCTCTCGCGACCTTGGGCTCACTGTCCGCAAACACACCTCCACAGTGCCTCCAAACGGTCACAATCAACAGCTTACTCTTCCAGAACACCATCCAAACGTCTATTGGGCGCCGAGTTCGACGTGCGCAACCGCGGACTTCCTTAGCGCCTGTCGCAACCATGTCGGTGGTTTCTTTGTTGGGTGTCAAGGTCCTGAACAACCCTGCCCCATTCACTTCACCATACGAGTTTGAAATCACGTTCGAATGTCTTGAGCAGCTTCGTGAAGGTGGGCATATCGCAGGAAACTCGTTTCTTTATCGCAAATATGCTGACAACTGTATGGTAGATCTCGAATGGAAACTCACCTACGTGGGCTCTGCCACGTCGGCGGAACACGACCAAGAGCTTGACTCTCTGCTCGTAGGGCCCATCCCTATCGGTGTCAACAAATTCATCTTCGAAGCCGATCCTCCCAACCTATCTCGCCTGCCGCCATCCGAGATCCTCGGTGTGACAGTGATCCTCCTGACCTGCTCCTACGATGGAAGAGAGTTCGTGCGCGTCGGGTACTACGTGAACAATGAGTATGACGACGAGATATTGAATGCCGATCCGCCAGCCAAGCCCCTCATTGAAAAGATTCGCCGGAATGTGCTCGCGGAGAAACCCAGAGTTACTAGATTCGCGATCAAGTGGTAAGTAGCGCCTCTGTTCTATGCTAGCAGACGTGTAGCTGATGCAAGTCCGTCGATAGGGATTCTGAAGAATCTGCTCCAGCCGAATATCCTCCCGACCAGCCTGAAGCCGACACCCTCGACGACGATGGAACCGGCTATGGCGCAGAAGAAGCAGAAATGCAAGCAGCGTTAGAGAAAGAATTGGAAGAGACCGAGGCCAAGATGGCGCAAGAACACACGGCCAATGCCGATCAGGAAATGACGGACAGCCACAAAGTCAAAGAAGAAGAGGAAGAGGGTAGCGATGCTGAAAGTGAGGATCTTGAGGAGGAGAGTAGTGAGAGTGAAGACGACGAAGAAGATGAGGAGGGTGCAGAAGGTGAGGATACAGAGATGGCAGAGGGCGATGAGAAGTCCACCACTGCTCCCAACACGGCTTCCGCGGAGGCCAATGGCGAAAGTAAAGCCACAGAGACCAAGCCGGAGGTCATGGTTCATTAGAGCAACGTGGAATCACATTGCACTGGTTTCGAATCCGACAGCAAGGCGTTCGGCGTATGGGATGGGTGGTATTCACGTGGAGATAAGCCAACACGCATGCATATTAGATGAGACGAAGAGCATGACTGATCGAGGACATTATTTCGACCGGAGTCGCGGACACCATTGCCCCAGCGAGGTGGTATTGGCATATGCTTGCCCTGGTGGTACATATTGAACAGAGGTGTAGCTAATCGCTGGAAAGAATTCTGCTTGACCCGAGTCCCTTATACCGTTCTCTGCCGTGGAAAAGCAAGTCTATGAAATCGCTTGACAGGGGGACAAGCCCCAACATGTCGTGTTACTATCTCTCACCCACGAAGCCGTCGGTGGCCATCGCCCGAAACGTGAAAGGTGCATGGATACGAGGCCTTAGGAGACGAAGGACAACGTCTAGTCATTTTTTCTTCCCGCACCAATCTTCAGTCTTGAGAGTTAGTTCGACAGAGCAACGCCCCTATACGAGGCCGAGCATCATTGCGAGCCTCGATAAAATAGAGCTGTACAAGATCGATCGTTCCAAAGTGAGTCATTTCGAACTGATTGGCTATATAAGACATGCCCGTGAAGGGCATCATGGTGCCAAATGGGAGATACAAAAGTCGAATTCGGTGAGCGAAGATATCTCAATGTCTATGGAGCACCTCAGGCTAGACCGCAGCAACGGTGAGAAATGTTTCAATCCAATGCAAACACATCGTGAGGCGCGCCTCCATAGGTGACGACTTCAAACAGCCGAATAAACACCCGTTACATTCCTGCCACACACCACACGCTGCTCCATTCTTACTTTCCTCCCACTGGCCTTCAACCGTACATCGTGCATAGGTGTCAAATGCAATCTATGCTCTTCCTTCCTCCCCATCTCCATTTCGCTGGCCATGTCCAATGGCCGTATATATGTCGGGATTGGCACGTTGTTCCTCTTACCTGTGCCCAGCTGATAGAATTCGTTTCCTCCCCACCAAAGCACATCGGAGCCCCAGTTTGTGTCGTCCTCCGAGGATTTTTCCGAGGCATCTAGGTAGGTCACGTTGTTGAGCACGGCGGAGGCGTGAGTACTCCCAACGGAAATCTGGGACATCCGGATCGGAACCACCCTTTGAGTCTTTTCGTCGTACTCGAAGAGGCCCGACAGGGACGGAATGCGTGTAGGGGTGCCTTGGATATGCGTCCATTTACCGTTTCCAAGGGTGCCCCTAATACCCATTCCACATGCCCATGTATCGGCAGTGACCTTTCCCAGAGTTAAGATTGAGCTGGGGTCTTCATCCGGGCCAGCGATTCGGGTGGCATCGATAGTAAAGAAGCTGTTTGAACCGCCAGCGGCGATAGACGTGACTTTGGACGACTGGTTGGTGCCTTGGTAGAGACGAGTGGTGGGAAGGAGAGACGGCGTGTCGACGAAAGGGGCTTCCGGGTTGAAATCGAAACCAAGCTGGCCAGATGAGTTGTCGCCAAAGGCAAAGACGCGGCCTTCTTTGTCGAGGACAAGTGAGTGGTGATCCCCCGAAGCGAGTTTGGTGATCTCGAAGCCCTTGAGCGTGGTTAGCTCGTGGCACATATCATATCGGCCTTCAGGACGAGTGAGCCATGTCACTCCTGGAACGCCCAATTGTCCACGACTGGGAAAGTCCTCGGTTCCCGAGGCGGCAGAGAAGACTCGTCCCGAGTTTGTGAGTAGAAGAACATGCTCAAGGCCACCACTGACGGCAATGACTCGTTCGCCCATTCCTAAATTCTTGGGCTCGAGCTTTCTGTAACTAATTGACGATGTTGAACTCCAGAATGGGATCCAAGACCTGTCTGTCTGTTTGTGTCCGCCCTCCTGGTCCGCTTTGGACACTGGTATCGAGTATACGGTTCCGTTCTTGCCCAGCCCAATGATACGATCTTTCGATATTGCAATGGAGGTCAAATTCTTGCCTTTGAGTGTGACCGTCGGCTGCCGTACGTCCTCTGAATATTCAATCCCCCATTGCACCAAGTCTCCGTTCTCCAGAACTGCCGCACCAAAGTTCCTGTCAATCTTAAGGTCCCGGAGCAGGACATCGTCGAACCAACTCAATCTTCGCGGCGTCTTGATATATGCTTCATTTGACTCGGGGGCCACGACTCGACCAGTATTCGATCCCCACGCATACACGCCAGGGTTCTCCCAGCTCTTCTTGACTTGGAGATGCTGAGAGCTGATGAGGTCCCTATTCTCTTCCTTCGAAACGCCCCTTCTCTTCTTGGATGTTTCGATCACAACCTCTTGGGTATCTGAGGGTGGAGCTTCTGCCTGCACAACGCGGAACTGGGTGGCTGTGTAGACTAGAGCAACTGCGGCAGCTGCTGCAACTATAGCTGCCGAAGGTCTCTTCCATGCTTGGTGAGCAACCGCGGAGTGTGTGGCCTTTTGGGAGAAGCGTCTCGCCCTAGAGAACGACGCACGCGATCTCAGTTGAGAGAGGGCAACCGGTCGCGGACGAGAAAAGTTGCGAACGGCGGTAGCAGGCAGAGTCTTCGAGGGCATGGTTGCTTTGGTGATGATGAGAGTGTGTACACTATAGTTCACATGACTGTGACACAAGATGTGCTGCTGTGAACGAGTAGTGTCAGAACGCACCTGATTGCGAGTCGGGCACGTATTCGGAAATCGTGTGCGTCATTGAACCGCGGCGACAGCCTCGTCAAATCGCAAGGAATAATACTGGTGGGTTCAGTTCAGCCTTGTACCAATGTTCTCCACCCTCACCTCAAATGGCTGTTCTTTTCGTATTCAATGGTCCACAGATAACGAGATGGCCAACACCATGTCCTCATGGCGAGTCTTATGAGACCTTATCTAATGAATCAAGACTCCATCACCATCTAGACCAGTGCCATGGCTTCTGAAGGAGGACAAACCCTGAAGAGCGCGGAAGATGCCACTCTAGCACAACTCGAAAGCGCAGAAACGGAACTCGAGCTGTTCAAGTTATCTGGAGACATAGACGAAGTCCTGTTGGACGCCAGTCTCGATGAATACCAGTATGTTCCAGCATCGCCGCCGGACTGATCTACCCGTACTGAACGTCAGACAGGCAGTATCTCGACCAACTCGACGCCGCCAGTGCCCACCTCGATACCCTCCTCGCGTCCACCACCGCAACACTCGGTGAACTTTCTTCCATCTCCGCTTCCTTCAAATCTGTCAGCGCTCAAACAAAGTCCTTTCAGGCTCAGTCGGCCTCTATCCTCGAGGAGCAGCGTAAGAGTGAAGTCGTCGCGCAACAAATCGCCGAGAATCTGCGCTACTACGAGCCCCTCGAACGAATTACCCGTCGTCTCAATGCCCCGCAGGCGGGCAGTTTTGTCGGCACCAAGGACTTTTCTGATATGCTGGTGACCCTGGATGAGTGCATAGACTACATGCAGACGCACCCATCCCACAAGGAAGCGGAAACATATAGGTCACGTTACAGGCTCCTCCTTACTCGAGCCTTGACGCTGGTGCGCAATACATTTATGGCGGCGGTGCGGGAGACTACAACCGAAGTTGCCGGCCGCATCGCAGCGAAGCAACTCAATGACACGACCATGTCCGCACTGCTCTACGCCAAATTTCGGGTGGGTGCGGCCGAGATGAAGGAACTTGGTCTGGAAATCCACAAGCGTGCCAACCCACCGGCGGACGCGGAGCCGGGGACAGAAGGGGAATACCAGAGCCTCATGAATGAGTTGCACTCCAGCTTTGCTGCCTGTCGAGGGCGGTTGATCCTGCCCATCGTACAGAAACGTCTTGCGGAGACGGCTCAGCTCCCCAGTTCCAAGGACTTGGTACAGTTTGCAAGGGGCAGTATCGGGTATGTCCGGGGTATCTGTCTCGACGAGTTCGAACTATGGTCAGAGTGGTTCCACGGCTATCGTGGACTGTACGACTTCCTCGAGTCAATTTGCGAACCACTGTATGATCATCTTCGGCCTCGTATCATCCATGAGAACAAGCTATCTAAGCTTTGCTCGCTTGTCACATTGCTTCAAACACGCTACCTTCACGACGAGGAAGAAGATGGCCCCACAGACCTGAATCAACTCGACTTCTCGGCCCTCATCCAACCGGCACTGGAAGATGCACAAACCCGCCTTGTCTTCCGCGCGCTGGCGTTTCTCCGAGAAGAAATCGAGATGTTCAGACCCAAACCCGAAGACCTCGACTACCCGCGGCTCACCTCCGCTCCGCCCATGTCAGCCACCGCGCCGCTTTCTGGACGTCGTTCGTCCCGCGACGCGTTGACACCCCTTCCCAAAACCCCCACCGCCAACGATCTAGATGATGATTCTGGTGAGGAAGGCTCCTTCAGCTGGACCCTCGCCTCCTCGCGTCGGTCTGCGCTGAAACATTGCTATCCCACCCTTTCAAGATCCCTCCGCCTCCTATCACGCATCTATCGGCTGGTAAACTCTTCGGTGTTTGACGATTTGGCGCACCAGATTGTGCACCAGACCACCCTGTCTCTCGTCACCGCATCCCATCAGATATCCACGAAGTCTTCGCCGGTCGACGGACGCCTCTTTCTCCTTAAACACCTGTTACTCTTGAAATCCCAGATAGTGGCGTTCGACATCGAGTACGTCACCCCAGACGTAAGCTTTGACTTTTCGGGCGTAGCCTCTACCTTCTGGGAGATCCGCGAACGGGGCGGCCTCTTCAACCCCGCAAGCTGGATGAAACTGTTCAGCTCTGGCGGACTGCTGCCTCGGGTGGTGGAAAACATGCTGGATGCCAAAGTCGAACTCGACGGCCAGTTGAGGACGGCGATCAATGAGTTCACGGCAGGCTTCGCTGCAGACATGTGCAAAGACCTTCCTAAGGATTTGGAGAAGACGGGGCCCAGGAAGGGTGACCGGGAGAGCATGTTGGCCGAAGCGGTTGAGAAGACACGGATGAGGATCGAGAAGGAGATTCCCATCCTAAGGGCGAAACTGGAACAGTATTTGGATGATCATCGCACCAGAGAGACGTTGGTCGCCGCGGTGGAGGACCAGGTCGTGCAAATTTACGAGGCCTTCTTCGACGCGTACACCTCCCAGTCAGCTGGGAAAGCCGGCACGCACAACGGCAAGGTCAACGGTGCGGCAGCGACGGCGGCAACGCACATCTCGCGCAAAGGAAAGAGCCCCGAGAATGCAGTGTGGGATCTCGATACGTTTGCCGAATGGGCCGAAGGGCTCTTTAATGTTGCGTTACCCAATGTGGAGGAAGAAGAGGAGCTGGAGGATGTGGATGGTGACGGCAGCCATGTCGCTTCGAGGAGTTTTTCGAGGAGCGGCAGTCTTTAGGCACGGCGGTAGTTCGGGTATCGAGATGAGATGTCCTCGTCCAACGACCATGTTCTGCGGCTCAAAACTGCTTCTGACGTGTAGCATCTGGATGTGGCTTGGGCTGCTGTATGTATGATGACGGCCACGGCCCATGCTGGATTTAATGATACTTTCCAGTCCCGCTGGGTTGTCGCCCGCGGTTGACTTTCCCCCTCCCCTGCCCAGTCTGGTGTTTGCGCGCTCGTTCGACCCAACATGTCGCGGCTGCTGCTATGCCCCCTGAGATGGCACACTCGCGGTGCAGCATGGCTTGGATCGTCTTCTGCATCATAGGACTCGCTTCGGCGTTGTCACTCGTCCCTGTGGCCGCCGCGGGGTCTGCGTGGTTCACACTTGCATCGACTCCGGGATACGCCGCCGCTGCATCAGTCGTCGCACCAGCAGAGGCAGGTCGAGGAGTGGCGGTGAAAGCTCTTCGCCTGTTCCCGACGACTCCGATGTTGCGTGTGCTCGGAATCCGCATGAGTGTCAATTCGACATCGCTGCCGACCTCCTGGGCCAGCGAGACGACTTTCTTGGTCAAACAAGCATACATGGACGTATCGTCCGTGTGGCTCGCTGCTTTGGCCTTGGCGGCTCGGAGGGCCTTGAGATCGCCGCTGGCGTGCTGCTCTTCGGTGTGGTTGTCGTTATTGCCCCTAGCGCCCGTAGTGGCGGATGACGATGCGAACGTGGCATTCTTGGGAGGTGGATAGCGGTGTCTGGCGCCACTCAGGGCGTGTGAGCAGCATGGAATAGCTAGGAAGGGTAAAGGAGAGTTGGGCGATGATAGAGCGGCGAGAAGAGGCGTCCAGGGAGTGAGTTCGTCGGCGTGGTTGGAAATGATGAAGGTGTCGGCGTCGAAGATCCCGTTGTGAACCTTGCCGCCTGAGGCTTCTTGGAACCCGTTGATATCCTCGGCGCCAATGTGGTCCAGGAACGGTTGTGGGATGCACAGCATCTCATCCAGGTAATTGTCCATCTCGAGAACGTCCCACGTCTTCCGCCTTCGAGCGTCAAAGCCACGTCCCTGATATCCTTCCTTGACGAGCACGTACGTCAGAACGCCGTTTCCGCATGCAATGTCAACAAAGCCCGGGAATGTGTTTGCTTGCGGGTACATCTGCTTCCAGAGCTCAATGACGAAGGCGGCAATGGCAAGATCTTCGAATACGTGCTTGGACGGTTCGGTCTGCTCTGCCCAGCATGATATGAGGTCGTGGGCATACCGCTCCTTGAGCCGGGTGTAGGTGTCCTGGACGACGTGCTGGGGGAGGATCGTATCTTTCAGGGCTGAAGGAGCCAGGGACAGACTGGTCGAGACTTTCCCATCTGTCACACTAAGGCCGCCTTCTATGATGTCTCTTTGTGGTGCAGGATTCTTGGCCAGTCTGAGGAATGTCTGGAGCAAAGCAATGAAGGTGCGATGTGTGCGCGAGGGTAGTGGGTCAGAGGAGGTTGGGAAAGGAAGAAAATGAACAGAAAGCGTGGTCTCAGTTCCCTTCTTGCGGAGGTACGCCAGAGACTTGACAGGCGGATGATACCACGGCATATCAGCGTCAGTCTCAGCTTGTGGCTGGTAAACGACAATGCATCCCGAATTCTCGGGCCCTGGGACGAGGCTGTAGGTATAGCACCACTGGTCAAGCGGCCGGTCCAGTTGCGGCTTGCGAGGAACGAGCCTCCTCAAGACCTTCCTCTGCAGGATTGCCCCTTCAAAGACTGGTGCTGAAGACACGGGTTCAGGATCGGCTTCACTTGCGTCATTGTCATGGCTGTGCGCTCCGTCGGGCTGAAGATACAATCGCTCCTTTTCCGAGAGCGTCTTCAGCTGGTGTGCACTGTCGTACAAGATGTCAGCCCGGAAGAGATGCGTCGAATTCAGATTCGGGTTTTCCAGTAGCAGGTCCGTGATTTGGAGGAATCGTTCTGCCGAAAGGCTGCAAGTTTGTGAATATTCCGGTGCGGTTTTCCATGATGTATGAGCTTCCTTCAGCAGGTCGAGGGTCATTGTTCGCGTGAGAGTCCTGCATCAGGACTGCATAGAGATAGAGGTAGTCACATCCTTCAAGGCATTCCCCAGGGATATAGCTCACTGAAAAGGCGTGAAAAGGGTGTGGAATGTCTTCATACAGTGTAGATCAAATCAAGCCAAGAGACGGGCGCGGAAATGGAGATGGAGATGGAGATATGAGTCGCACAAAAAAAATAGTTTAATAGAGTGTTGTAACTACCCAGCAGCAACACTAGAATAGGCAGTCTGCGAATTCAACGAATAAAAAGGAATGAAGAAGCAGCAAAAAAAATACAACCACAAGATAGTGACGCCCTGGGAGAGGCCTGCAATAGTTGTTAGAACGTAGTAATCATGAGGTAGCGTCGTTTCACATACTCGAACTCTCAACCTTGAGATATCAAAGCTTCAGATGTCGCTTTAAAAGTCTCACTGCATCATAATTAGAACCCTGTCAAAGCCCTAGAGGCAGAGGCAAGAACCTACCGCGCTGACCAATTGTGCCACCAGGGCTTTAATGCCATATTTTGGGGCATGTTGAATATATACTTTGATTTTTCTGCGCGAGCTTTGATAGGTTGGTTTGCTGGGCGAATCACGTGCCGCTGCATGTTCCACCTTCAAAACCACATCAACTGGCGTGTTGAGTGAGGTGCTACGTACGCCTTTACTTGTCCTCCCGTCGCAGCTTGAGGGGTTATGGTATGATACATTGGTGGAAGGCCCGCAGAGACTACCCGATACGTAAAGCAGGTGGTGGCCAGAAATTGCATCTTGCTTGAAACTACCCCGTCGAGAGAAGTATAAATAGGGACTTAGAAAGACAGCCAGTAGAGGGTAATATGTGCACTCGCTTTCCCACACAATAGTTCAGTTCGTGAGCCTATAATTTGGCTTTGGTCGTCCCCTGCTGTTTCTTCCTCTCCTCAAACCACTCCTTGACCTTTTGCCTCGCCACCTCGACAACCTCCTTGTCCTCCACCGTCGCAGGAACATTGACCTCCTTGTCATATTGTCCCTCGGCCGCATTCTCCACCAGTTCTCTCAATACCCGCCGTAGAGTCTTGCCACTCCTCGTCTTGGGAATCATCCCTTTGCCTTGGATGATACCACCCAATGAGGCGATGGCACCGATTTGATTTCGTACGAGGTTGTTGATGCCGGTGAAGAATTCCTTAGAGGGCGTGGCGGGAAGGTCGGAGGGCGTGGTTGCAGAAGGAATGACAAAGGCGAACGGCAAGTGTCCTTTCATGGGGTCGGGAACGCCGACAACGCATGCTTCGGCGACGGAGGGGTGGGATGTGATGGCCTGTTCGATTGCGCCTGTCGCGAAAATTGATCAGTATTCAAGTCTCCCTCACATTGCAAGGATTGAGAATCATACCAGTGCTGAACCGATGTGCGGCCACATTGATGATATCGTCGCTTCTCGACATGACGTGCAGATATCCATCCTGATCGATCATTCCCGCGTCTCCGGTATCTAGCCATTTCCCGTTAAATCGTCTCAAGTAGCCCTTGTAAAACCGCTCATCGTCATTGAATAGCGTAGTAAATCCCGTGGGGGCCAAGGGCATGGCGAGCACAATATTTCCCATCTTGCCTTGTTCGACTTCATTGCCTTCGTCGTCGACGATGCGCACGTCGAATCCGGGCATCGGTTTCCCGGCACTGCCAGGCTTGATAGCCAAGGCCTTGTGCTCTTCGCGACTGTTGTGATCATGCCCGATGGCCGGGCGCAAGGCTAGGCCCGTCATGGGACTACCGCTCTCGCTGGACCACCAATGGTCAATCACTCTCGCATCTGGAGCCGCGTACTTACTCAGCAGCTCTTGATAATGTGTGATGATGGCGGGTTCCGATCTCTCCCCTGCAAGGAAAAGTGCCCGCCAGTGTCTAAGCTGACCCTTCTCACCGAATTGCTTAAAGAGTTTGTCCTCAGGGTCTTCTTTCCGAATGGCCCTGAGTGCGGTCGGAGCAGTGAACAGTGTTGTGACCTTGTGCTCGTCCACCATTCGCCAAAATGCGCCTGCATCAGGTGTGCCGATGGGTTTGCCTTCGTAGAGGACCGTGGTTGCCCCCGCTAGAAGAGGTGCATAGACAATGTATGAATGTCCGACCACCCACCCGATATCGCTTCCGGTGAAGATGATGTCGCCAGGTCCCTTGACGTCGAACAGGTATTTGATGCTGAAATTGAGACCGACTGCATGACCACCTGCTTCGCGGAGAACCCCCTTGGGCAGACCGGTTGTGCCGCTGGTATAGATAATGTAGAGACCGTCTGTGCTCTTGACGGGAACGGCCTCGGCTCTGACACCTCTGTTCCGGGCGCTCTTGACAAGACGCTGCCAGTTCCTCTGCCCTGCGTCTTTCCTCACAGGGTCCCATCTCTTGATTTCTCGTTCCCAGATGATGGTTTTGCTCGGCTTCCAGCTGCTTTGCTCGATCGCGCCTTCGACGAACGGCCTATACTCCAGGGGCCCCTTTGCCCCTTCAATGGCACAGCTGGCTGTCAAAATGACCTTGGGCATGGCAGCTTCGATCCTCTGAGCTAGACTAGCAGCGGCAAATCCTCCAAACACCACTGCATGCATGGCACCCAGGCGGACGGCCGCGAGCATGCCAAAGATGGCAGCTGGTATCATCGGCATGTAGATCAGCACGACATCTCCCTTCTTGACACCTTCTTCTCTGAGAACACCGGCCAGAACCTCCACCTCGTCCAACATTTGACTGTATGTGTACTTCTCTTTCGACCCGCTCACGGGACTGTCCCAGATCATGGCGATTTTGTCCCCATTGCCGGCTTTGACATGGCGGTCTATGCAATTGTACGTCGTGCTGATCTCGCCGTCCGGGAACCATGACCAGTGTGGATGCGTGATTCCGTCCTTGAGTTTCTTGGGCTGTCGGCGCAAGACGGCGCTGTATGGTTTATGCCAGTATAGTTCTTTTGCATGCTTGTCCCAGAACTGTTCCGGGTCGGATATTGACGCATCCTGCACAGAGTCCTGGACTGTGTTGTTTGGAGCCATGGTGTGAGGGAACGAGTGTATGACAGAGTGCTGTCTGGTGGCCGGGCAGCGACGGACGTTGAGGCACAGATGTAATATACGTCAGACGCAGAGAAAGCAGGTATATGCTTCGGACAGCGCGGAGCCTCGAGGATAGGGAACAGCCAAGTCAGGGCTCGATGACGGCACCTATTCGTATGTCTATGAATGAAGCATGGACGATTGAATGAATTACCAAGCGATGCTCGGGCTGCCTGGTATTCTCTCCGAATCTCAGTCAAGGGCCTGTGCAGAAGATATCTGCTTTCAACAGACTTGCATCAACTGCAGCTTCCTACAGCAAAGGAGAGAACAAGCGAGCAAGCTCCGAAAGCATCCCAAGGAGAGGACTCGATCGCCTTGGTACGGGGGAAGGGGGTCGGTCCAGCGGAGTTGGACTGGGCTTGGGGAAACGACATCATTCGATCGTCGCCCACTTTGTGGGGGTGGATGCACGCCGGGGAGACGCGTTGGCAGGCGGCGGAGGACTCGAGGATGGGCGAGAGAACCGAGGCTGAGGCTGGGGTCGTCTGTGATTGTACGATGGCAGACCAGTGAGTGGCAGGATGGAGTGATTGGAGTAGTGTATGGCGCAGGGCCAATTAATCAGCCCCCGAGACAAAACCGAGAGATACCCATCTGGGAAATGCTGAGCTGGGCCATTAGTCGCACCACAAGGAGACTCAACATGGCCTACACCGTTTCACGAAGCGGTTTCGGCATTCATACGGCCCAGTGCGTACCGGTTCCCATTTTCGTGCAGCTAAGAGCAGCTTCTAGCCTCAAACCAAGGAACAAAAGCCAGGACACGTCATCTGGAGTGACTTGCACAGCTCGAAGCTCAGACGAAAAAAGCAATGCTACCCAGAAAGCTTCTATTCATTAAATGACCAGCACCCAGGGTGAGGGTGGGATTTCTCATTGTACCTTCTGACTGTACAAGGTGTCCATCACACCACTCCAGCGACTAGCTGAAAATGTTCTATGTCCATGGCGCCGACTGCTAAGTATACACACATTTGCCCAAACTTGTCGTGACCGCTAAATGTTCATGCCGTGTTCGTGCATACCGCAGCCCAGCCAGCTAGTCACTGTTCCTTGCCCGAGTCTCAGCGCTAAGAAGTTAAAACGCAAAGCCATGACTGCAGAGCTGTAGATAGCCTCCCCTCCGAGCCGAAATGCTCGGCCTGTCCGAAAAGGCATATCAACAGTTTCGAATCAAGACCCCGAACACTTTCCTGCTTACAGGAGGAAAGCAGCAATGGCACCAACACCGGCAAGACCAGCGCCAACGTTGGCAACGAGGGCGTTGGCAGCACCAGTGTAGGTGGCCACGGCGGGGGCGACGCTGGATGGCGCATACGAGGACCAGGCAGCGCTGGTGGTGCTGGCAGCGGCAACGGGAGTGTAGGTGGTGCTGACGGCAGCGACCGAGGTGGAAGACCAATCACCCCAAGTGCCAGTGGACACGGCGGCGACGGAACTGCTTGTATCAGCCTGGAAATTTCAACGTCAGCTTAGGTTCTATCTTTACCTGCAGGAGGTGGAGGTCTTGGTGTAGACAGGGACAGAGATGGTGCACGGGCAATCAGTGATGGTCAGGGTGGTGGCAGATGTGACTTCGTAGGTCTTGCCAGCGTGCGTGAATTTGGTAGCATATGGGCAGTAGGTTGTAATGGCACCTACAACGGTCGTGGTATACGAAACAGGCGCGACGCTCGAGGTCCAGTCAGCCCACGTGTGGGTGCTCTCTGCCGCGACGGAGGCCTTGGTCGTGGTCGTGGTAGTAGTGGAGCTCGTCCAGTCCTCCCAAGTGTGAGTGCTGGTGGCAGCGACAGAGGCCTTGGTGGTAGTGGTGGTGGTGGTGGTGGTTGAGCTGCTCCAGTCGGCCCAGGTGCTTGCGACACCAGCGGAGGCGCTGGAAGCGAGAGCTGCAACAGCGATGATGGATGCGGTGACCTTCATTTTGACGGAGTGGTAGTTTCTGGATTAGAAAAAATAGAGATTCGTGGGTTTGATTTGAGGGTTCGTTGAAAACGAGTGTGGGTGGCGCAAAGACCGGCTTTCGAGCTGCTAACGAGCGACTGTAAGTTGGAGTTTTGATCGTAGGATGGAGGAAAGAAAGAGAAGTGCTGAGTGCGAAGAAGGTTCTTTCATATATGGGAGAGGAAGGCCCATGACGCCGCCAAAAGGGAAATTAAGGTATCATTTTAGCGTCGATGTTGACCATGGCGAAGACTGAGTGGACGACGACGAGTGGATTGGGGGGGTGGAAGGAAGCATTCTCGCGGCGTCAGGGGTAGCGGCGGGTCTTGTGGTCTTGTCTGTGTTGGCTCGGTGGTGGTTGTATAGCGGAATCCACATGGCGCCTCTTAGGGCAGCCTCATCAAGCCTCCCGTCTGAGCCATTGGCTCCCCTCCAACCTCATCCGAGATTGTGGCGGCGAAAAGTGGCAACGTCCTCCACTCAGCTTGAACATGTCTCGTGGAAAGCTGGCGATGCTCCCACCATAACAACTTGGCCGTGCAGAGGCACGCTTGTATTTGCTGGCCAGGACTATGTCATTCTCGATGCTGTTTGTCCAACCACAGACCACAGTCTGACGTGGCCATGAAATGATGGAAGGTTGATTTGCTTGACACAGGCAGAAATCGTGTTAGGGTTGCCAACTGCTCCAGTGACCGGACCTCATCACACGGCAAATTCGTCTTTGTTGTTGCTTGTGTACTTGTTTACCAGGGCTCATTTGGGGGAAAGCAGCTGTTCTCGCGTAATTTCTCGCCTTTGTCCCAACCGAGATACTTTTACCCACGATAGTCCGTATTGAGCATGTCCGCCTGTACCAGTCCTGGTCAATATTGTTTGGTCCTGAGATCGCATCATCGATTCATCAGCCAACGGGTCACAACATCGAGGTCCATAGCGCAGGAGATAGATCCGTGCTGCCGCGGTCCGCGAACGATTTGATTGCTGGTCGCTTAGGGCCTGGCCTAGTTCACCGCCCCTGGTTGCAACGTCCGTGATTTTCTGTTGCCACTCGCACCTCGGAGCAGCGTTGCAGGACGAGTAGTGGTCGTCGTAGTAAACAAATGAGCTTGACAAGGTGTGCTCGGAGGTTTGACGCACTTTCAAAGCACCCCAGTTGAGGGGCAGAGCGGAGAGTTGCAAGTGGCTCCAAGGATGCTGATCTGGCGCAGTTCGGAAATGAAGAGCCAAGATTACCAACAGGGGATGCAGCCAATCAGCACGCTCTGCCGTTGCCGCCTCCTGCAATGGCCATGTCGACATTTGCTCCCGGTGCTTCATCTTCGACCCATTCACCGGCTCTCTCCCCTTCGCACCCATGACATGGACTCCTCCAGTGTCCGCACCGCTGCATCACTTTTTGATTGGAAAGAGAAAAACACACACATGCACACAACGCTCTCGCACGAGTACAACCTCCTGAACCAATTGCCACCCTGCAATAATGCCCTGGACTGCAACTCTGATGATGACTCGCAGCTAGGGTTACTGCGCAACAGAAGGATCAGATCTCGTATCACTACTCAGATCCAGTCGTCTAGACTCTACCGAGTCCTCGTGCTCCGTATGGACTTTCTTACCACCATTCCGCCATTGTTTTGTTCATCCTGACCCATTGGGGGATGCAAAAGATATCGATAAAGACAAAATTCCAATATTACGTCTAGTTGAGCCAGCGTCAATCACCCACGAGGGCCCTGAAAATAGCACGCGATCATGCTATCATGCAATGGTGGAGACGGAGCTCTTTCGATTGGAACAACAATTACTCTTTCCAGCAGTACCGGCAACCTGGTTCCGTTTAAGCTGCCCAACGTGATTGTGCAAGCCGCTCTCCGGAGTCTTTTCCATTCCTGTCCACCGACCCTCATACCTTCGATCTCCTCCACATGCTCCAACGACGAAGCATAATAATAAAGAGGACTTCGGTAGTATTCGGAGTACTGAGACGCTTGTTCACAGAGCATAGCGGACTGAAAAGAGAAGTTTGCAATAACATGATCCGAGCCAAGGGTGTTCATACGGCCAACATCGTGCTCAAAAACATCCAGAGGGCGCACGAATTATCGATTCGACGAACGCCCACTCGGTTGCGCCACGCCGCAACACCGACGATCAAACAGGCGAACAGCATTCTCAACCTAGCTTGCCCCCAACGACAGGAAACGGCCAGTATCAGAGTCGACGGTGCATATTCTGGATCTGAGACAAGTCAGGGATGCGAGATGAAAAGAAGCGACTAACAGCGACTGGCCCGTCGGTGAAACATGACATACAAAGTCCGACCTCTCCCACAACAACACGGCGAGACCAGTACACGAGCCCCTGACACGTGACCGTGACCTAGCCTGATGAATAATGGCCGAAAAGGCGTCTGGGCCTTCGGTGGCATCAACCAGACACATGGTGGCTCCTCTCAATAATACTCGAGAGTCATCGTACCACAAAACGATAATGGTCGTGTGTGGAGCATGTGGAAGTTGTTCATCTGGCATCAATTTCCGTTGCAGTTGAAGGACACTGTCTTGTTGACATTGATTATCTTTTTGCAAGGTACGCAATACACTTTTTCTTCTTCTATCCGGCCATCACGAGGTACTGGGACTGAAGAAGATCGCCATGCGCCCGAGTATGGATACGCTGAAAGAGATACACCCCACTCACCACTTTCAACTTCTTGTTTTTGTTACCCATTAAACTCCCCGCGAGCAAACGACTGCCCGACTTTCGTGATGATATGCCAGCTGAGGAAGTCGGGCGGTCTGGAAACTGTCACTCTCGTCGTCATCGTCGTCATTCGTTCCAATCTACCGAGCACAGAGTTTCCCTCTCAGCTAGTCGTCGTGTCCTTGACCCAAGGCTCTGCAAATGTCCCAACCCAATCCTCCACTTCCTGCCTCAGAGTCAGAATTTCGGCGACCTCGGCCCCATCATTCAAGTAATCTAGGAAACTCTTGACCGCTCCAGGATTCTTCTTTCCCTTCGCTTCCGCATCCGACCGAGCGCTCTTGTCCACCTTGATCGCGATCGACACGGCTCGATCGACGATCTCTGCCACGCGAGTGAAATCGCCTGGCTGGAAACCTCGGGTTGTCATGGCAGGCGATCCCATCCTCAACCCTCCAGGCCTCAGGGCAGATTTATCGCCAGGCACTGTGTTCTTGTTCGCGGCCACGCCGCACAACTCAAGCACGCGCTCGACGCGAGCACCGTCAATACCCTTTGACTTCAAATCGACGAGCACCAAGTGGTTGTCTGTCCCGCCACTAACAATGTTGTAGCCCAAACCGCCTGTATATGCGGAATTGCCGAGCCGTTCCGCAAGGGCTTTCGCATTGGACAGGACTATCTTCTGGTATTCCTTGAATTCTTTCGTTTGAGCCTGTTTCAATGCAACCGCAAGAGCGGTAATGGTGTGGTTGTGCGGGCCGCCCTGGTGGCCTGGGAAGACGGATGCGTTGATAGGACCTTCGAGGTCGTACATCTCCTTCTCGCCCTTTTTGTTGGTTCGGCGAACGCCCTTACGGTAAAAGATCATGGCTCCTCGAGGGCCACGGAGGGATTTGTGTGTGGTGGTTGTCACCACATCCGAGTATTGGAAGGGGCTGGGGATCACGTCCGCAGCGACCAGGCCGGATATGTGAGCCATGTCGGATAACAGGTAGGCGCCCACTTCGTCCGCGATGGCTCGCATGCGTTCATAGTCGATCAGTCGGCTGTACGCAGAGGTTCCGGCGATGATGACTTTGGGGCGGTACAAAAGGGCATACTCATGCATCTTGTCGTAGTCAATCAATCCTGTTGATTCGTCCAGGCGATATGGTAGGGTCTCAAAATATTTAGAGATCATGGATATCTTCTTTGTGGGAGTCTGATAGCCGTGAGATAAGTGGCCACCGTGGGGAAGATCAAGACCCATGATGCGGTCGTGCGTGTTGAGGAGGGCTGAGTAGGCGTAAAGATTTGCGGGAGAGCCAGACAGGGCTGAGTTTGTTCAGTTTTTGATATCGACAGAGCTCCATGATATGTGGTCACTTACGTTGGACATTGACACCCCACTCTTCTGGACTCAGGCGATATGTCTCCAGGGCGCGCTTTTGACATAGTCTCTCGGATTCGTCGATATGTTCGTTGCCCCCGTAGTATCGTGCTCCCGGATAGCCCTCCGAGTACTTGTCTAGACGGAGTGTTAGAAAATCGGCTGCTAACCGATCGGTGACGTGCTAGACTTACTTTGCATTACACTGCCCAAGGCGTCCAACACGGCCTGAGAGGTGAAGTTCTCGGAAGGGATGAGATTGATGAAATGTCTCTGGCGACGTATCTCCTGCAAAGACAATCCGAATTAGAGTCATCACTTAAGAAGCTGTCATAGGGCGTCTTACGCGCTGCAAGATCTCGTAGATCTCGGGATCGGCTTCTTTGAGATGCTCACCCAGTAACTGCCGGCTGTGTAAGTACATAGGAATACGGCTTGGGCATTGAAAATCACGTTACCTTGTTTTGGGCCTCAGTCTGGGAAGAGCTCTGTGTTCGCGAAGACGACAGCCCTCTGATAGTGGCCCTGCATGAGAAGCATATCGACGGCTTGAAGGCCAAGGCCGGTGCCGTCCAGATCCTCTTTGCGAGCATTGAACGGGCCATGTTGGGTAACGGTAAGAGATGAATGACTTGAGTGCCTGGCGGAGTCGAGCACTGGCAAATGAGAATAGCGCAAACCAAGTGCGGAGAAAAGGATTATCTCAATCAGGCCTCTTCAGTGCGTCAGAGTAGACAAGAGGCGAGAGGTGCAAAATGTCCCGCACCGGCCAATCCAAGCTCTCGACAGGTGTCAGCTACCTCGACTCAGCCCCCTGATAGAGACTGAACCCCAGATGGAGAGGCGGTGGGTGCTATGACTGATGATATATAGACTTGGGTGTTCCATCAGAGTGGCGCGAGATCAAGGAATGAAGTCCAACCAATGCGGAGGTTTCGCCGGTTGCTGCAACAGGAAGGTCAAGCGAGGCTGTGAAAATCATTTCTCTCGAATCTCCCCCCAAGATTCTGTTCTTCTCTCTTCTTCACAACTAAATCCAAGATGAAGAGCATCTGTACGTCAGCTGCAGCTCCCGCGCTCTGGCTTCCGGGCTGGAGGTCTGTGGGCGGTGCTGATATGTCCTGGGTCCAAGCACCACCTTGAAGGACAATTTGAAACAAAGACTGATTGGACATGTTGTTGATTAAGAGCTGAGTCTGTATCATCTGCCTTGTCTACCGCTTGGAGTGTTTGTGAATGCACTCAATCTGCCATGGCTGGACTGGCTCACTACCTTTATGACGGGCTGACTGCGACGTTGGATGGCCCAGAGTTGTTTTTGATGCTGTTGTGGATTGGCAAGAGATTTGCTATGGGCAGTGAGCAGGGACATGGAAGAGATATCTGGAAAATCGCCGACACCGTCCTTTGAATCCACTGCAGGGGCCAAAGGGGAGTCTTCTTCCACCAGCTGAGTGTTGATGTTCCCTTTTTATGAATACCATTTGATGCTGCTGTGCACAATCTCGGCCTACTGGCCTTCAATGGGTGGTGCTTTGGTTTCCTTCTAGCACCTGTGACTTCTTTCCCCCTCCTTTTCGCGCATTAATGATGGTCTATTTTCATGATTGGCAGGAGAATGCTCTTCCTAGCCGCGATCACGCTGTTCTTGCGCGGTCAAGCAATCTGTTACCGGTGGTATTGGGTAGTTGCGCCGTCTTGCGTGAATGCTTCACACCTCGCTGCCGCCCTCCCCCGCTGCTTTAACAGGCCATTTGCAGTCAAGCACACCTTCTCGGGAAGCTCTGTCGACTATCTCCTGCCTCCTGCCTCCTGCCTCCTGCCTGTTTCTCATCACAGCCGATCTCGCTGCTATACCAGTGTTGCCAAGCGGAAGGTGGTTGAGATGCCCCTTTCCCACAGACACATTGCATGAATTTGAACTTCCCAGCACTCTCTCTTTCCTCGTTTCTCATTCTCCGTCTTACTTCCCAAGCCATCTTCGTCTCGCCTTTGATCCGTCCGTGCACAGCACAGCAGACGACCGCTTTGTCCTCGCTGCCTTCAGCTCTGATCTCGTGCTCTTGTAAGACAAGTCCCTTTTCAGTCACGCTGTTTTGCTCAGACATCACAAACAGATTCATTCTCCGTCCCGTCACCATGGCTCCCACTACCCGCAAGAGAGCCCAGGTCAACAACAACCCTCAACCCATCAGCGTTGTGTCTGCTGGAGCTGACGTGGTCACCGCCGGAGGTGTCACGGGTCGCAAGTACAAGGACGACGATCCCTTCGAGAGTGTCTTCGATCCCCTCATCGACGTTCCATCCGATGACCATGACTCTGACCATTCTGACTTTGGCGCTGACTCGAGGAAACGCAAGAGAAAGTGTGACAGCGACCGGAAGGGGAAGTCCAAGAAACGCTTCGCTCGCTGTGCTCCCCCTCCTCCTGCTGTCCCAGATCTCTCAGATGATGAATATGCCTTGAATGGCAATCAGACTGAAGAGGAAGAGGATGGCGGCCTCTGGTCCGTCGAACGTAGGGCCGGTACAAAAAAGACAAATGAGGACAAGACCAATCACTCGCAAGTCCTGTAAGCAAAATTTTCTCTTCGAGGACCTGTCCTCTTCACCTTCCCAACTCCAGTTTTTCAACTCGACTTCGTTTTCCCTTCTGCCACCTGGCAAAGGCTAATTAAATATATAACCAGGAGCATTGAGGTGAACAGTGAAGGTGGCGTCACGACGCTTATCAACCTCAACCTCGCGGATCTCCTGAAGAATTTGGGCGCTTCTTCTTGGACTTTGTCTACCAGACCGCGATCCGAAGCTGCTGAGATCGCCACCGAGTTTCCTGAGGACACCACCATGGTTCAGAACAAGCGGCTTGGCTTCCTAGACCTCCCACTCGAGCTTCGCCTGAAGACATATCGACTGCTCTTCCGTGACGACAAGGCCATTGAATTCGATCGCCGCGACTTCTCACGCTCTTCTCACTTTCTCCGAACTTGCAAAACAGTCCTCCAAGAAGGCAGAGAGGTCCTCTACGGCGAAAATTCATTCCACTTCACCCGAGAAACTGCCATTCGCGGTAGATACTACGAGAAGGTCTGGAAAGAGATTGGCTACAAGGATGTAAGACGATTCTTCGAAATCATCGGTCCTGCCTGCGTAAGTATCCTCTCGACTTTGGAGACCTTTTCTCTTGCTCTATCAGCCACAGACGCACGCTGAACTCCCTTCACAGATCTCTCACATGAAATACATCTCGTTTGTGCTCACCGACGGCGCGGACAATCGAACTAGAACCTCCACCCAAATCCCTGAACGCAAGTTCGTTAACGACCCACATCTGCACCAGGTCTTCCGTATTATTGGAGCCAGTGCCACGTTGAGGACACTTGCAATCCAATTTGCCGGCCGCGGCTGGGTTTCCAACAACGACTTCCACTTCTTGAAAGCTCTTACTGAGATCAAGTGTTACAAATTCGCCACCATCTACCGCTTCAGAGGGAACAGCAACAAGTGCTTCGGTGACCTCCAAGACAAGATGAAGCAAGTCATGCGTGTGACGGATGAGAATGGTGACGAAGTTGACCGGCCGGACAGTCAAAATAGGGTGAAGATGGTGTATGAGGGATGGAACCCAGTATTCCCTGTCATGCTGCATTACGTGTATGACTGGTAACTGATCAAGAGCCAGGAAGATACGGCTACAACATCATACGATTAGTCCGGTGTGTCCCACCCGTGTTGATCAAGGATATGTTCAGGGTTGGACATAAGTGAATTGCGAGAGGAAACAGGACAGTCGTGGGCACAATACGGGAATCAGAGAGTTCCAGTTCAAGGGTTCAGCCCATTGTTGAAGGGCAGGAAATAAAAAGAGCAGCACATTTGGCGAGCTTGGTCACATTTTCACTGTCGCAAGAGATGTCTGAAGCGACTCTGAAAGGTTGAAGTCAAGTGATGGACCTGAATCAGGTGGAATTGTCAGATGGCCTGTCATGGAGGCATCGTGAAAGAACAATGGAAACTGGCAACGGAAAACGGATAATGCGGTTCATAAGCACGGATCGCAGACGATGTACTTGTTCTCCTTCTGGAGGGACTGGACCTTGAGCAATGAGGCCAAGGCATGTACAGTAGCTGGGCGTCAAAGTCAACAGAGATCGATTAATCAATCGTCCAAGAATCAGGAAAACCTATCGGACACTTGTGAGAGCGTTCAATTTGTAGGACTGTCATCGAAGTTTGTTCCCTTGTACCAAACATGTCAGCTTCACTGCATCCCGTTGCTGTCTACAGATTCCCTTTTGCGGCTTCCCAACAAGGTCAGTCGTCAATATTCCAACTGAATTGTCTAGCATCCAATCTGGGACGGTCGAACAGACCCCGACTAATGCTCAATGTCATCCCAACTGCGGCCCTGGACGGCGTTCAGCTCGTCGATCGACATGACTTTGCCGGTGGTGAAATAGCCGGCGTGGATCTTTGCGTCGATCTCGACGCGCGAGTCCTCGGGGATCATATCGTCGGGGATGGGGACCCTCTCGAGGATGGGGATGCCCTGCTCGACGATGGCGTCGTGCTTCATGTTGGACATGGACAGCATGCGATCGATCTTGGTGATGCCGAGCCAGTGCAGGATGTCGGGCATGAGGGCCTGGAAGCGCATGTCCTTGACGCCCGCGATGTTCTCGGTGCGCTGGAAGTACTCGCTGGCGCGGTCAGCGCCGCGCTTGCGGGCGTTGTAAACCAGGTACTTTGTGACCTCGCCGAGGGCGCGGCCCTCCTTGCGGAAGTAGATGACGACACCGGAGCCGCCCTTCTGGGCCTCCTTGACGGCCTCCTCGATGCCGAAGATCAGGTACGGGCGGCACGTGCAGATGTCGGACCCGAACACGTCGCTGCCGTTGCACTCGTCGTGCACCCGCAGCGCCAGCCGTACGTTGGGGTCCGCCATCTTGGCCGGGTCGCCGAAGCAGTACACCGTCAGTCCGCCGATGGGGGGCAGGAACACCTTGATGTCGTTGCGTGTCACCAGCTCCGGGTACGAGCCGCCCGTGTGCTCGAAGAGCGCACGCCGCAGGGCGCTTTCGTGGATCCCGAACCGCTCCGCCACGCCCGGCAAGTACCAGACCGGTTCGACCGCGAACTTGGTCACGTTCAACTCCCCGGTCTCGTTGAGGCAGATCCGCCCGTCCGGCTTCAAGCGGCCCGCCTTCACGGACTGTTCGAGCTCGGGGATCTTCATGTGCGCCTTGGTCACGGCGATGGTGGGCCGGATGTCGAGGTCCTGCGATTGCATGAGGTCCTTGTACAGCCAGGGCGCCAGGTGGCCGAAGGGGTCCATAGCAACGATTTTCTTCTTGTCGCCCCACGCCGGAAAGGGGCCGATGTTCGCGGCGGGCTCGGTGTTGGTGAAGTCCGGTTTATGCTCGAGGTCGAGATTGTTGCTCGCCACGGCGAGGGCGTGGTATATGCTGTAGGACCCGCCGTGGGCCCCGATGGCGTTGCGACGACGAATCGTGTTGTAGTGGCGACTGACGACCACAGGGCCACGTTTGATGGGATTGGGTTCCCCCCAATCAAGAGGAATGGGGTCGATCCCCGACTGGCCTGGGTAGGTGGTGAGGATGATTCGCGACGTGACGGATGACTTCCTCGCGGGGGTCGTGGGAGATGAAGGTGCCTTGGGAGCCAGGCTGGAGTCCGTGGGAGGAGAGGCAGCGCCGCTCGCGGACTTGCCCAGCTGGATGGGGTCCAAGCTCGGGGAGTCTCTGCTGTTTGCTCGAGACCCGGGAGCGCCGCGCAGTTGGTTCACCGATTGCGAAGTCTCGACTCGGCTCTGGAGGGACTCCACGTTGGCAGCTAGGTTTGCCTGGTCCAGCTGCATTTTCTTGAGAGTGGTGAGGATCTCTGAGAGGATGGGCTCGGTGGTGACCCCGTTGGTGGGCTGCGGAGTAGCCATGAAGTGCGGATGCCGTAGGATAAACTGCTCGAACGAAACCAGGGCCCCCGCGTGCCGTAAAGAAGTTTATTCACAGCTTGGGAGGGAGAATTCCAATAAATCCGTCGCAGCCTAGATCTGTTTTGCCTCCCTAGCAATCCCACCAAGACTTGGACAGCAAGAATGGACGTCGAACCCGATGCTGACGAGGGATGGCCAGAAGGAACGTTGAAATACCTCCGAGACTGCTCTCAAACACCAAGAAAAAGCCCCAAGCACCCAGCACGATCTAAAGATGTATATGTAGGTATAAGGGATAAAGATATGACACAAGGGAGAAGGAGGAATCTCTTGAATGAGAGTGCAACGTTGAGGCAGTGGTTGGGTGCAGTGGGTGGGGGAAAGAATGATGCCCTCGATGTCATGTCCCGCAGCGGGATGTGATTGGCCACTCGGCGCATCGGAGGATGCCGCGATAGCGATAACGCATCGTGAGAGGGCACGTGACTGCGGAGATGGCGACGAGGCTGCGGCCTTCGAGGTCCTCGACGTCCTCGACGCGTCTCACTTTATTAGAGTCACCAACTCCCTCTCCCAACTCTCTCCAGTCTCCCTCTTTCAACCCGCCTTGGTTTTCCTCTTGCCGCACCAACACCGAGGTCGTCGGCGTTTATATAAATCATGGTGAGTCCTCGTAAATTTCGAGGTATGCCCATCTTCTTCTTCTGACGTGCTCATCGCAGGGGAAACGAAAGAAGTCCTCACGCAAACCTCAAGGCCCCAAGAAAGTCAGTATAGCCTCACCTTCTCATGTCTAGATTCAAGCCCAGACCACATCTCCGACCCACCACATGACCACTTTGTTTCTCAAACTAACATCACTTTTCCGATCTTGCAGCGCGAGCCCCTCGCCTCGACCTTCACCTGTCTCTTCTGCAACCACGAGAAAGCCATCCAAGTCAAACTGGACAAGAAAGCCGGCGTGGGTAACCTACACTGCAAAGTATGCGGGCAGAGGTTTCAAACCGGTATCAACTACCTGAGCGCCGCTGTCGATGTTTACTCCGACTGGATCGACGCCTGTGAAGATGTGGCAAAGACTGCGGCGACAAAGGAGGCCGAGGAGGATGCCAAGTTCAGCAGTTATGCAACATCCGGCCGAGCCGGCGCGGGAGTTGGAGTCGCCGGCGGAGGCGCCGATGAAGAAGACGACGATGCCGATTATGGCGACGAGTGATTCCTCCCGGCGTGAGCGCGACGAGGAGTGTCTTTGCTCTGTTCCTGCAAGGCATGGCGTAGGGTGGGGGTTTTTTTTGGAAGGGAAATTATCTTGATATTATTAAAGAGGATGGGAATATCATTTGGGCAAAATGGAGGTATCATAGGTCACCCTTGGCACAAAGCAATATTCACGGAAAATGACTGGGAAAGGGTGGTGATGCCCGAAGCAAAAAGGGTTGGAGGATATGCCATGGAGCATATGAGGAAACGCTCTATCGGCTACGAGATATGCCATTTGGCCAGAAGTAGAGCCGACGTATTTGGGTATATCGCATGACTGACACAATTTCCTTCCATCAGTTCACGAACATAGGGTGTAGTCCCTCATTGTCTTCGCCCCGGGAATTCCAGTCGCGCAGTGACTCGAGGGTTTCACATCTGAGCTGTTACTTCCTTAACGTCCACACCACCCAACTTCTCTCTTTGCCTCTCTGCAGTCCCCGCACACTCAATCCAGGGAGAAGTACTGGATATCGAGCAAAGTCTCTTGCTCTGTTGATCCATACCGAGGGGTTCCACGCCCTTGGGTGCTGATGAGCTAGCTGGGGAACCTTAACACAAGGAGATCATTCCACGCCTTCCGACTTGGATATGAACCGGTGATAGAGAAGTGCGCGACCAGGGCAGCATCGCAAGACAACTGGGCAACCCAATTCGATTCAGGACAGTCGAAAAGAATCGCAGGACGTGAGGCACGAATTGTTGTCGTAGCTAGTGGCATCCGTAGTCGTTGAAGCAATCTTTGTAAATGCAATATTGATCTCTTCGCGTCAAACCCGACTACAAGTTGATAGCAGCTTTGCCCATTGCCATGTCTCAATGTCTAGTGAATGCCACTCTCCATCCTCGACAGCATGACGGCAAAGGATAGGAAAGCACAGTGAAGCAGCTGCTTGCCACGGGGATTCGTGACATCCATCCATAGACCTGCGAGGTCGACGACGTCCCCAGCCATCTTGAGATGCCATAGCGTCGGTTCGCCACCAAGGAAAAACGATTCGGAAGAAGGATTAGTGTAGTATGGCACCGGGTCTTACCTTGTCTCGCCTTGAGTTCAAAGCCACAACTTCTCTGTAACAACGCGTTCGGACAAGAAATCCATCAGCCATGTGTCGTGATATCATTGCAGATCAGACTTTCAGCAAGAGTTTTCGGGTAGTCTGGAAGGGGTCCAATGCAGGGGCAATCAGTCCAGGATACCAAGGGGAATACAACTTCATCTGCATGGAAATTGAGTTCCTCTTTGATTGTTGAGAGCCAATGACTGAATCATGAGATTGCCACCGTCGTTGTCATCAGAACCCTAACCTCCACGTTCTCCTGTGACTGTCACGACAAGGCCGGTAATTTTTATCGTTTCTATGTGTGATCTCCGGTATACGCAAGGGATGGAACAAACGGTTTTAATCTTGTTGAGACAAGGCAGTCACGGGCAGTGATCCCATCCCATATTATATGGATGAGCTGCGGACCAGTAGAAGCGTCATATCAACGACAACTGTGACCGTGGCCGGTGGCAAACAATCCGCCACCCCTGGACGGCGGAATGTCTTTCGAACGTTGGGCTCCCCTGAAACCCTGTAATTTGATTGCCTTCGTTGGGAATGATCCGATTTGAAAGTGACATTTGTTTCGACAACGAGCAAAGATTGACTCAAGGTCTTGAGCCCTTGATCAGGGTGTTGGGCTGGATCGCCAAAAGTGTCGCGTCTGATTGAAAATCCTTCAACGGATGATCGCGGGCCTCGAGGGGTGGGGGAGGTGAAAAGAACCCACAGCTCGTATAACAGAGCTGACCGGACATAAAGTATCCTTTCTCGTACCATGCCAGGGGCATCAGGAGTGAGACTGGAGAGGTTGGTCTGACAATGCAAGACATTCTTGCCTTGCTTTGTTGCAAGATTTGATGGAGCAACATCGGATCGCCTCCCTTCCCCAGGCATGTCCAGAATGTATTGGACTGCGATGTTTCGTACTCGTAGTGATCTTCATGCAACTGTGATGTGCATGAGGAGGGGGATTTGTCTTTCCGTTTGATTTTCCCGAAGGTAGCTGGCCCAATCGCAACCAATCGAGGGGGCCCATCTTTGCGAATCTAAAACAAGGGGCCTCTCTTTGCCCCCCGAGATTCTTCCCCCGTCAACCTTCATGGGGAAGTCGTCTTTGCCTTTTCCAGAACGGGCTGCTGTTCCTCGCCTGTTTTCTTCATCTCTGCCTAAGCGAGAGGGAGTTGGTGCTACTAGCCGGGTACAGCCCTCTGGCGACGATAATGGATCGGCATAGACTTCTCGAATGCAGTGCGTCCTGCACAGGCGATCGATGCAAGATCGCAGACCTGCAGTAAACAGGGGATGCAGTGCAATGCCAATGCAACAGCGGAACAGAAAGGCTGAATATCGCAGCCGCAAAATTGTCCGGCTCTTGGACGGGGGGGCTTTCAAGACGAAGGCGTGTCCGGCAGCATACATCGACCCACACCCCAAGATTCCCCCTAGGGACCCAGCCTCCCCAAAAGCCAGTGCTTCCGGAAGCAGCTTGCAAGAAAGAAACCTTTTCTCTCATGATGTGACTCCACATGGAGCAGAAGCAAGAGAAGGCTTTGGCGGGAAAACAACTAGGGGATCAGGCATCCCGTTCAGAGCTTCTGGATACGTGCTTGACGGAGTAATCATTGCTGATCGAGCGATCCTCGCAAAGCTGACCCAGTCTCGCTCGACAGTGATTGGACTGCTTCAGCCGACGCTGGTCGAAGCCGGTCTGAGAGTGGGCTGCTGGGATTCTTCTTCCGCAAATCATGGATTGACAACACATCAGACTTGTTGGGATGTGGGCGGCAAGCCCGCCGGCGATTTGTACGGATTGTGAACTCGTCGACAATGCCAATCGCTTTGAAACGGACTTTCCTACCCATTTTGTTATCTCCTTCTATCCTCGGCCATTGGATCCAGGAGAGGGCGGGAGAAGTCGAGACCCCCCTTGATGTCTTTACATGTACGCGAGCCGTAACCCAGTGGGCTCTGTGACACAGAGAAACAAGCCGCAGTACTCATGGTCGCATGTGCCACAATTCTCTTGGGGGCGTGGCCTCGTCTGCCTCCCTGCGCATGATTGTCCCGCCATCGGAGGAAGGCCGGGTGCCGATGTGGACCATCAGGACATTCGGCAGATCTACTGTAGAAGCCTGTCCTAGCATGCAATTCAAGCTTTCAGAAGGGAGGGCGTGTTGACAGCAGTTGGTGCATTGTCCATGCATCGTGGCCTCAGGAAGGCAGTGATCTTGCATTTGCATGCCTCTGGTTGGCATCTTGGACCCAGATAGATTCAACCTGCAATGCGACCTTAATTCGTAGCGGATACACATGCACAGCGGGAACACCCCGTCTGCATCCCCGCATGCAAGCAAGCTGTCTCGCTGAAGATCCCTTGCCGACAATATACGGGAAGGCTCACGTCCGTCAGCCACTGAGCAGGGTATATTCAAAAGCCGCCAAATGTACGAGGTATCTCTGAATTCACGATGCTGGCGGCCTTTTGCCAGTCGGCAGTCTGAGTTTCCAATTGAATGCACACGTGTTGTAACGACGATGGACTGGAACTTCCCAGAGAGCCCACCCTGTCGGGGCTTGCCTAATGCTCCGTTGAAGGAGGTTGGTAACTTTGGCCCCGAACCTCTTTCCAGAAAATAATGGACGAGGGATCCGCGGCCGCACAAACCCTAGGGAGACACCACTGTCATCCGGTAACCACGTAGCATCCTCCTACCGGTGTATCCGGGCTACTCTTCTTAGATGTTGGACCGAGGATGAGTAACGTCCAATTTGATGGGATCGAATGCGAGCAAAAGCTCGGAGATGAGGTCCATCGAAAGGCAGTCCGCCGTTGCCCGTGATTAATTGATGAGGCTGGAAGACGCGATGTCGATGCCATTATCTCCTCGAAGATTGCGGAGCACGACTCCGTGTGAGGGAATAGCAATGCCCGTCTAGGTCGACAGTAAGGCAGACAGTCGGGTTGGGCAATGACGCGCAGCAGATGGAGCGAGCTAGGCCTGAAACTCGTGGTGACCAGAAGCCCTAAGTCACACTGGCCAGCCACAAGCTGACAGATGATGCCATCAGCGCCCGGCAACAACGGTTTGAATCGACTCACGGGTTCTTCTTGAAAGCCAGGGTTAGACAATAATGCGTTGTACAGACCACCTGAGACTTGGTCTAATCCAAGCAGTTGCTTTTGCAATATCTTTTTTGTCTCTGTTGTGGACGGCCTGCCATTGCCGCTCTCAAACGAAAGCCACCTGTAAACGTACATCGTGGGGACTAGGTACGCGCTAGGACACTTGATGGCGCCGCTGCTTACCGCTGTACCTCACCTTAGCGCTTGGAAGGCCCGGCAGATACGCTCAATCTGGCGTTCGTCAGGAAGCAAGTCTAGCACTCGTGGTCTCGTAACCGAGGCCAGGATGGAGGCAGCGGCATGATACCGCGAAGACGTGGGCAACTGGGCAAAGGATCGAGTGGCCGTTCATGGTATGGAAAGACGGAGTCGGGGCCAGAGAGTTTGCGACGCGAGAGCCATCGCGGCTGAAGCAAGATGGCTTGTGCACATCTGGCGAGCATCCGCAAGTCAGCGACAAGGAGCAGGGGAGTAGGAACATCACGACCAGGGCAACAGGGGGGAGCGGAAGGCCTTGCCCATCGTCACCTTATCATCGTACCCCCTCACTCCAGGGTGGGCACCATGGCTCTCCGTTCCGGACTAAGCGCGACTCCGCTGGGAAAAGCAATGGAGGGACATACTGCTGTTGGTTGGTGCCACCTGGAAATCGTCCGACACTGTGGCACAAGCCTTTTCGTCGAGACCGGCCAAATTAAAATTCAGACCTGGGAATTTGAATGAGCATCCACTGAGTAACATCGAGACGAGAATTCTGAGCGAGACAGAAACATGCTCGTAACGTGAGAGGAGGAGCAGACGTCGTACTAGGATTGTCCAAGGCCGGACCTTGGGGGGGCGAGCAAAGGGCGTGACTCTTTGATAGACGGCAAGTGCCTGGAAGGGCAAGGAAAGACGCTTTTTCTCCCCCAACATCCACACTCGGGCGGTGCGTGGGCCCTGGCGTCGGACTGGAGGAAGTGGCCAGGCGACTTTTGCGTGACGCTGGTTGGGGAACTTGGGGGCTGCCCGTGATAAGGTGACGATTCTCCCGAGCCTGAACTGATAGGCATGGGCGGTACGGGGGGGGCAGGAAGAATGCCAGGTGCCAGGTGGTAAGGATGGATTCGCAGTCATGGTTCTAGTCCAGGACTTTAGGGTCGGTTGTGCTCCTTGTGGCTTGCAGACAACTCCAATTGACCGTCTCTGGGTGGACCCGATGCTGACTGGATGCGACACCTTTTTCGAAGGGCTGGGGCAGTTTGAAGACTCGAATTTTTGCCCTTTGAGGTTGACGAACAACTGCCCTGCCCTTTTTTCATCAGACAGGTATGTCGGGAGTACTGTGCTGGCTCCAAAAAGCACCTGACTGTCCACGATGGTTGCCTCTGCTGGGGGGTCAAAGAACCCACCCTTGGCCAGCAAGGCGCACAGCTGGCACCTGGGAACGCCTGGGGTTCAACCTTGGGCGCTTAAGAGCTCCTCAAGAAGGGCCCTTGGTATCCTCATCAGAATTTAGTAGTTTCCGAGAAAGAACCTGGGTAGTTGCTCCGCAGTAAGAGGGATTCCTACCCGTAGCACTACGTACAGGCCCGGAGGACTAACCACAGCACGGAGTATCTTATCCCTAGTTTCCTATACTTGCACAGGACGAGTATACCCACATGGGTTTCGGTTGTTGGCCGTATTGTACGTACTGTGTAAGTTGAGCTCTTGACCCCGTCATCCTTCCCCGGCTCTTTCTGAATCACCCACAGGTCACGGGCTATCGTGGAAGGAGTTGGCAGGAGGCAGGTGGCAGGAAATTCGCGGGCTCGTCAAAGGTCAATGGTAATTGTAAGTTTGTCCCAAGCCCTCCGACGCGATAGGCAAGGGTGCAACGTTATTTGGTCAGAAAGGGCCATCGTTGTAAGAGGAGGAGTAACTTCCGTAACGGAGGATGAAGGGCAAGCCAGCCGTTTCCCGGCTGCGATTGGCAGCCTGCGTCCGCCCGCCGTGGGTCTTTGTTTGACCTTTCGTGGAGCGTTCAAAAGTCGCAAGTTTCGGCACGCTTGGGATCGCTGGGAGCATGGTCTGTGTGTGAGAGCCAGAGAGGGTGGGTGGAGGGGTGGATCAGGGATCACCGACCACTTGCGACTGGGCGGCAGCAGGGCAAAAAAGGCCCATGGTTGGGAGTGGAACCCTCGCGCCCTCTCTTGCTGGGCGGGCAGCTTGGGCCTGCTGGGTGGTGCTGGCCCTGCTGGGGGGGCTTTAGAGTTGGTGGGTCGCCAGGGAAGGACTCCCCTAGGCACGTTAAGGAACAATCTGGTGCCAATCATGCAGCGCCCACGCTGGGTTGTGGCCAGTTAGCGGGCGCAGGTAGCAGGCGAGGCCTTCTTGAGGAGGGGGTGGGATCAAGAGCAAGCGGCTTCGGCTTCGTTTCTTTGCCTCTTTGCTGGGCTTCTGGCTTCTGGCTTCTGGCCTTTGACTTGAACTTGACACCACCCTCCTCCCCCCCCCCAGTCCCTCCACCCTGCTCTGGACTTCTGGACCTCTGGCCCTCTGCCTATTTTGCTCTAATGCACCACCTGCGCACACCTTCTTGTCCTCCCGCTCGGCTACTGCACACCGTCTGCGTCTCTGCATCCTACCTGCTTCCCAAACCTCGTTGCCTCTTTTCTCCAGATCTCCATTGAACCATCTTTCCTGCAACCCCCAATCCAGGTGTATGCTGTCCACCCGTCAATAGTCATGGCCTAATTGCGCGTCACGATTGTCCTTTCAAGTTCATGTTTGAGAAGCGTTCTCCAGTTGTTCGGTATGTGCTCAAGAAAACGACGCAAAAAAGTCTGCTCTCAGCCTGTGCGAAGCGAAAAGTCCGCTGCCCGTGCCCAGGAGTCCGCACAACAATCTGACCGAGCTGCTGCTTTTTTGCTGATCTTGCTGCATGCTCCATGTGCCTGCATGCTGCACAACCTCTATCATGAAATACCTGCTAACATCTTGCTCAACTGCGCAGTTTGCGATCCCATTGACGACGCTCTTTCGTTGCCTTCTTCCCGCGCCGGAAAGCTCAGCAGAAAATTAGCAGCCACTTGCCAGTACCAACACTCGGGAGGCACCCAAACGTCTTGGATTACTTGGTCCCTGCTTCCAATCGTGCATGCCCCCAGCAACATCGTCCACAATTTGGTCTTCTTGGTTGAAGAAGAAATTGTCGGCGTGGGTAACGACTATTCCACCTATAGACGATAAGGCTTGAATCTGAGCTGGGGAGACCTCTCGTCAAGCTCGTTCTTCTCGCCCGGAGTCATCCGACAATCGATTTCGTACTTGGAATATCCTGGATACCAAGTAACCTCGCTGAACAGTCGGTAAATAAACTGTGACGCTCGCGGATTAATCTACCGCGGCCCCGAATCCGAGAACGGTGTCAAGAGACGGGACATATTTTTGGATTTCGGTCGCTCAGGCTGCGCCTCTTAAATCGAAAGAAACCATTCTAGTGATTGATCCAGGAGGCGCGAGAATCAAGCTCAGACCATCGAAAACCCAACCATCTCGGGGAGGTATTATCCTTTGCTTGTGATTAGCTTTGTGCGGACGTAACTCATCGATCACATACTGGTGGTTGACGCATATCGACCCAAGATGAATCAAACGCAGTCGTACCTGGATATGCATCCCGGCTCACACATGTCTTCCGGGCCTTCATACTCCCACGCCGGTTCCACAGCGCCCTTGGGCCATTATCAACAGTATCAACAACCTCCCATTCCCGCATCGTCACATTACGGACCACCTCCGACCTATGGGACTTATGGCTATACAAACGGTGTTACTTCTCCACAGTCCGCCACTGGTTCGGTAGCGCAGCAAGTGTCTCAGATCACCTCACTTCCCGGTAAGACTCGTGCCTTTGAGATGACAAATGTGTACCCTTTCTGACGACGCGAAGCTATCATGACTGGTGCTCCCAATTCTCAACATTCATATGTGGCTCAAACGCCGGGTTTGCCCGCTCCAAACCAGGCTTTCCCTCAACAGCAGCAACCATTTGATACTACCGGTCAGATTGCCCCCCCCGGCATGAAACCGAGGGTGACGGCGACGCTCTGGGAAGACGAAGGTAGCCTATGCTTTCAAGTAGAGGCCAAAGGAGTCTGCGTTGCTCGCCGGGAAGGTAACACCTGATCCCTCCCCCGAGTGTATCAATGTCACTTAATGCTCACTTGTTTGCAGATAACCATTTCATCAACGGGACCAAGCTTCTCAACGTTGCTGGAATGACCCGGGGACGCCGAGACGGCATCTTGAAATCTGAAAAGACCCGACACGTGGTGAAGATCGGACCCATGCATCTGAAAGGAGTCTGGTAAGTTTAGTGTACGTCTGAACATGAAGCAATCTGTTGATTTCGCCCAGGATACCTTTCGAACGTGCCCTTGATTTCGCCAACAAGGAAAAGATTACAGATCTCCTGTACCCTCTTTTCGTGCACAATATTGGCGGGCTGCTTTACAATCCTGAAAATGCATCTCGGACGAATGCTGTCGTGCAAGCAACAGAGCGACGTCGGATGGATAGTGTCGATTCCACTCGTCCGTCTCAACCACAGGCGCCATCACTCCAACATCACAATAGCATGCCAGGCCCAGGCCAAGCCCCACCAACACCTCACTCCATTGCTCCGCATCCGAATGCACCGCGTCCGGGCATCGACCGTGCACATACCTTTCCAACTCCTCCGACGAGCGCTTCGAGTGTGATGGGGATGAGCAGTCAAGGAACTTCGTACGACTGGGGCACCCAGGGCATGACGAACGGCGCAGCAGGAGCACAGCCTTTATCCATTGACACAGGCATGAACGCTCGTTCCATGCCTACAACGCCCGCCACGACCCCACCTGGGACTGGTGGGCAAGGGATGCCAACATATCAAGGACAGTCGGGATACGAGAATTCGAAGCATTACTACAGTACTACACCCAGTTCTCAAACTAGTTACGCGCATCATCCAGACAGCAGCAGGTTTGGCCAGCCCATGCAGGCGGTACCATACGGGAAGACTGATATGGGTCCACCAATCGCTCCAGGAAGCGCCAGTACTGGAGGGGATGGGCATGACCCCAAGCCTGATGCATATACTGCTCAGAGCCACTCGTCCCAGCATGAAAGTGACCATCCAGACAGTGGTTACATGAGCGCAAATCCTTCTGCTTATAGCACAGGCCGACAATATACGTACAGTGCCACTGGTGAACATCCACACATGTCTCCTGAGCAGATGTCGGGCTCTCCAACGCATCAGGCTGGCTCCGGCCACGCAACACCAAGGACCATGCCTGCAGGTCAACCACAATGGACAGGAGATTACAACACTCCGCCCCGACCGCCTCCTTCCAGCAATGTATATAATGTCATGGGCGGCCGGGACCGCACACCACAAGGCGGTCCGACCGACAGCTATGGAAATCCGACATATGCGGCCACCGGCCATCCCGCGAGTGTGTCTTCGGTGAAACGAGGGCGAGAGGATGATGACCAAGACCGCCCTGGCAGCCGAGAATACGACGCTTACGACCCGAAACGGCGCAAGACAGCACGTCAAGACACGTACAGCATGCCCCTCAACACGCCTCCCCACATGCAAGCCATCAAAACCGGCGGACAGCGGTAGAAGTCTTAATTTAGCCCGTCAAGAAGACTCTTATCTGTGTTGGAGACGTGTGACGAGTGGAAAAAGTGGACTTGCACCTTCCGATGGGCTCTACTTCCGAGGTAATGCCACATCACGATATATTTCCAAAAAGCGATTACGAGATTTACGACGGCCTGTGCGCCAAAAAGATTAAAGACTAACGAATGGAACAAGCGTGCACGGTTTGCTTCCTCGCCTTTTAACGACCTTACGAAACGATTTCCTTCGAGCGCTTGCAAATGGCGAAAATCACGATTTATTTCTGCGATTTCCGGCCGTTTGGGGCAGGGCTGAATTTTCATGGGTCTAGATGTTCTGCTTCCTTGTTGTGTATGAGGGAACGATATACGCGTGGATGGATTATGATTTGGGACGGATGAACAGCTATGATTCTGAAGGGCGCCCGATGATATGTTTTCTTGGCTGCGGGAACGAGAGCAAGACTACATGCGGCTGCTGGGCCTTGCCAATGACCTGTACAACTGAGAGAGTCCCATTAATTTTCATGGGTCAAGGATTGGGACTGCCCTCGGGTGTGCAGTGGTAGAGGTCAGGCGCTGTAGGGACAATGGCTCCTGTCTTCTCCAATCTTGGGACTTCCACTCATGACATGTCGAATACAATAAAAGCTCTATTTATAATCATCAGGTGTCTCTCTTTCTGAACATGGTAGACAATGTCGCCACGAAAACCATGTAAGCATTTTGGTGTTGAGCATGTCTGAGGATGTACGGTAACTTCAAGTGCGACAGAAGAGAACCATCAAAAAGCCAGCCTTGCCAAGCAATAAGAGTTATTCAATGGTCCAAGCCTGGCGGAGTACCCCTCGTTGGCTGGATCTGGACTAGCGCAAATAGTGCCAAGCTTGGCGCACCATGAATTTGTTACAGTCGATTGACTTGACTCTTCCAAGAGATCGAGGTTTATCTGTAAACCACGACACCCACCGCTCTCCAGTCATCGTCTCGAGATGTAAGTCCGACTCCTTCCTTGTGGTAGTTCACATTCTTCAGCTTTCGGGCTTTCGGTTTCCGATCACGTTCTTCTGGACAGCGGAAAGTGCATGACGGAGACGATGAAAGATTTGAAGCTGATGCATGATTCTTTGCAGGACGAACCTCCGCACCCAGAAGCGCCTCGCGGCGTCCGTCGTCGGCTGCGGCAAACGCAAGATCTGGCTCGACCCCAACGAAGTCAATGAAATCTCCAATGCCAATTCGCGACAGACCATCCGAAAATTGGTCAGTGATGGGCTCATCATCCGCAAGCCGGTGGCCATGCATTCGAGGGCCCGTGCGAGGGAGTTGAATGCGGCTAGAAGAATTGGCAGACACCGAGGATTCGGTAAGAGAAAGGGTACGAAGGATGCCAGAATGCCTAGGTACGATGAAACGACCCCCTCATGAGCCGGGAACGAATGGCGACTTTGTGTGGAGGGCTCGATGCTGACAGGTATATGTTCACAGCCAGGTTCTATGGATGAGACGCTTGCGTGTTCTCCGACGTCTTCTCGTCAAGTACCGTGCTGCCGGCAAGATTGACAAGCACCTCTACCATGAACTCTATCAGTTGAGCAAGGGTAACACCTTCAAACACAAGCGTGCTTTGGTTGAACATGTATGTCTCAACACCCTTGTCACAGTCGTCTCTAGGATGAAAATTGACCGATCAAACCACAGATCCACAAGGCCAAGGCCGAGAAACAACGTGAGAGAATCCTCAAGGAGGAGATGGATGCCAAACGTGCCAAGACCAAGGCCGCTCGTGAACGGAGACAGGAACGAATTCAGACCAAGAGAAATGCCCTTGCTGGCGAAGCCGAGGAGGAAGCCAAACAACAGCAGGAATAAATGGCTGGAGCAGCATGGTGGAGAGGGACGTGAGATGATTGTGAAGAGCAACATATTGAGCAGATTGCCTGAGACTAGTCTGGAGGACGATCTCGACCACATGCTCCTGCGCAGCGACCGCATTGCACACCTGGGCGGATATGTTGAACCAAAACGACGGGGAAAGGGAACAACCTATGGGCCTTGCGTAGGAGATCATGGCTTCGCATATGGGATAGTGGTTTCAATAGCCGTCTTTGATAAAGCAACGAGGGGTTCGGATTCAAGAAGCGACTTGGCTCCTTGGACTCTTCCTGGAGTTTCTCGTACCGCAGCCACGATCTCCATGACCTCTCTTAGCTTCTTGAACATGCCTTATGATTACTACCTCGGAGTAGACCACAGATCGTCTGGTCTGACCTTGGTGATGGCCATTGAGGGGTGCATGCTGCTCCGGTGCACACGCCAGTCAGGCGGGCGATCCATGGTTGGCTGCTTGTTCGCCTCGCGCTCCCACAGGCCTTGAATGACCCCTTCAGACTAAGAGGCATCGCTGTCCACTTGGACACGGACACTATTCAACCTGCATACCGCACACATACACCAACCTGCAACGCTATGCAGGTCCCCCTGTCACCCAAAGCCTTCATATCCAGATGTCCCTCTAACCTTGGCAAGAAATCCTCTGCATCCGCTACTGCAACGCCGGGTGTGACGACTCCTGCGCACCGACGTCTTTCCCCTCCCCTCCAAAGGCATTGCCCACAGGATGCCACCCTAGATCGACAGGGTTGATGTCGACTGCGCACTGGTGCGAAATCGCCCAATGGTCACTTCTACTGAGGCCTGCAGTTCTTCGCATCCGCGCCTCAACTTGAGCCTCGTTATCGCCGTTAGGGAATGCCACAGGTCACGACCGTCCTCGTGCTGTTCCAATCGAATTGCTCTATCCAGTCTGCAACCGAGACTTAAATATTCAACGCCAACCCCGCAGCGTCTCTCAATTTGAGGGCAGCAGCCAGAGACCCGGCGCCGGCTTTCAGAGGGTGACTTGGGGACGACCGTTGTTAAACAGCATACCGCAGGCCCCTGGACCTCAATGGTTAGGGTTTTGATACCCGGACTCCTGCGATCATGTTTGGAGTAAGTTGGGCTTCCGTCGGTGAGTAGAAATCGAATCATATCGCCCAAGTTGCGCTGCACCCGGGCGGTGTACACATCTGGCATTGGAAAATTGAGGCCACACCTCCACCTGATGTGTCAGAGACCGCTTCATGTACCAAACGATTTCGTTCCGATATGGTCTCGACTTGAGGCGTGTCTTTGACCCAGAATCTTCCGGAGGTCAATGTATCAGATTGAAGTTGGTCCTTGGAGACATGGGTTATACCAACTCCGGGTTCGGTCTCTTGAAGGACTTTGTCTTCTACATCCTGGGATCAGGTCCATTACGGCAATCTGATTTCCCATCGTCCTTTTCATTTCGCACATTTGAGCCGAGAATGCCTTGGCCATGCGCTGACCTGTGACAGGTGCCGGAGGAGATGGCCTTCTTGACAGAGAACGGAATCCGCCGCCAAAGCCTATTCCGCTGGAGTTCCCGAGCTATGTCCCTTCACGTTGTAACAGCCCACTGACCCGGCAACACATCAAGAATGTCTGTAGAGAGCTCGCTTCGATTCGCAAACTACCCGACATACGCGACTCTCATCTTGCCCATCTCAACATCCAACTGCTCCAAGATGTCCCACTTGCGGAGATGGTGCCCAACAAGCAATTCGAGTCACGTCCTCTCCTGTACGACAATGATCTGACAGCTATGCTTGAGGAACTGGAGGTCGGTAATGAAGATGCCTATCGAGAAGTCCTCAGACTGGCACCTCTTGAAGGGAGGAAGAAACCCCGTCTGGCATACTCAAGAAACTTTTTTGCCAGTCTGGAGGACATGAGTCGGTACTGGGACTATAGCAAAGATAATTACTACGAGGTTGAATCTAGTGTCGCGGAAGACCCCGTCCAGGGCACCGAGCACAAGATTGATGATGTCGGGAATTCGCTCAGTAACACACTTGATGTTGAGATGCAGGATTCCGTCGAGAATTCTCTAAACCCAGAGCAAGAGCTTGGGCAAGTGGCGAATCAGAGCCATTCCTCTGCCAGTCCGGTGCCTATGGCCACCGTCGAGATCCCTAGCCGCCCAAAGATGAAAGAGGTATACAAGGGACAACGGCTTGGTAACGGCGAGCAGATGAGCCCCGGTACCCGAGTTTCGGCAGTGAGGAACCTTTTGAAAATGGCTGTTCACAAGTTTAACTGCCGGGATTACGACGTGAGCCCGAGAGACAAGTTGAGGATTAACAACATCAATATCCCCGCGGTATCCTATAATTTTTGCGTTGCAAAATTGCCGGCTGATACGAAGCTATTGAGGGCAAGGATGGTGGAAGGACCGGTGATGGCAGTTCACTGCAGGCACGAGGTAAGGTTCAAGTCGAGGGACGGGCTTCTGAGTCCGACGAGTGATTTTGTGGGCGAGAAGTTTGATCTGTTCCGCGAAATTGGCGGTATGTTGATGCTCGCAAAGCAAAGAGCCAGAGAATCCCAGACACTATCCAAAGAACCGGGCGAGCACCAGTGGTGGGCGATTAAGAGCCGATGGGGTGGCGGCGAGACGAGATGGGGGCAGCTTGCCAGCGAAGTATTTGAGGATGAAGATCCAAGCTGGAGCCCGGACGAAAGGCGCTTGCAACTTGGAAAGCGGGAGAAAGAGGAAGAGGAACGAAGGAATGCAGAGGCAGCCACTGCGGCTGACTTGAAAAATCTCAAACCAGAAGATCTAATCGCTGGTCCGTCCTCGCCGAGCGAGAGGCCGAAAAAGAAGAAGAAAAGTGGTGAAGCGGGTGGGTCGCCGAAAGACAAGGTTGAGTATAAAGACGGGAGGCGACTGATGTATGTCCCGCCCTTGCGGCGGAAGTGGTACCAAGAGTGGATGAAGGTCCGCCCAAATGGCCCTTGGTGGGATGAGAAGTTGATCTATCGGAGTATCGGTAAGCAAAGTCGAAATGAAGGGCCGGTGGGCTGGGACGACATCTTCATGATATCAGCCGCAAACCATCACGCCTGCATTTTGAAGATGAGCGTGCATGAGAACTACCTGGACTGGCTGGAGACTGGCGGCGAGGGAAGACCACCGTCCGAGTCGCAGGAGACTGCAACCAAGGAGGACGTGGATCAGCAGCAAGAACATATCCTCTACGTCAGCAGGAGCCCGTGGCTGGATCTGTTTGAGGTCGAGCAAAGAAAGGAATTGCTTGTCGGAATCTGGAGGATCCTGAGCTGGATCAACCGACAGGAGGTGCCACGTGAAGAGATCGAGAAGATGGAAAGGCTTAAGGGGCCACAGCAACAACCAGGGGAAGATCACAGCGGCGACCACCAGATGGAGATCTGATTTCGCAGAGATGAATGGGAGAGATGTCTAGAAGGCTAGCATTGACCAGGTCAGAGGACCGGGAACTAGGCCGACGGTGTCCAGCAGTGGATAGAGAGTTCATTCCAATCTTTCTATGATATTATCATTGTGGTGAGCAGGTCGACGCCCACGCAGCTCAGCCTTGTCCCCTCTCAGACCCCTTTGATATGCGGAGACAGACCAATAGAATCCTCCCAGTCTCGGACGAGGCTGAAGCTAAACAAATACGAGAAAAAAGTCACGTCATAGTCCGGCCATCCCAAAATTTTGTCCCGCAAACCCGCAAATCCGCGGGGGGAGTCATTGAATTTCCTATACCAACTAACCTGTCTCTGTGGTCCTCTCCGAGGTTGCCAGCACCCCTTACCACTTATTTCCTCTCTCTAGCCACAAATTCACGAGCACCCGTTGAAACTATGCCTGCGTCACACCTCTCAGAGGGCATTCGCATCCAGCAAAATGGCGAGCCGCAAAACCCTCTCCGTCGCGAAGTTTCACGCAGTCTCTCCATGTCTACCTCCCCGAACGACGCCTTCCACGTCCGCAAGGTCTCCTTTGGTGTCGACAACATTAGTGGCACCTCTCCTAACCTCCGGCGAACAGTAACGGGCCCTCAGCCTAAGCAATTAAAGCCCTTCCGCGAACAGGACGTCAAGATTCTGTTATTGGAAAATGTCAATCAGACAGGCAGAGATATCCTAAAGGGTCAAGGGTATCAGGTCGAGTTCTTAAAGTCCAGCTTGCCCGAGGACCAGTTGATTGAGAAGATCAAGTAAGAGACTCAGGCTGGGGTCGAGCAATATCCTTCGATCGCTTGGACTCTCTGACTAACCCGACTCTACTGCTCAGGGATGTACATGTCATCGGCATCCGCTCCAAGACAAAGCTCACTGCCCGCGTGCTCGCAGCAGCAAAGAACCTCATCGTGATCGGCTGCTTCTGCATCGGCACAAATCAAGTCGACTTGAAATATGCCGCCTCCCACGGGATCTGCGTCTTCAACTCCCCCTTCAGCAACTCCCGCTCCGTCGCCGAGCTGGTCATCTGCGAAATCATCGCATTGGCTCGCCAACTGGGCGATCGCTCCAACGAACTGCACCGCGGAACATGGAATAAAGTCTCTGCGAGATGCTGGGAGATTCGCGGCAAGACTCTGGGCATCATAGGCTACGGCCACATCGGATCGCAGTTGTCTGTCTTGTCCGAGGCGATGGGCATGGACGTGATATACTACGACGTGGTGAACCTGATGGGCTTGGGCACCGCACGCCAAGTGCCCACCCTGGAACATCTACTCAAGGACGCGGACTTTGTAACGTGCCATGTCCCGGAGCTGCCCGAGACGATGAACATGATCGGCGCAAAGGAGCTGGAGACCATGAAGAAGGGAAGCTATCTCATCAACGCCTCAAGGGGCTCAGTCGTCGACATCCCCGCGCTGATTGATGCGATGCGCTCGGGCCACATCGCCGGCGCGGCCTTGGACGTGTATCCAGCGGAGCCCGGCGGAAACGGGGACTACTTCAACAACGAGCTGAATTCCTGGGCGGGGGACCTACAGTCCCTCAAGAACATCATCCTGACGCCTCACATTGGCGGGTCGACGGAGGAAGCCCAGTCCGCGATCGGCATCGAGGTCGCCGAGGCACTGGTCCGCTACGTCAACGAGGGCGTCACTGTCGGCGCCGTCAACATGCCCGAGGTCGCTTTGCGCTCCCTCACCATGGACGAGCCCGACCACGCCCGCGTCATCTTTATCCATCAAAACGTTCCCGGTGTCCTCAGGAGAGTCAACCACCTTCTGGGAGACCACAACGTCGACAAGCAGATGACCGACAGTAGAGGCGAGGTCGCGTATCTGATGGCGGATATCAGCAACGTCAAGGAAGACCAAGTCGCCGAGCTGTACGCCGAATTGGAGGGCGTCAAGGAGAAGATCCTCACTAGGATTCTCTATTGAAGCAATGCCCCTGGGCCCACGTTGACCTGGGCCGTGTTACTACCAACACAAAATTCTAGAAAGTGAGCGAGTCGCTCATTCGATCTTCTTTTCACAGCCCCCATCTAGCGAACGAGGGAAAGAGCAAAAAGGTTGAAAGGGATCGAAGACTCTTCGTGTCTACATTATGAGTTGGGTCTACGGAAACGGACGGCTATAAAAACGCATCGGAGCTAATTTGGAAAACCAAAAAAAGTATAGAGGGATGGAGCATAAAAGATGGTAATGGATGCGTGGCTCCAGGAATTGTACGACAGACACGGCTTTCAACAGCCGGCTACAAACAGGGCGTTTTGAGAGAATCGCAAATGGAGGCGTACATCAACGGCTTTCCAGGATCCGAGGATTCAACAAACGCTGGACCATATGCAAATATCGGAGCAAAGCAGAGACTGGGAGATGGAGTGTTTGTAAAGCTCATTGACTTCTTTCACAAAATGTTGCTCCTCTCGTCATCCATTCCCCGAGCATCCAAGGCTCAACGATGTATGGTCGCCCGCCTCGTCCAATTCGAGATGTTTCTATGCTCGAATTCATAATCCACGCGCTGAGGGAACACTTGGGCTTGTTCAGGGTCTTGTATCGTTGCTGAGCTCTCGGGATCCGCCTTCCACCTCTACAAGTTGTTCATGGGCCGTTCTTGTGGCCCGCTCGCAAGGAAGGGAGCCCATCCCCCCAAAGACTTTCCCAGACCGTAAGTGAAGTGGTTCAAACCAGGTGATCAAGAACAAAGTTGGACACCAGACGCTTTCCGAATTGTTCGTCACAGTGTGTAGAAGCGGTCACCGAAATCACCGAGGCCGGGGACGATATAGCTAGGGCAGTCAGTTACACAACTTCTGGACAGCTTAAAAGACAGACTCACTTTTGCTCATTGAGACCTTGGTCCACAAAAGCCGTGATAACTCTCACTCTGGGCACCTTTTTGGCAAAGTTCTCGATACCTTCAGGGCTGGCAATCAGGTTCAAGAACAAAATGCGTTCTTCTGGGACGCCTTTGCTCTTTAGAACCTCGACGGCCATGATTGCGCTCCCACCAGTGGCCAACATGGGGTCTAGGAGCAGTACCCATCGATTGTGAACGTCCGGGGGCAGCTTGTCATAGAAAAGTTTTGGTTTGCTGGTTTCCTCGTTGCGCTGGATCAGGATTTTGCCTATCCTCACCGAACGGCAACATTCTCTCAACCCCTGCTCCATTGACTCTCCTGCTCGCATAATAGAAACACCACATATTTTTCCTTCAAATTTTACCCCGACATAGTCCTTGCCAACGGGAGATGTGACGGTATGTGTAACAACAGGAAGATGGTTGAGGCCTTCCTCGACCAGGAGACGAATGATTCGATTGGAGTAGAAGATGAAATCTGCTCGCTGTGTGTTCTTGTCTCGGATCATGCTTGATTGAATGAGTCAGTAACACTTGTTTCGATTGCTCCAGATCTTTAGAGTACCCACGTCAAAAGAGCAATCAGCTGAGGAGTCTGAGGCAAGACGTGGACATTTTCTTGCTGGACGCTTTTCGAGACAGTGGCGGTAGGTTTCTCCTCTTCTGGACGATAAGAAGGTCCAACACCCACAGCGGGTGATTGCACCCCGTTGGCTCGCGGAATTGAAGCCATACTCTACAGGCAGTGCACCGTTGTAGACAGCTGAAAGGGTAGGGATCTTGGCTGCTCGCGTGACCTTGGAGAAGGAAGGTCGCAGGTTGTCCCTTGGGTTTGAGATAATGTCTGTCGAAGTGGGGGAACGACGTGAGGTCGGAACGTAGATCTGGCCGTTGCTAGGGTGTGAGCAGAAAACAGGTCGGCCTCATATAGCTTTAGGTTCTCCGGAAATGAATACAGACACAGCCGGTGTGTGAGCCTGCGTCGAGCAATGGTGTGTATCTTCATAAACATGGACCTGGTTGCAGGTGGGTTGGTTACGCTCTTTGCACCGGCACATGCTCTGGCGAAGCGGCCGAAGAAATTTGGTCAAGGAAAGCGGTGCCGAGCCTTAACTACTCAGAGCTTCCAGGCGTGCTCCCCCGGGACCGGGTGCCCCCTGGTGCCCCTGGAGCTCACGTTTTTCCTGTGACGTTGAGTGCACCACAAGTAAACACCCAGTCCTAAGGGGGTTCGTTTGTTTATCGGCTGACATCACCCCGCACCAAGATCGCCATCTGGCGCCATCGATCTCCAAACTTACAACTCTTTGCGATGGAGTGTCCCAACTTTTCGATCCCAAACCAACACCACTGGACAGTAGTGGTTGAGAACACAGGTACCGGGTCTGCAATCAGAACATGATTCTTTGTACTCTTGATCTTATATGTGGTGCCTGAGTGACATGAGACCATTCTCACACCTGTCGCGTCTGTTTTACGACAACCAAGACTTCGAATGAATCAACTACACCTGCGCTTAGTCGCCAGTAGGCAACATGCATATCCCTCCAGCACGTCGGAGAGGGAACCTATACGGCAAAGGAGCGAGAAATATTCGAGTTCACGACCTTTTTGATGTCGCTGCGCGAACACCAATCGAAACAATAACAACAACGACGTTAACTCCCCATGCCTCCATGCTTCCTCGATCCGCACAAGCCGTCAACACGCCTCATATTCAACTTCAGGATGAGTTAAAAAATGCAGCATTACATTCAGGTGAGACAAAGGAGGATTCATCGACTGCAACAATCCCGTCACCTCTCACTGCACCCGAATCTTCGACCATGTTCGACCTACATTCCTCTGAGGAAGAACCGACCAGCCTCAAGCCAAAGCGCGCCTTGAAGAAGAGAAGGATAGCATCTGCCAAATCAGATCAACCAAGGGATGATATCCAGGTGGATGAAGAGCGCAAGGTCGTGGTGACGAAGACAAAGGGATGGCGCACCCTAAACGAAAGCGCTCAAGAGAAGCTGCAATTCAAGTCCGCGAATGCAAACGGCGGGTTAGAACACTCAACCTCAGCCAATGTCACCCGAGCATTGAAGCGACCAGTCAAAGGGCCCGCCGCTGGCAGATCAGCTTCGCCTTCCAAGCTGGTCCCTCCAAAAGCACCTCGCTCACACCAACCCCAAGTCTCCAGTGTCTGGTCTCCGGAAGAGTCAGATTCATCCACCACATCACAACCCTCGCGGAGGAGCACTCCCAAGAGAAAAAGACGCGGCTCTGACGACAGTCTCATGGCGTCGCCTACTCCGAGTGACCTCCATCTGACTGGTCTACGTCTGACGCCTGATTCAAGCTCGCAAAGGTTACACATTTCATCCGAGGACGAGCACCTGGGAGAGGGCCCCAGTAAGCCTGTTAGGACAGGCCGAACTAGGTTGGTTGATCGACTGGACCCTCCACGCGCCCAAAGCATAGACACATTCTCGCGTGCTACAACACAAGAGCAACATTACAACCAACCCAATGACGGTGTCGCACCATTTGGAAGGATTTCAGCAAGCCGTCTGGCAGAGGATAGTCCAGACATGGAAAAGAAGCCATCCAATGTATCAGTTGCGGCTCCTCCTGGACGTCCAAGAGCCACGTACGCTAAGCAAAGGTCTTACTTGAGCGATATGGTCGACAGTTTGGAGAGCTACTCGGCATCAAACAGCCAGTCATCCTCGCAAGAAATCTATTCACCGGCTTTGACATTCCCCAGTGTTGCGTCGCAAATGGAACTCGACAATGATGACAGCGATGAAGCTGACCCTTTCAGTCGAATTAAAAGCATCCACGAATTGAGACGCGGAGGGGCAATCAGAAAATTCGACTTAGAACTGGACACTATCCTGGAAGATATTGAATCGGGCCCCAAGTCACGACGCATTCTAGGGCTCCTACAGCTTGTTTCCAAATTGAACGAACTCCCTTTCCTGCGCCAATTCCAAGACTACGGTGGCCTCCAGCGCCTCATGGACTGTGCGAACGGATCCTTAGACGAGATCAGCGCGACGTTGGTGGCTCTAGTTCTTCGTTGTATAGTTGTGGCTGAAAGCTCATCACCAAGGGTCGTGCTCCAGATCTTGAATGCTCTCTACAAGCTACCTCTAGGTCTGGTGTCGGAACCCAGACCCTTAAGCAAACTTGCCAAAGACCGGAGTCAGAATCTCTCCAAGATTCTTGTCAAAGATATTGCGGAGTTTGAGGACAGGTCGAAAGTTCTAGGCCAAACCTGTGTGGCTGCTGACAGAATCATGCTTGCTTCCGTGGAATCTAGCCTGCGAAGTCTTATCAGCCTCAAGGAACAATTTCCAGAGCTGCCACGGGGACTCCTGGACGAGATTCTCTCAAACTTTACGAAGACGCAGGACATGGTTGAAGGTGGCGGGATTACCAAACAGTTAGAGACCATTCGACTTTTGCTGTCGTTACTGGAGATTGCGTGTGCAAACCATGAAGTGACCGGGGCTAACGTGTCAACTGTCCGTATCGCGGAGTTGGGCGAGAGCGTGGCAAGTGTCATGAAGGAGGCTCGTCACTCCCAGCCGCAGATCGAGCACTCGTGCCTTCGGCTGATTGTTGGCTTAAGCAACAATGATGCAGCGGCTTGTGAAGCCTTGATTGACGGCCGCCTTATTTGCACCGTTTTTCAGGTTATCGAGGGCCAGTTCCTGGAGCTGGCAAGGCGTGCAGCGCAGGAGCAAGAGGTTGACCATGCGCAACTTGAATCTGTGATTCTGGCAGTTGGATGTCTTCTCAACTTCGCCGAATGCGCGGATGCAGCCAGAGAGCGGATGTTGAGGTTGGTGGCAGGCGGGAAGAACATGGTGGACCGGCTGGTGGACATTTTCAACAGCCATGTCGACCAAACGTCTGAGGTATGGGTCCCTGATTGACCACAAGGGATGAGGATGCTGACGAGTACAGGCCTTGACTATTGATCAGACTCAAATCCTGGTCGCCTTTGGCTACATTTCCGCACTGCTATGCACACTGTGCCTGAATCCGATTGCGTGTAGGCAGATATCCGAATCCATCAAGGGAAAGGGGCTGTCGCTATTGTTTGCAGCTGCCGACACGTTCCTCCATCATCTCCAGACGGTTGAGGCAGCACTTGGGGAAGAAGGCGGCTCGTCCACAGGGTTTACAGAGCGGTTCACTGCCGTGCTCGGCACGGTGAAGCAGCACGGCTGTTGATTCTGAGCAAGACCTTTCCATGAAGAGACGACATACACTTGCAACATACATCGTACGACATATGACATACAAGATTGGGTACCGGGAGCATTGGGACATGTCTGGAGTTGACATGGGGTTTGCATAGCAGAATTCGTTGATACCCCCCTTGAAAGTTGTGAGCTAGATATAGAGGAGCATATTTGCAAGCACGACGAGTTACAGCCATGGCTTTTGCTGGACCTGGCGAATGTTAGGGATGCGAGATGCGCCGGTGTCTCTCCACCCTCCCATCTCCCGGAATTCTTGCGCCCATGTGAAGACGCCGTGTCGCAAACAGCATCTTTATCACCATTGGCCGCGGGGAACCAACCCTCCGTGCAAGTAGCGTTGCAGCTCTCATGTGCAGGGTTGGGGGGGGGGGTCACATTGGTTTGTTACCGTATCAGATTCAAGGCCTGTTTATTCCGGTATCTAACATGCAATCTTTCCAAAGTGTCTGGGAGCCAAGGAGCTAGTTTGTTAGCGTTATACTAGTAAACTAGTTCGTTATTAGCCCTTCCATGAGGTGGGAAAACTTGCCTGATTTCACGTCTAGTAGGCCTGAGTGCCTTGAGAATAGGGCCCTATCTGCGTGCCAATCTGCGTGCCTATCCATTGCAGATGTGTCTGTGGAAAGGCCAGTAATGGCGGCAGAGATAAGTTGGCAGCAGGATTGGCTGTAGATGCTATAGAAGGTTGCTGTTCATCGACCCCCTCTTCCACAATTGCCGTAAATAGGTCTTCCGCTGTGATGTCCTGTTCGTGTTGTTTCCTCCTGTTCCTCTGCGATCTCTCTATCGCGAGCGCCGTCGAAGGGCGCTCTCGTTGATGCGGATGAAGAGGAGCATGCTCGCGGACTCATTAGTTAGCCGGTTGCGGAGCTTCGTTTGCAGACTGGCGTTGTGAGGCATCAGGCGGAAGGCAAGGTCGTGAATTGCACATCGTTGAGTTCGTTGGCGTTCCTCGAATAACTGCCAGATCAACGGCCAACTAAGACCTTGAGATGATCGTTCGATTAACCTAAGTTGTTGCTTCAGATTAATCCATCTCTCCTTAACTAGGCCGAGATGAGCGCGCTCGCCTTGCGACTCAATTATCACGATATTGATCGGTTTGAGAAGACGCTCAAGATGACTAATTGTGACCCAGAAGCCGTTGTTGTAGATGATACTTTTCACAGATTGCGAGGCCTCAGATTTCTGTAATTCCTCATCGCACTGATTGCCGAATTTAAAGAGGTAAGATCTATTGTAATCAGGTTGTCGTGAGAGCCCTAGCGAGTCTCTACGGCAAGCGCAAGGAGAGAGGTCTTGCCGTCTCGTTGTAGTTGGATCTCTCGTAATCCTACCAGTTGTCTCGGGGAGCGTTTGAAGTGAGCAGTGATGGAATTGCCATCTTTGATTGCCTCAGAGAACTTAAGTGCCTTAAGACAGATATCCTTAACTAGGAGGCTAATCCCGTAAGAGTCGCAAGGGATTATCAGGATGTAGCCTAATTAATCCACCTCTTTAAGTCTAGCCTAGAAATCACGTATTGTAGAATAGGTATCGGAGCAAATAGTAGAGATTCGACTATATTAGTTATTCGCGATGGCAAGGAATCGAGGTACGAGATCGGTAGTTACTCTCGCCGTAGAGAGTCTCTCGCTACCGTGCTTATAATTGTTAAATATAGAAGGTACCTCTAGAGGTCTTAACTGAGATATTGGCTGTGCGCCTATTATTGATATTACTCGAGTCATCGAACGTGATTATGAGGTACTTTTCCGCGTCGATAATAGCTACGATTTTGGCCTTTATCTCGGTCGTAAATCGAAGGTAGGAGAGCCTCTGTAATGAGGCGACGAGAGAGTAGTTTCCAGGCAGGAAGAATAGCCTGGAACAAGGTCTTTATGCTAGATCCTTCAAAGGTTGAGAGAGGCAAATTGGCCTCGAAAATCGCGCGCGCAGCAAGGCGAGAGATCTGACTATTCTGCTCCTTTGACAGGGTTAGATTAAGTGTCGACTGTTAGGAACTCGGCGCTCTCTGGATGGATCGTATAGAGCGAGATTGAAGCCTCGGTGGTTGTTGAGAGAGGGCTTTCCGGAAAGAGTGGTAATTGATTAGGTGGTTACGCTGGTGCGAGGTATTCGCCGCCATTATGCTATCGCAATGGTGGCACCGAACGCGTCGAGATCTCTCGTCTTGAAGGCTAGGAACCTTACGGAATTCGTTGCGAGTAGCTAGTAATTGAGGGAGGTAAGAGATCGTTGGGAATAGGCAGCTTCGTTGTTTGGTCGATTGGTCTAGTTGGTGTTGTAAAAGCATTCATGGGTGCGTGGGCGGCACGCGTGAAGAGGCATTCCTGTAGCGTAATAATCTCGCGTTGTATGAGAGAAATAAGGTCAGGGAAGGTGTATTTTAGCACTATAGACTAAGTACATTCCTCATGCAAATTACTAGGCGCTAGTATTATAGCGTACTTTTTTAGTACGTTGGAGGCCGCCAAGGTTCGGTATCGTATTTCGTCTTCGCGTCTCAATACGTTCAATCTTTCCACAAAACATAGATTTCGTGTATTTTAACGACCCTGCTCTTGTATCGCGACAATTCCCCGCCAAACAAAATGCATCCTGGCCGGTCCCCAGTCAGTCCCAGTCTTTTCCGTGGCCTGAATTCCTTCGGGAGAAAATCAAACAAAAAACCCCAGGCATGTTTTTCATTCTCGCCATGCTTCGACCTCGCAGAATGTCGGTGAGGTACGGGCCCGGCCTTTGGGGCTTGGGGCCTGACTCGTCGCAAGCTTCATCTTCCTCTTGCTATAGCCACTGCCTAGCTTCTGTGTCGCCAACTTGTATACCGTCTCTTCCCGATCATCATCCCATTCACTGACATCACGGCAAGAGCGGCTCATCCGCAGCTGCGTTGCCAGAGACAAGGGCAAAAAATAATAATAAACCTTCTCACCACTCGGTCCCGGTCCCGTTCCAGCGTCTCGTCAACGCTTGGGTAACTTGCAACTCCGCCGCAGCCCGTCATCACCCAACATTCAGTTCTCATTACCTACTGATTTGCTCGATTTGGCTCGCGGCCTGTATTTGATTTCTTCCATGGCCTTAGCCAGTCTGTCGCTTTGTCTCTGACGATCATTTCTTACCTACCATTTTCCCTCTCGATACGACCTTTGGCGCTAGAAGAGCGGCCGACGATTTTTCCTGGTCGAACTAGCATCCGAGCTGTGCTCCGCGGGCCCTGACGCCATACCTCTCTTTTCCTTTCGGAGGAAAAAAATAAAATAAAAGCCCATCAGATTGGTGTCGAACATGGCTCCTTCAGTCAAGCAGCGAAAGATCGCTATTCTGGGCAGTAGATCTGTCGGTCAGTCCAGTCCTTTTGAATCGTCATCGTCGTCGTCATACGCGGAAAAGATCACGGCCAGAGGCAAGAAGACAGAACCCTAGACTGACATATCCCCTGCTCCTGGGTGCTGTAGGCAAATCCTCTTTGACCGTCCAATACTGCGAAGGACATTTTGTGGAAAGCTACTACCCTACGATCGAGAATACCTTCAGCCATGAGATTGTCTACAAAGGCCAGACATTCCTCACGGAAATCATCGACACTGCTGGACAGGTAGGAGACAGTGAGCTGCAAGAAAAGGAAAAGGTGGCGGGCGGGCTGACGTTTGGTTGGACACAGGACGAATACAGTCTTATGAATTCGAAGCTGTACATTGGTATACACGGCTACCTCATTGTCTATTCGGTGGCCTCGAGGCAATCGTTTGACATGGTGAGGATCATCCGGGACAAACTCTTGAATCATCTTGTAAGCACACCTTGCATGACGCCTCCCCGCTTCTCTTAGGCGCTATGCTGATGTCTGCTTCCAGGGTGCCGAGTCGGTTCCTATCATGATCGTCGGCAACAAGAGCGATGTCGACGCCAAAAAGCAACGCAAAGTCACCGCCGAAGAAGGGCAAAAGCTCGGCCAGGAACTCAATTGTGGTTGGATTGAGACCAGCGCGCGGAATAACCTGAATGTCGCAAAAGCATTTGAGATGATGATTGCCGAAATCGAGAAGTCGCAAGAACCCGACAAGCCTGCTGGTGGAGGGAAGTGTGCAGTGATGTGAAGAGCAGCAATTGCACGACTTGCGAAGATCCTCGGGTGGATGTCGGTGACCCCTGGGAATGTTTGATTTTGGGAAGTTCTTCTGGTTGTCTCAACATGTTGGGTGGGGTGTACTTGTTATTATGCTTTCGGCCTCAGTTGACGTTGGGAAACATCAGGATAGACATCAAGGCGTTTGGCTTTACCCGCGGGCGTCCATTTTGGATTTGTGTCTGTCACTCTTGGGCTCAAGGGAGGAGAAAGGAAGTGGGCGCGCACCTCCTCAGAGACCCGGAATTAGTCCAGTCGCTCGTCGAGCGAGGGAGAATGCTCGCTGGATCGGGCTTGCAAATCATGCAATAGACGGAAGAGATGGAAATTGGCTATGACTTTGGCCAAATAACTATGATAATATCACCCTGTACTTGATGTTCTCAATTCTCCCACTCCCTGTTTCGAGACGGCGACTCTGTAAGTTGGGCTGCTGCAGCGCACCAGTTAATTAGTGGCACATGTCGGAGTGACTCACGAGGCTCCGCACGTTTCGCGGGGCTGAAGGGGGCGCACACCATTTTGTTCGGGGCTTCAACCACCTGCACCACACGTGCTGCTGGGAAGGGCACTAAATCTCTACACAACACTCAGTTTCTAGTGCATCTCTTGTGCTCCTGGTCCTCTGGTGATCATGATTGAGGTGCAGGACCTCATTGTCTCAAGGTAAGATCATTCCAACAGCCTCAGCGGCGCAACTTGGCTCACCGGCCCAATAGAGGGGGAGATCCCAAAAAAGTGATCGAGAGTTTGCAAAAGCGATACGCCCCCACTGAAATCGTTGACGAGGTCATTGCACTCTGGAACGACGCATATCAGAGTATGCTTCCTTCTACCCTCGTGGTCCTCCGCACTAATTCGAGGTAATAGCACGGTATAAGGCCAGCCAAATCGGCGCAAAGATCAATGCGGTCCAAAAGGAGATTGGCCAGCTGAAGAAAGTCGGTCGACCACCTACATGCATATCTCGTGAACATCCCGGACTGACGGGCTGAGGTGCACAGGCAAAACAAGATGCGGACCACCTGCTGCAAGAAAAGGTGAACTTGGAGAAAGAGAAGAAGAAGGCCGAAGAGGAGGCCGCAGAGAAGGAGAAATTGAGAGACCGCAAGTGCAAGTTGATTGGCAACTATGTGCACGAATCGGTGCCGGTTAACGACAACGAGGTCAGTTGAAAACCAGTCTACATCCTACGGCGAAGAGAACGGAGGCTCATATGGGAGGCATAGGACTTCAACGAGGTGGTTAAGAAATGGGCACCTGAAGGCTTCACGGAGGAAAAACGTGACTGTCTCTCCCACCACGAGGTTATGACCCGTGCAGAAGTCTACGATAGCGAGCGAGGCGTCAAGCTGGTCGGGCATCGGGGGTACTTCCTGCGAAAATGGGGCGTCCTGCTCAACCAAGCCCTCATCAACTACGGCTTGCACTTCCTCGTCTCCAAGGGCTATGATCCACTTCAACCGCCCTACTTCATGAAGGCAGAGTACATGGCCAAGACCGCACAGTTGGAACAGTTCGACGAAGAGCTTTACAAGGTTATCGAAGACAAGGACGCAGAAGACAAGTTTCTCATCGCGACATCCGAACAGCCCATTTCAGCAATGTTTGCCGAAGAGTGGTTGACGGAGAAGGACTTGCCCAAGAAGTTTGCCGGCTACTCTTCGTGTTTTCGAAAGGAGGCTGGCGCACATGGGAGGGATGCTTGGGGGTTGTTTCGCATACATCAGTTCGAGAAGGCAAGTATTTTCCAATGCTTCAAGTGAGACTCGCTTGCTTGTACTAATGCATCTCGTCCAGATCGAACAATTCCTCTTCGTCAAGCCCGAAGAATCCTGGCAAGCACTGGAAGACATGAAGTCCGTCGCCGAAGAGTTCTACCAATCCTTGAAACTCCCATACCGTGTTGTGGCGATCGTCTCGGGCGCACTCAACAATGCAGCGGCCAAGAAATACGACCTGGAAGCGTGGTTCCCCTACCAAGCCGAGTACAAGGAACTTGTGTCTTGCTCGAATTGCACGGACTACCAGACGCGAGAGCTGGAGATTAGATACGGACAGAAAAAGGGTGCCATCGATGCAAGGAAGACGTATGTTCATGCCCTAAACGGGACGCTCTGCGCCACGGAGAGGACCTTATGTTGCCTGCTGGAGAATTACCAGAAGGAAGACGGCTTTGAAGTGCCAGAGGTGTTGAGACGGTACATGCCTCCTGGGACGCCGGAAATTATCCCATACACAAAGGACTTGCCGAAAGATACGACCTCGGCGAAGGCGAAGCAGCCGCCAAAGCCAAAGCCTGTGGGCGCACCTGAGGGTGGCCCCAAGCGAGACATGCCCTCGGCAGAGAATGTCGCGGACAAGATGAAGGACATGAAGGTGTAGGAGAGTGCAAAAAGACAGAGAATACGTGTGACCTGATTTGACGAGCGACGAACGCATTAGCCGGCTGCTGGAATCGACGGGTGAAGGAGAACGAATGGCATCCACAAAGAATGGGGGGGGGGGGGGAATAGACATGCTCACAGACCGTCCAAGGACTGTTGGGGGTGACACAGAGACAATAGACTCAGTGCGTAAAGTGCCTCTTCATGGGCATGGAGCAGTCAAAGTCGGCAAAATCATTCTTGTCATTGGTCTTGTGCAAACTAGAAGCAAAGCGTCAGACCTCAACACCATCGTATGTAAACTGGATGGAGCCATTCGGCTGCGCATATAGAAGTGCCAGATTGCGAACCTGCTTCGCCGTAGTAATATCTGCGCCGGAGGCCAAGATGCTCCGCAATATTTGGTGCCAAGAAAATATTTCCGCCCACATACTGCGGTTGACTGCGATATCAAAACTTCTCGCCCTGCTCACCCATTGTCTCTACCTAATCCCACCCAACATCACCAACCCGGTCTGTTGCCTTCAATCGGACCCAGACAGCTTTAATTCTGCGACAAGACACCAGTCGCAATCATGGCTGTTGGAAAGTGAGTCCAGCTCGATGCCCACCAGTCATTTTTTCGCCCGGCGCACAACGTAGGGAGCGGTGACTTGATGAAAGATCAGGAACTGACCGTGTTTTCTGCGTTCCAGGAACAAGCGATTGAGTAAAGGAAAGAAGGGGCTGAAGAAGAGAACGCAAGATCCCTTCACCCGAAAAGATTGGTATTCGATCAAGGCTCCGTCTACATTCAACCAACGAGAGTACGTCCTCCCAATGTGCCCCCAGCAGCACCACCACTACCAGGAGAAGAAACAAAGAAAGATAAAATATCAAAATCACAATTTTGTTACTTTGGAGGAGATATATATTGACATTTCTGTCCTCACAGTGTCGGCAAAACCCTTGTGAACCGCACCACCGGTCTGAAGTCCGCCAACGACGCCCTGAAAGGCCGCATCTTCGAAGTCTCGCTCGCGGACCTGCAGAACGACGAAGACCATGCCTTCCGCAAGGTCAAGCTCCGAGTCGACGAGATCCAGGGCAAGAACTGCCTGACCAATTTCCATGGGTTGGACTTCACCTCGGACAAGTTGAGGAGTTTGGTGAGGAAGTGGCAGACGCTGATCGAGGCCAACGTCACCGTCAAGACCACGGATGACTACCTTTTGAGGTTGTTCGCGATTGCCTTCACCAAGCGCCGCCCCAACCAGATCAAGAAGACCACCTACGCCGCCACCTCGCAGATCCGGGCCATTCGCAAGAAGATGACGGAGATTATCCAGCGCGAGGCCACCAGCGTCACCCTCGCTCAACTGACCGGCAAACTCATCCCCGAAGTCATCGGCCGCGAGATCGAAAAGTCCACCCAGGGCATCTACCCGCTCCAGAACGTGCACATCCGCAAAGTCAAGCTTTTGAAGGCCCCCAAGTTCGACCTCGGTGCCTTGTTGGGCCTGCACGGCGAGAGTGGCCAGGACGACGAGGGCCGGAAGGTCGAGAGGGAGTTCAAGGAGCACGCGCCTCTGGAGAGCGTGTAAGCTGGGGGGTTGCATACGGGGTTATTGCATGTTACGATGAATGCGTGGGAAAACTGCTCGGGAAAGTAGTGGAGAGAACCCCAGAAAAGAGCAGATGGTCTTGAAGGTGAAGGACGAATCAAAAACACGAAAAGCATATGTGACAACCTTGATGAGTCGAGGGGGACGATGATCGGGAGGGAGACGTGCGCCGTATTATCGAAGCTACCGCGTTCCTAGCTTGTTCTGTCCCATGGTGTGCGAGAGCCTCCTTAGGATCAACATGCCTTGGATGCGCTCTCTCTTGTCTGTGGCCCAAGAAGAAAAGCAAGAGCAAATGAGATGAGGGACGTGTGTCGGTGGGCGGAGGGAGTCAGGACAGAGTGGCTCTTGGTCGGCGCCCCCATCTACGGCGCAAATCAAGACATGCTGGTGCTGAGAAACACGGGTTCATGCTAGATCACTGGGCATTAGGCACAAGGCATAGCATTCTAGTTGTAGGGCCCTTGATATCGCACTGGAAAACAAGAATTCATCAAACCTTTCTGACACAACATCAATCGTACACGGTACGGGAGAAGGGGGAGAGCAAGGCTATCATGTCGAGCTTCGTTCCAGTCCTTTTGTCCCTCTGGTTTCACCATGCTGGTAGGTTCTATGTTGAATCTATATTTCTGGTGTTGGTACAGTGATGGACACTAAGAGACTCGATCTGTTTCTTTGGGACCGGTCAACTTGCCCTTGTGCATGTCTTTCCCGGTTCTGCCGCTTCACTAGGCGCCTTGAGGCTCTTGGATACCACACAGGAATAGCCAGCTCGTCGTGGTCGTTGGAATGACTGGGCCCCTGAATCATTCTTCCTTTATTTCCCCCTTTTTTTCTTCCACCTTTGAAAAACGGGCATCTGCACGCCCAGAGAGCGGCTGGGCTTGCTACGTCTCGTCCACGACGCGGTCGACCCACTCGACGAGCGCCCGCCGGAACTCGTCAAACTTCTCGCTCATGACCCAGTGCCCGCAGTCAAGGTCCAGCAGCTCGAACCTGGGGAAGAACCGGCCGATCACGGGCAGCGTCTCGTCCGCCACGTAGTGGCTCTTGGTGCCCCGGACCACCAGCGTGGGGCCCTTGTACTGGTGCGTGTCGGGGTCCTTGAAGGGGAAGTCGGCCAGGTCGGGCAGGGCCTTTGCGAGCGTGTGCAGCGGGATCCGGAACCTCAGCTCCGTGTCGTGCCTTTCCCTCCGCGCCCCGTAGTGCGGCTGATGCCCGGGCGAAGAAGGGCCGTGCGATTTGCGCTCGTGCGATCCGCCGGCCCCCGGCGCGGCGTGGGCGGCCACCTTGACGAGGTTCGTCAGGAGGAACTGGCGGATGGCCAGGTCCGGCTCGTACTTGGCCAGGATCTTGTCCGCCTCGCTCTGCCTCTTGAGCCGCGGCCGCAGCTCGTCAATCTCCCGCATCGCGTCCAGGTACTTGCCAAAGTCGCCCCGCAGCGCGGCGTCCACGGGCGCATTGTCCACCGGCACCAGCGCCGAGTACCTCTCCGGCTGGCGGAGCGCGAGCGTCATGGCCACCTTGGCGCCCATCGAGTGCCCGACCAGAGTCGGCGACGGGATCTTGTGGGTGTCCAGGAAGTGCTCCACGTCCCGCGCCATCGCCGTGTACGTGTGCACGGGCGAGTGAGGCGAGTCGCCATGGTTGCGGAGATCGATCGTGTAGACGGGCCGGGAGAGATCTTTGGCTAAGGCTCTGGAGAAAAAGACAGAACTCGTCAGCAAAAAAAGCTATCCCTCAACTCGGATGAGGGGAGGCCAAAGTGAGGAGGTGCTTCCTTACTTACTCAGAGTCCGATTGTTGCGCTGCGACCCGAACAGCCCGTGCATGATGATGATGGGTCCAGGACCCTTGGTGCTCGTCTTGTCGGGCGGGTTGTGGCGGTGGAACGCCAGGTCCACGATGTCGTCGTGCTCGTGCTTCTCATGGCGGAGACGCGAGTGAGGAGAGCTCGTGAGATGGCGGCGCGAGGGCACAGTGCTCCGTCGTGGAAGAGCGTTGGGGAGTGGTATCCGCCGCATTTGTGCGAGTTGAGGCGCGTGAAGAAGCGGTATACGCGCGCGTATTAGGGTATGGCAAGTAGAGGGATGGGGTGGGATTGTCTTATTGTCCCAGCGGAGATTTCCTCATGCTTAGAAGAAGGGGTGTGGGAGCTAGAATGAAGCTGAGGTGAAGCTGGTGTTGGTACATTGAATTCCACAAAGCAACAAAAATTTGGCTGCGCCATGACGTCGGGTTCCGAGCCTCGCGAACCGCGCGCGAAAAATCCCCCAAGCCTTGCCCCCCCTCCCCCCCCCCATGAAACCCTAGCCTTGTCGCTGTCCTTGCACTGTTGTGACAATCTCCGCCCTGCATAACATACACTTCGAACAATATGAGCAAGGCGCTTCTAGCAAGACCGATGAATCTCGCGTCTGCAGTTACAGAGCAGCTCGGTCCGAAGGGCCTATTGCGCCATCTCCTCGTGTTCTCGAGGCTGCGACATTGACACCCGTCACGTCTTGGCTTGTCTGATAGATTTGACAGTCTCCTCTTGAGCAATGCTTGGGTCTGCACGGTTGTCGGGCAGTTCCTCGTCCATTCCCACCTCCCCTACCTCGAAATCGAACGGGTTGGACTCGATATTCAAGTCGGACCCCAGATCCTTACGCGCAGCTTGTCTCCGTCGCTCCCGAATTCTGGTCGCTTCCTCCTCGGAAAGCGTAACGCCGAACAGCCCCAGTGCCTGCTGGACCTCGTCAAGGGTCATGCGGGCTTTCCGTCGCGCCTTTGCGCCGCCCCACTCGATTTCTTCGCGCAGTCGGTCGTTCCCAGAGTCCATGAGGGTGAGGAAGTTGTCGCGCACGCCCCTCAGTGCAGAAATGATCTCGTCCGCGATCATCTCCTTGAATGCTCGCATGCTGACATTCTCGTTGTCCTTGGCAATGTACTCGCTGGATTCTCGCGACTCGGTCACGTGCCTCAATATCTCTACCAGGTTGGACACGCCTGGCCGCCGTTCCGGGTTGAAAGAAATACCAGGCTCCGAGTCGGTCACGGCACCCCTGAGCTTGGCGTGGATCTCGTCTGGGCTGTCGGTAACCAGAATTCGGGATTTTGGATCAGGGTCAGACTTGGACATCTTCTGCTCCGGACGCTTGAGGGACATGATCCTTTTGGCAGGGGCTTTGTGTTGTGTTAGTACCTCAAACAGATGAAGAGTCCACTAGAAAGCCTTACATATTACCGGCCAAGGTATTCGGAAGACATTCCCTCCGGAGGATTCCCTGACCAGGGCATTAAATCCCCTGGCCAATGTCCGGGTAAACTCGATATGTTGGAGTTGGTCCTCGCCAACAGGCACGATAGATGGCCTACCTGACGTCAACTGGCAACACAACAAATCAGACAAAGAAAGCAACTGACTGATAGAGTAATATATCCGCCGCTTGGAGAACGGGGTATGAAAACAGTCCGAGCTTGAGCTTCGCTGTCGCTTCGTCGCTTTCGAGGCTGGCATTTTCGGGCAAGTTCAACTTGCTCTATGAGCTGCGGTTTCAGTGTCATTCCGCCGGGCTATACACGTAGAGTTTGTACGCACCTTCCACTGAGTCATTCTGGACAGATACCCTGTAGAAGCAATGGTACTCAGGATCCACATCAGAGAGGCATGCTGCGGAACCTGCTTCGATAAGCTGATGCTAGATCCTAGATGGTAGCACGAGACTTACGTCGGATTGGAAGAACAATGTGGTATTCCTGTTGTTGTGCAGGCCAAGAGCAAGAAGAGCAGCGTACGACTCCTTCCTTAGACGCAAGCGCTCCGTCGCCGGCGTGTCCGAAGTCAGAGCGTGCAAGTCGACCACCGAGAAGTACTGTTCATAGCGATAGTTGATGGCGAATTTGGGGTCGGTGGATTGATCATGGAGCCGTTTCCACTGCCGCAGAGCCCCCAGGTAGTTTCCGAGGTGAGGGACGCCGGTGGGCTGAATCCCGGAAAAGGCTCGTCTGATGCTGGAGGACGGCGACATCCGCGCCCAGTGCTGTTCTATTTCGTCTCTTCCATCCTTCTCAGTTCCTGTAGAGGCAGCATCGCGCACGGTCTTGATGATCCGAGGCTGCTTGTCCTCGCCCAAGCGCGACCTTTTGACGGTCGCAACCTGTACCTCATGGCTGATGTTCCGGCATTTAATCTTCCTGGAGTAATGCGGCCTCGCTGACACATGCACGAGGCCTCGGGGCATTTCACGAGGTAAAGGAGTGTACGCGTTCCAGAAGGACGCCAATCGAAAACACAATAATACAAGGAGAGCTTGAAAGGAAAAGTTGTTGGGGCCAAGTCAGGCCACGGGATGGGTCAATAAAATAATGTGCCCAAAAGGGGGTAATCTAGGCGCCGCTTTTGAGCCCCGTAGCGTCGCTGTATCCACAATTATGGGCCGTGCCAAGAGTCGATACTCGTCTTCGTCGTTACTCCGTAAAGCTTCAGCCTTGTCCTTTCTGTCCTACGGGTGGCATACTATAAGGTAGGCATTGACAGTAACCGGGGAAAAAGGTCGAGATAACCAAGACTTCTATGAATGCAACGTCGCGCTAGCCTCAGCCAGTGTCTATAAAACAGCCCGTCGACGTTCGGAGACCATCCTTGCACTAACCAGCCTAAGCCTTGGACCATCTTGCCTTGATCAGATCGGCCGCTTTCTCGCCAATGCCGTATCTGCTATCAATTAGTATCAGCCTATGGGGTCTGGGGAAGGTCATGCATACGCAGGCATTTGAGTGTGGCCACCGTTCAGAGTAGGCATCACACTGGTATCGGCAACGCTGAGGCCTTGGACTCCCCGGACTTGAAGCTTTTCATCAAGAACGGCCATCTTATCGTCATCTCGACCCATCTTGCAAGTACCTGCCGCGTGATAGCAGGTCGTGGCCTCTTTTTGGACATGCGGCACCCATTCTTCCCGTTTGGTATAAGCATGATGTGTCAGATCTGGGATGCGGTCAGAGTTGTGCTCTTGGGGGGCGCTGGCGATGTACGCACCTGACGGCCACGATCCCTTCACAATCTCTTGTTTGGCGACCTTGTTCAAGTTCATGACAATCTCGTTGCCGAGCCTGCAGCCCTCGGACATGACCAGCATGTCGAGTGGATCGGCAAGATAATTGCAATCCACCACCGGGTTGTCGAGAGGGTCTTTGGATTTGAGAGTGACTGTGCCCCTTGACCGCGGTGAAAACAGCTCGGTGATCATGGCAAAGGCGTGCTTCTTGTCTAGTGGCAGCCGGTCAGTTCGTGACTGCGGCCATGTCCTCTCGTGTGCTCACCGATGGGAAATTGATCATATTGCTTGGGACCACCGTACAACTTTGACCATGTCAGCAAGGGACATACGCTCGAGTCATCTTCGGGTTGCTCACCTCGGTGGTAAAAAACTCCACGTTCGGCTGCTTGGGAGTCAGACCCATTGGGTCACGGCCGGGCTCCGTCTTTGCTTCCTTCCATAGAGGCTCATCCTTCAAACGATCGTCTAGTCTCGCAAAGGCAAGGGCGCCAAAAGGAAATGTAGAGAGAATGCCTTCTTTCTTTTCCTTGTACAGCATATATGCTGCCATGGCAGCATCCCCATGGTATCTAGAGAACTAGTCAGAACAATCGCAGTCAAGAAAGACATGTCGTACACAAGATGGTCGTTGGTCAACCCTTCCTTGGTGACCTCGTAAAAAGCAAACACAATCTGTGTCAGGTCAGCCATCAGGAGCTATCAAATCGAGACAACGGCCACCCACAAGATGATCGAGCAGATTCTTTCCCACTCCCGGAGAGTCGACTAGACACTTGATGCCTAACTGTTCCAGGTCGGCCTTGGGACCAATACCTGATCGAAGAAGTATCGCTGGAGAACAGTAGGCGCCTTGGATAATCAGCTGTGTTTGCCAAGTCACGGCATAGAGGGGGCATTTACCTCCAGAGACAATGATCTCCTTTGTGGCCTTGATCTCCGCCCTTGCACCGCTCTTGTCGACAACCACCACGCTGGTGGCTTGTAGTTGGCCATTCTTTTCCTCAAAGTTGATCTTGTCCACGACTGTGTCAACCATGAGGTCGATATTGGCCTTGTGTTGATCGTTGGTCACAAAGTCCGCCCCGGTGGTTCTGATGCCCTTGTGGACTTGCGAGATAACGTCAGCGTTGGATCCATAGCAGAATCCTCGTGGCTACCTACCGGTCCGTGTTGCATGGCCGCAGCCATGAGGCGTCTCGCCGTTGCTGAACATGTCGTGCACCAGCGGGAATCCCACATCCTCCATGCTCTCGAGTAACAGGTTCGTGATCGGTGCTACGTCGTGGGGCTCTGTATGAAGCGGGCCATTGTAGCCGTGGGCTTTCTCGTCCGCTTGAAACCACGGCTTAGGATGGAACGTTTCGGCCTGGTCCGTCATCAGCTGCATATTATGGTTCTGAATGGGATCCCCGTACCTTGCGCATGTACTTGAAGAATTCTTCTCCAGACCACCCTGGAAGACTGAACCACTCAGTGGGCGCTCCCAGCAACAGTATCTGGGACTTCTTACTTCCAATCGTCATAGTCTTGCTTGCTTCCTCTGACACAAAGGGTGCCATTGACACCACTGGACCCTCCGAGGAATTTCCCACGGCTGAGTTTGACTTGTCTGCCGTTGATGCCTTTCATGGGCGGAGTGACAAGGTTCCAGTCGAGTTCCGAGTCGAAATTCTTGGACCAGCCGCCCGTCATGTGGACGTTCTCGAGGTCCTTATTGTGAGGCCCGGCCTCGACGACGAGGATCCGCGCATTGGGGTCTTCGGCGAGTCTGCCCGCCACGACACATCCTGCTGTGCCTCCACCGCTAAAGGTCGTTATGATCAGCGAGGGCAGCGACTGGGCATGGCAATGGACTCACCACACGATGAAGTCGTACTCCTTGTCTGCGACTATCCTACCTGGAGACATTGTGATGACTGATTTGCACAGAACTTGCACTAAACTGGGGAAAGAGATATCAACAGACTCGATTGTCAAGGTGGCGTTTGTGCTCTTGCTGAACAGCACGCAGGGTCTCTCGATTTATATGAAAGTCAAACCCAAGATGACACCCGTGGAATAATTCCACGCCTCTCCGGAGTCAAAGAGACTGGATCTGTAGACTTAACACTAGCTCGCCGCAACCCACTCACGCCCCCATACTCGATGGCTCAAGCTAGAACAGCCGCAGGGATCCATTGGGGCGCTCAAGAAGGTTTCCACCCCGCAAAAGAACGAAGCTGATGTGGAGATGCAGAAACGCTGGGCCGTCGCGGAACAAATTCCCTTCTCTATAGAAGGCCCATTCGCTTTTCAAAGGTGCCGCGGGGTGCCTGGGGCCAGCAATGGTGCAAGGGGTGAAACAGTCGCAACTTGCAGCGATCCATCGGGCGCTGTCGGCAGAAGAGACGCAGCTGGGACCTTTAGGGCTGACTGCTCAGCCTTGTGCATTGCCATATGTGGTTTCCACACGAACCTTGGGCCCTAGGGGGTTCAACGGGCGTTAGATAGTGGCTGTCGAACCGGGGTATTATCCCAACCCGTGTCCATCAACGTACTGCTTGCTACTTTGGAATCGCCAAAGAGAAAAAAGGCACCTTACCGGCGCCTCTCCGGCCCACAGCGGCAATGAATCATGTTACATCAGCCTTGACCGATGCCACGGTGGATGATTAGGTAGGCAATTCGGGCGTTGGCTAGGTCTGTATCAACGCCGACTCCATTTTATAGCATTTCTGGCTCTAGTGGATTGAATCTCTTTGATTCGTCGACATGTTAACTATAGACGGATGTTATCTGCACAGGAAGGATTGCCTTTAACGACGAACATGAACTAGCTCGCTTTTTTCTAACCACAGCAGCGGAGACTTGCCTCGCGGACACATGGAAGGCCGGTATATGATGCAGCCCTGTGGCCCCTGGCAATATGTAATACGATCTGACCCGATAACAATCATCATCAGCATCATCACCACCACCATAAAGATCGTCCCCTAACCCAGAGTCGGCAAGTTGGTTGGTTCTGGAACGACCTTTTACTATTCCCAGCGTGGAGATATCTCTGCTGGCCACTTAGCTAGGCATTAGTTCCTCGACGCCCGACGCCCCTCCGCGGACAGAGTCATATGGGGCTTCAGACCAAGTCCGCGGACATAAGGTACTATAAGACTTACTGAAGACGGCAAGTCCGCGTCTTTTTTCCACATGCCATAACAAAAGGACCCTTGCGTTCTATCTGTGTCAGGCCCCGGGAGAGGACAATGTCGTGGCGGTTCGAGTTGATGACCTGACCAAGGGAAGGCTACGCCGTGTTGTGTCAGCCTCGAATCCTTCAGTCAGGGTTTGTATGGCCTGACAAAACCTACTGTTGACCAGAGGTGCCCATAGGTCGCAGGGGGTACACCACAACTATGCACGGACAGGTCTAGGAGGGACCGCCCCCAAGAGAGAAAGACCAGACCCGTATATTGTGTCCTCGTTCAATCCCACTTTCTCTGATGCAAGGATCGACATCTGCTATAGGCGCACCACCGATCGAGGCTGGAACCAAGAAGAGAAGCGACGACGACGGCCGTTGCTGATATTGTCGACGGCGTGGACCACTCTCTGATCTGATCATGGGAGGATTTCCCACCGCCCCGTTCGCTACAGACCCTCTCAGCAAAGACAACCCCCCTTCCTATGAAGACTGACATGTTCCTGGAAGGCAGAAACAAAGGGAAACATCCATCTCGCATGCCGTATCTCTACAGCCGACCCTCACCACCTCGGGAGGGCAATAATCGCTCCCGTGCCCCGAGCGGGAGAACCTGAGCCGTGGTCGTCTCGAATCCTGGTTTCTGATTCTTGGACATATCAGCATCTATGCCGGGTCCTCCTTGGCCCCTGCTTGGACGAGTCAAAAAGGATCTCGAGAAGCGGACTCGGACGCATCACGGAGTGACATACAGATCTAGAACTGCTAGGGAATCGATACCGTTGGCCCTGATTCGCTCGTTCCAAAGCTTGCATTGCTTCGTCGTGTATATCACTGAATGCGCCTTCATTTGTACATCAATCTATACACAGAGTATACTCAACCACCCCCAGGGGTATGAGCATTCAGCAATGCCGGCCGGTTTGGGACCATGAGTGGCATTAGAAGCCCAAGCATAGTCAGTCCGTGGATCGCCATCTTCGATACTGTCTCTTCCGTCGAGACTATACATACCACAATATCTCACACCGCAACTTTTGGTGAACGTTGTCATGGTTCTGGAGCCTCCTCGCGCGCCTCATGAACCTCCCTAACCTCCTTTTGCTAGTCTGTGGTGATCCCATCCGGTCTGTCGGTCTGACCATCTCCTCATTCCATCCGCCGACGGCCCACGGCGAATGCATCTTGCACTGCGGAAACTTCGTCTCATCTGATCAGGAGAACTGCTTACCAGGGATCCTCGGTCGTCCTACTCTTCTCCCGAACCTCGCTCATGCCAACACCCTCCCGCCTGTTCCCCTGCCTCTCCAGTAACCCAAGCAGATCGTTCTTCTTGCCCGCGGTCTTGTTGAATCCGAACAGGCGCAATTTTCCATCGAGATCCTTCTCGAGAGAGGTGAAGTCGTGGTCCATTTTGGAGGCAACGTCTGTTCACAAACACGTATCAGCAAAAGTCACAGCCACGTCATGAGCGCAGGGTAACCACTTCGCCGTAGCTAAGGGAGAAATGGAGAGAATCATGACTGTGTGACTGCAAGACTTACCGACGCCCTCCCAACCCCACAGATTCGCTTTCATGCCTACTCCGTAAAACTGCCATTTTCTCACAAACGCCAACCACGTCTCAACCACTTCCGGGTGTCCGTCATACACCGTGATCAACCTCTTCATTGTGATCCTCTCAAAGTTCTCTTGTGCCTTTTTATTCACAAAGTTGCTTTTGAGAACCGTCCACCTTTCGATCTTTTTCGGCAGCGGCGTGGGACCTCTGCAGGGCAGGGATAGGTAGTAGGCGGCGCGGACGCAGAAGTCGGCGTAGAACTCGAGGTTGCGGGTGCTGAAAGATCGGAGCTGGAGTTGACACACGGGGATACCGTGGGTGGTAGGGTGGTAGAGCGGGGTGCGGTAGGCCGCGAGGACGTTGGGCGGTACATTCGGTCTTGTATTTTCATCTCCCGGTGCAGGGGCGGGTGTCTCGGACGAAGCCAGTGGAGGCGTGGATGGCGAGCTTCTGGCGGCCTTGGGAGTTGACTTTGTGGGCGGCCGCGGTCGTGCCTTTTCCTGTGCTTGCGACGGAGAGGTCACGTTAGCTGCTGTCGAAGAGGATTTGGTCGGCTGTGGCGTCGATGCCGACATCTGCTGTAGTTCCTGGGCTTGAACTTCTGACACCACGTCCGGCCTCGCTTTGGACCGTTGTATCGAAGTTGGGGTATGCTTGGGCTTGGGTATCGGTGCCGCCGAGTCATCTTCTGTGCCGCTCTCTTTAGCAGACCCTCTCGCTTCAGTGGGGGCTTCCTGGATCTTGTAGGATCCGATTTCTGGTGTTGGGAAGCCTGCAGTGATATCAACAGGACCGGTTTCTAGCGACTTGTCTTTATTGTCTCGTTCGTATCGTAGCGAACCAGAGCAGAAGGCTCGTGTCGACGGTTGCGGAAGGGATGGAGCTGAAAGGCGAGGTTTAAACGGAACGGTCGTTGTCTAGAGATCGGACACGACGGTTAGTAAATCGTGATATATTTGACAAGCATAGCGCTCTGCTATCTGAAGTCTGCGTCGTGGCCAGCACAGTCCTTCCTGTCAAGCAGTGGGTGGGAGAACTTCCATACCTTCTGAGGGCGGCATGCTTCGATAGCTATGCGAAGACATCGGGGCGCCGCCATCTTTCAGACGTCTTTCGAGGAATCTAGGGGCGCAGTGTCTTCTGTCAGCAGATCTAGGATCTCCCAGCAAATTTCCCTCGCCGGCAACCGCTATAGGGTCATTCGCACTTTGGCAATCCAAGCAATTGACTCTGGAGGGCGCAAGACGCGATTCGGCTCAGAAAAGTTTCCATGGTTCTCGGAGCGAAGGAGAAAATCCCCGACCGCGTGCCGCTTTAAACTGGGCTCCCATACTGGCCCTCGGGGAACTCGCATATAATTTACCACTGTATAGGGGAGTCGATATTAGCATACTTGGGTATTTCCACTTCGGAACTGGTCATTGAGGGTGAGATCTAGATGTGCTCGACTGGCCCCTAGAAGCCTTATCACGCTGCAGTTTAGGAACATAAGGGAAGGCTGCTAGAGGTGCCGCAGAGCAACATTGCAATCCGAGCAGCATTCGCTTGAAAGAAAGACCCCCTTCTATTCAGTCATATCCTTTCTGCTCAGTGTATAATATCCCCATATAGTCGAGGACGTTTGCTACCCTCCTGACGAAGGCACTAACTCGGACTGTCCGAACCATATCTCAAATTGACGAGCACAAGGTACAGCTTCGTCGCGTGAATGTCCACCGCCCTAGTCATCACCAAGAGTCCCCAGGAGGGTTGCACTGGGCACGAAAAAGGTCGTCCCTGTCAACGGCGTCGAGTAGTCCAAAATGCGATCATGCAGCCCAGGCGGCGAACCTACAAACATGCGGTCCAGCATCTGCTCAATGACCCACAGCTTCCTCGAATAGCCGATGAAATAAGTGCCAAACTCGCCTTTCCCGGGTGTGCCAAAGGGCATGTTGTCCCTCAAGATCGACAGCTCGGATCCGTCATCCCCCTGGACCGTGGCCAGTTGCTTGTGCGCCTTCTGTTTGTCCTCACCCACATCGTCCAACTCGATGTTGTCGAGTTTCGTGCGCCCGATGATGGCTTCCTGCTGTTCCGTAGACAGGCCGCGCCACCTCTTCAAATCGTGCACGTACTTCTGAACGACAACGTAGCTGCCGCCTGCGGAGCCTGCGTCGTCCACCTCCGTTACCAGGACCGATTCATCGACAGACGCGCCTACGGGGTTGGCCGTGCCGTCCACGAAGCCCAGGAGATCGCGGACGTCAAAGTAGCGGAATCCGACAGTGTCATCCTCGACCTTGACACTGTCCCCCAGCCGATCCATCAACTGGCGCTCGAACTCGAAGCACAGATCGCGGCGCTGTGCCCGGATGTGAAACAGCAGGTCCCCAGGCGTGGAAACGGCCGTGTGGACTTTGCCGGAGATGGTTGGGAAAGGGTGCAGCTCCGCCGGTCTGGGAACACCCCGAAGTAGACTGTCCCAGATATTGCTACCAACGCCGACCGTGCACGCAAAGGCGGCGTCCAGGTCGCGAATCGCCACGTTCTTGGAGAGGTCATCAACGCTGGCGAGTGTCGAGCGTACAGTCTGGATGGCATCGGGCTTGTCCGTCACAGAGAGGACGAGGAAGGTCGCGGACTGGGTGAGTGGTGCATCAACCCGTTGGGGTTCTATGGGTGCCCGACGGCTCATCTTGCTTCTCGGTGTCGTCGTGGACAGTCCCGCGGCTTGTGCTTGGTCGAGCAGAGAGGGTGAGAATGGCTTGCGAGTGGTCTGATAGGACATGGACGGCCTCAGCGCTGTGCCTCTGCCCAGTGGTGCTCGTGCAGCTGTCCTCGTTGCCGCTGAAGTCGGGTACCTCGAAACCCAGTGTCTAAGGAAGCCGCTGCAGACGCCCCGAGTGACCTTGTTCGTATTCATGCCACAATCGAGCCAGAACAAGACAACGTCAATCCTGCCTCGACGCTGACCAATATAATGCAGGTACTCGGTACAGCTCTAGAAGAGCTGGCTTACTTTGTCCCGACGGTCATTGGCCACGGCGCGTGAAAGATCTCCCTCATGGTCTGATCTGTATGATGACTCAGCCTGCAGCGCCCTGACCTCGCGCGAGGCTCCCTCGGCTCCTCCTCGCGCGCGTTGAATGTTCGGAACAACCATTAATAACGTGGATGGCGTGACGTGTGGACGCCGGAAAGTCGAGACGAGCATTCCCATTGCATTGCTGCTAAACTATCTAGGGGCTGTTCTCGAGCAACTTGCCGCTCCTCCAAGATTCAGTCCCGATTACTCTGTCATACAATTCCATATCGTCATAAAAAGAAGGGCATAATAACAAGTCATAAACTCTTGACATCATAGCAAAGTTGTCTCTGCAGGTAGTCCAAGGCGGGGCCCAAGAGCATGGGCTCGCTCACAATCAAGCCAGGCACTCAACGGCCGGTATGCAATCTGCAGGGAAGCTCCAATGAGCTCTCACGCCACACCATGAATCCAACGACACGGTGGTATCACCCAAGATAACAAAAGACAGTGGACATGAAGAGTTCCTCCACTCAACCAACAGTGGATGAGCGAGTATCAACCTAGTTCATTAACACATCAGAAGCGTGAAGTAAAGCTGCGACCCAATGATGGTCGACGTGCATGGTCAGTCGATGTGGTGGCATTGGCTTGCGCCGGTGCCCCTCCAATTTTCTCAAAGCCTTGAAGGATATCGACACCTTCGTCGTTGTCATCCGAGTTGTCGTTCTCGAATGATTTGAAATCAAAAAGATCATCTTGTGCGTCGAAGACGGCGCCATGCGTAGCGGAGGCCTTCAATGGCGAGCCGTTTTGTGTAGCCCGCACGCGTGGCTGTAGAAGAGAACCACGGGTTGGGGTCTTCGAGTTGGGCTTCTGGGCGCTGCCAAACACCTCGGTAAGGACATTGGTCGACGTCGATGCTCGACCGTATGTTGGGCGAGAGGCAGATCCTTTTAGTGGTGACGAGCCGCACATCGGCGTGCCCGGAGTAAGACCAAGGATTGGATCCGAAAAAATCTCAAAAGATTCCTCATGGAAAGTAGACGATGGTGCGAGGCTCGTCCACCTGAGAGGACTGTATGTTGCCTCTTCCAGCAAAAACAGCCCAGAGCTTTTGATAGGTGAGTTTGCGAAATCGCGCATTGCTTTGCGATGCAGGAGAAGTTGTGTGTTTGGAGAGACTGAAGGAGGAGGACGGGCGGGTTTCTTGAAGACCACAGCAGGAGTCATTGGATTCTGAGGGGCCATTGGGCTGACATGAACGGGCGACGACGACTGCGCGCCTTCCGTTGTTGATGGCCGGAATCTCGCATGGCTTGGAGTGAGATCGTGTGAAGAGCTTCTGATTCGCACAATCTCCTCCTCGGCACGACCTCTTTTCTTCCTCATAGGCTCAATGTCCAGCTCCGAGGTGAGCATCACGGCATTCTTGTTTGGGCGCAGCGCAGACGACTCAATGGACGAAAAGTAGCCGCTGTCATCGTTCTTGGTAATGCTTAGGTTTTGTCGATGAGACACGGATGGGCGTGGCTGTCGGGCCGATGGGGAAGAGATGGCGCGCTGATGATGAGGTGCAACCACAGGCGGTGAGGAGTTGATGGCATCTGGAGGAGACGACTTTGGAGCTGGAGCCAGGCCGCTGTCTTCAAATTCCGCAGTCTCATGCTCGTTTAGAGCGGGGTCTGAGGCGGGCAGGGTAGCATCTGATGAGAGTTCTGGAAGAGCAGGAGCCGTCTGGGGTCGAGGTGGAGGTGGTTCACTGGACTGACCAAGGAAAGGATTGGGTGCCAACGCATCCGAGAGTTGTTGAGCAATCTTCGGAGGCTCGGAACGCATCACGTTGGCATTGATGGTCATATGGGTGATGTTGGTTCCTCTCCGATTTTTATCTTTGATGAACTGTGACTCCATTCCCGGCTCAATGACCCAATAGCTTCCCTTTCCAGCATCTCCCTTGGGCCTCTCTTGTTTGGTAAAAGCCTTGTGCAAGGATAAGTTATGTCTGATACTGTTGTGCCAGCTTTGCTTGGTGTCTTCGCGGTAAAAGGCGAACGTAGTAGAGATCCAGTCATAGATTTGTGCGAGAGTCAGTCGGCGATTTGGTGCTCTCAGGATAGCCATCCCAATCATCTGAGCATAGCTGTAAGAAGGCTTGTTGCCATCATCCTCGACTGGAGGCATGTCCTCTGGGTCAGGTAGATGGAAGATGGAATCATCGTCCTGCCGGGGCTTCTTGAAAGGACGGTCATTCGTCATCTGCGCTTCTGAATATGATCGCTTAAGAGGTTGCTTTCGTACGTACGAGGGTTCTGGAAAGTCGACGAAGTTATCTTGCGTAGTTGTGGCCCCGAAATTCTCTTGGTCATATGAGTCGAGTTTTATGTCGAAGGTGGTAAACATTGGCTGCGCCATTTGGACGGGACGATATTGCTGACTGGAAGGAACAGCATGTCGCTTGGCCGGCGAGTCAGTGTAGATATGAGTTGCCGTCATAGGCGGAGGGATGGGAACGTAGTTCAGGTCTCCAAAGTAAGGCGCTGGAGGAGATAACGGTGTGCTCTTGAGAGGGGATATCTGTTGGCCGGGTACCATTGGAGCATTGAGGATAACCTCCGGGCGTGGGTGAGGAGCAGGGGGGTTTCTGAGTGGCTGCAGAGGCATAGCCGAAGGTTGCAAACGCGGTCGAGGTCGGTTCATGTGTGAGATATTGTTCGTCGGAACAGGCATTGGGTCTTGATAAATCTGCACGAACGGGTGCTGACGCGTCGACGCCATGGCGAAAAGTGATGCAGAGTATTCACAGATACAGGACAGACCGAGTGTAGAGAGAAAGTCGCGTGAAAGTGAGTTGCACAGGTTCCATTAACCGATTTTTGAGGTTGTCCAAAGGGTGCGGCTGAGATTGGTCCAGAGCCGCCAACCCTGAGGAAACGGGCAACTGGGCACTTTTGAGAACAGTCTCGAGCGGCGAGCAAGGGCGTCAAGAGGTTCAATTCTCACGGCTAGGGAGGTGGATGGAGGTATGAGCGTGTCTGTGCGGGAGGGGCGCGGAGGATCGAGGCCGCAGCTGCAGTGCTCGTCGGAGGACCGAGGGGGCGGATGGTATGAATGCTGAACCGTCGAAGGGGATAGAGGTCGAGAGTCGAATCGCGACTATCGAATGAATCGAGACATTGCGTGAAAGTTGACAAATGCTGAGGTTCATAAAGGTGTGTTGTTTACCAGGCCTATCGCGTCAAAATCGATGCGAGAGTAAGCTGTACGTAGGAGGAGGCAGTCCAGTTCTTAAGAGGGGAAATGCAGGCAGGAAGAGGGCGAAGCAGGGCCGGGTAAGAACAAACTTCGAGGGCAGCGGAGGTGTGGGCGAGAGGAGTTCGACCTTGGAACGGAATGCCTGGAATGACGCGGGCCTGGTGGGCTATTGAGGCGTCGAAGGCTTGGGCTTGCGAGGTCTCGATGCCACTGACAGGTGACTGAGGCCGATGTGAAGACGCGCAGCGTGATGGATCTTGGCTCCAACGAGACTTTGGCGCTACGGACGCCTTGATTCTGAGGAGTTCGCAGTGGCCGGGCCTGAGCTAGGTGCTTTATCCACACCCAATCAATGGGATCTCGATTGGACTCGACTGACGTGGAATGCCCGTTGTCTCTCCCACCTTGTTCCCTGGTTTGGTGTCAGGGAGTGGGTGCGAGTCCGGGACGGTGGTGTGCGCTGATTGGTGGATGGCAGGACGCGTCTGGAGCGCGTCCTCCGGAACGGAACAACCACTGTTCCGGACTGCTGCGTCAGTGCACTGTTGCTTTCCCTCTCCTCTTCCCGCTCAAAAGGTCATTTCCGCTGCCTTTTTGCTTGCTTCTCTAGGTGATAATAGTACGACAGGACTTTAGTCTTCGGGTAGTCAATACCGAGGCTATAGCTGTTCATCGTTCATCGGTCTAGCATTGCTCATTTTAACTCTACCACAGTGACAACCCCCCCGCCTGGATTGATGTCATGTTGGGGGAGATGTTGGATCTTTTGTTTTGATTGACATCTGTCATGGCGGTGGCTTGTGGTGGGTGATCATGTCCCCTGTTGAAATCATTTCATCTACTCCATTGCTGTCGTCGACATTGTCCGTGACATCTCCGAATATAACCGCCACTGTGGGCCCCCAAGATGCCAGCTGAATGTCCAAATCTCAAGACTCTTCGAAAGTGCCTCCCATTTTAGTGTCCAACCCCGGGTTGCGGATGCTTTCCTTTTTGATACCACTAGTGCCCCCCCTCTTTTTTCTATGCAAAACTCCGGTAAATAGTATTAGATGCTGTTCAATCGCTCAAAATGCACAATCAGGGTTCGAGAAACGTAAACAAGTTGGTGTGCAAGATGTTTAAAGCTCGATCGGCATCGCGTTCCGCAATCACACAAGAGATGTTGATCTCACTAGCTCCTGCTTACAATGTTAGCACAGATGGAGAGAGTTCCAAACCATGGCGGGTGACCATACCTTGCGAGATCATTTCGATGTTGACATTATTTGAACCGAGTGTCGAGAACATCTTCCCAGCAATGCCGATCATGTTCTTCATCTGCTTGCCCACCAGGCTGACAATTGCCATTTCGGGAATAATGTCCACAGTGCCAAAATTTTGCAATTCCTCGATGGCCCCCCGGAGGTCGTGGTCCACGATCTGGTATTCGTCATCGCCTCCTCCGGTGTAGAGAGGCGCTTCCGAATGCAAGGCCATGGACATATTCACCTCGCTGGTGGAAATAACATCGACCGACAGCCGCCACTTGTCGAGGGTTGCAAAGATTCCAGCAAAAAACCCGTGCGATAGTGCTCGTTTATTGGAATGAATGTTCATGACCAAGATCTTGTGCTTCATGGTAATGGCCGTCGGTCGCTTCGGCTTCTCACCCTCCGTGAGCTGGCTGGGGCTCCTCGATCGGAAAAGCTTGGGGTCGTGTCCGGCCAGCGTCGAGGCCAACTCTGACGGAGAATCTGGATAGATGATGGTACCCTCTCCTCGTGGATTCATCACATTTTTGATACGTATGGGTATCCGTGCTCGGATGACCTGGTCCATGGTGGAAGGATGTATGACCTCGGACCCGTAAAAGGTGAGTTCAGCAGCTTCTGCTGGGCTGATCCGAGGAATCAACGTTGCCGTTGGCACTTTGCGCGGATCGGCCGTAAATATACCGTCCACTTCTTTCCATATTTGTAGCTCGTTCGCTCCGATGCCGACGGCAACCAGGGCGGCGCACAAGTCTGTATATCCTCGACCAACCGTGGTCAACAGACCTCTGGGAATGGTTCCAAAGTATCCTGTGATTACGGGTACGATGCCCGTAGGGATATCCTGGAGCCGTTCTGCCAACCTGGATGCCATGTTGTCGTAGAACTGCTGATCCAGACTATGAGAGACTCTGAAGTCTATCACGTCTGCCAGGTCGACGTATTCCGCGTCGATACCTCGGTCCCGGAGCAGGGCTGCCATAAAACGACAGCTGAGCTTCTCTCCCGTGCTCATGACCTTGTCTCTGGATCTGGGACTCGTCTCGCCCAGAGTCTGGGCAGCCTCCAATATCCGCTCCACCAACGAACACTCATCTTCAAATTGTGCCTTTAACTGCGACTTTATTTTCTCGGACTGTATGTAGGTTTCAGCAGCCCCTAGGTGATCGAGCCGGACATCTTCGATTAAACGTTTAAAATCTTGGGATCGGTGGTTCTCTGCCTCGGTGGCCGCTCGTAATAGACGGTTCGTCGTGCCCGCAGCTTTAGTGCTGCTAGATCTCTAGACATGGTGGATCAGTGAGTGCAACGGTGGAATCGGCGGTCAGTGATACGTACTGCTGAGCAGACTATTGCAACATCGGTGCCAGAGGAACAGGATTTGACGACGTTGACAATATCCAAAGGGAATTTCCCAACACTAGTTCCTTGGGTGAGTCAGTAACTGCGGTCAGGTATAACGTGGCAGGACCCAACGCACCGCCAAACTTCAAGACATTAATAGGACGAGATCTTGGTGTGCGAGTGCCATTCACCCCATTGACGAGCGGGACCTCGGTGTGTAGACCGTTGGAGAGGGTGAGCGAGGTCATGGCGAGGAGGACGACTGTGGCAATTGAGGACTGGGAACCATAGTACTGTCACTGGGACATGTGAGGGAAAGAAAAGGAGTGTCGTAGCTAGCGAGCAAACGAAAGTAAACGAGCATCCAAGAGCGAAGGGCGGTTTTACGAGGTGACCAGCAAGTCAGTGACTGGCATCGTATCCCACTACCACAGACGGAGATGATTCTGGGGCCGATTTTGCAAAAAGTCTCTCACTCGGTCAGTCATAATCCTCCAGACGGCAGAATTTTTGAAAATTCTCGAGGGGTCCTCGAGGCGGTGAGGGGAGTGACTGTGCTCGGCTGCGAGAATCGGCGAATAATGTGGCGGCCAGACCCGTGGCGTCATTTCGTGTCTGGTTGCCATTTTTAGTCATACATGCTTGGGTCTTGTGAGAATGGGCTTCCAAGGGCATGTGGGTGGCTTGTCATTCTGTCATTCCAACTCCATATTCGTCCTGATATCAACCACACCGGCAACGCAGCTTCTCGCCCTTGCAGATATCACCCGCTCAGAATGCAACCCAAGGAGCAGGCAAGGCTGAGTGAATCGCCCTATTGACCTGGGCACACTGCAGTCCATCAGCCAGTCACTGTCCCCGCTCGTTTCCAGGTAACCCCCCGGAACAAAGCCTGTGAGAGTTCTTCATTGCTGACACGGACATTTGAAGATGGAGTGACATTCCACAACCCCTTGTCATTCCTGTTGTCCTTCCCCCGAGAATCCTCCTTGAGCTCACCTTGGCAACCAACGCGGCCTGCTAGTTCCTTATTCGCCCACTTGTCCAGCATGCCTGGGACATTCCTCATCTCCGTACACAAGACACCCAGCACTGCCACGCGGAGTTGAGGCGGAACGGCCCCTGTGTTGTCGTCTGTCGTCCGTCACCAGTCTACCTAGTTGTTCACAGCGCTTCATCACTTCTGCTGAAAAATATTGAGGTGTTGGTGGACCAGGAGGCAGCAGCCCGTGATAGGCAGTGCTTGAAGTGACCGATTGGGCTCGCCTACAGCCTGACATCCCAGCCAGCGCAAGATGGAGTCTTCCTAAATCTCGTCTCATCTATAAATCTGTCGTATATTCATGGGTCGTGATGGCCAACGAAAATCGCCAACAATATCTGACTTGCCCGTTCTGCACCTTCGGCAGCAATGATATCGACTCTCTCGAGAGGCACGTGCAGCATCTTCATGGCAGCCGACAGCCTGACGGTCAACAGCATTACGATGCCGCATCCCAGCTAAGCGATGCCGACTTGGCCCAACTTCTTGCCTTTGAGGAAGCAGGCTTGCCTGCCGAACTAGCCCTACCAGACCGTCCGAATGTTCCTGCCCGTGGTGAAATTCAGGCAGCGGAAAGCGCAACGAATCTACAAGAACCGCCTTCATCCTCTCGCGTTGCAAAGGAAGATTCATGGGCACAATGTGTCTGTGGCGAACGCGTACATTTTCTCGAGCTCGATGCCCATTCGGACATGCACGCTCAGGAGAGTGTTTCCATGGATGATGCTGATATACCAAGCAGTGATGTCGAGCTTTGGACACCCGAGTCAACTGCTGAACGCCCATTAGCCAATATCTCAAACTCGTTTAGCACTAATATCCCAAAGTCTCTTCGAAACTACGATCAGATACGTGAGAACACCACTCCTCCTCGTAGCGAAAAGAGACGCGGTCCTTCTCTCAAGGAGATCTTCCTCGGCACTTCCGCATTTCCTAAGAGGAAATCAGCCATTTCGGCCGCCTCCACAAAGCTTGGGCAGACGAAACAGCTCGGAGTGAGTTTGACCGAGTCTGATGATGTTAGACGTGGCATGGCTAACTGTTTGCAGAGGTCGGAATTGGGTCCTTTCGCCCATGAGCAGCAGATGCCGAAATGGTTGCGCCGAATGCTCGAGCGGGGTGCCAAAGTCACGATAGTTCACAGATACGGCCCCGACGGCACGTTGACCAGGGTCGAAACTGTCGCCAACGAGACGCCTAACCTGGTCCCTGTTCTCTCTCGGCTGTCTCAGCTGGACAGAACGGTCGAACGTGCATTTTATTGCAGCCCTCAAGTTCTCCACGTGTGCAAGATGCTAGGGGAGGGTGGCTTCTGTGGCTATCGCAATATCCAGATGTTGGTGTCCTACATTCAAGCCACGGACGCTAATGGCGCCGAGAACTTTCGGGGAAGACTGCCGTCTATACTGAGACTTCAAGATATGATTGAAAATGCTTGGGACCTGGGCTTCAACGCCAGCGGGCGTGAGGAGACTGGCGGCATTAAATTCACTCGAAAATTTATTGGCACGCCGGAGGCGCACGCATTATTTTCGAGTCTTGATATCCCTTGCGAATCGACCGGCTATTCCACCACAAAGGAGGTCGAGGGCTTCGAGACAATGCTTTGTGCTGTCTGCGAGTATTTCGACGATGACTCGACCAAAGACAGCGTCGACAAAGTGGTCCTTACGGACAAACCACCAATCTACTTTCAGCATCGTGGCCATTCCCAGACTATTGTCGGGGTCGAGCAAAGGCTAAATGGCGCTGTCAATTTGGTCGTTTTCGATCCAATGTTCCACCTCAGCCCTGCACTCAAAAAACTTGCCTTTTCACGTTGCACTACGTTCAGATGTGCTCAGCCTGAAAAGCTTCTGAAAGCTCACCGGAGAGACGAGAGATATTTGGAGAGCTACAAAGACTTTGAACTTTTTAGGTTGAAGATGGGACAGCCGTAACATGCGGGAGCACCATGCATTGTTTCTCATCATCATCCCTGATCCACCCGAGAGGCGAGCATTGATAAACTCGTTCATTGCTGCCTAGGGCTTTTTGAGGATCTTTCTTCGACACTGCATTGCGAGGGGGATGCTGAGGGAGTTTGGTCGAACAGATGACTATTGCAGAGCAGCTGGATGGCAGGATGGATGAACCGGTTGTGATATATTTGGGGCATCTCTGGGAAGGTATTGATAGGATTCTTCAACAAGTTGGCAGGAACACTTTAATTTGTGTACACGTCGCACTCCAGTGCCCGCTCCTGAGCCTGAGATATTGCTCTCGCTGCTCTTATTGACGCTCGGATTCGAGTTCCGTGCATTCCTTTTGTGACTTCATCAGGCTGTAGGCGATGTCAAAAAAGAAAATGGCATAGTCTGACAAGAAAGGGTATATATCTGGATATGAGTGAAGTAGCAGTGATTCACTATTGACGCAAAGGTACCCATCATTGAAAAGGGTATCTATTCTGTCATTAGGAAGAGCGGCATCCCTAGTTTTTTTATGAATATCAGCTATATTTATCTGGCGGCCACCTCGTCGCTGTTGAGTGACTGGCTCGATTCTGAGACGGTGTCTATTCTCTGTCGGACTGCGATTTTTCTTCTTCCCGAGGCCTGCCTCGTAGCCTCGTAGCATCTGTCATTTCAAACTCTCAGTGTCACTTTTAAAGATATCAAAATACACGTGAATTAAATTCACCACAGCATGCTGCTCTCTGCCTCGTTCTTCTGATACCTTTCAAGCCGAGTCTGTCGTTACCAGCAACTGAGGGAAGCTAGCGAACTCTTGCCTACTTTGTCTCAACGACCAGCGCACGCTTTGGGCCCTGCCAACCAAGGCCTTGCACGAATTCTCATGATCTATTTTTCCTTGGCTGGCCTAGGATAACATATCCATATCATATTACCCCGGGACCCCTTCACAGCCTCTCCCCCTGCCATAAGAGCCAATATACAAACATGTCTCTCGCGCCTGCAGCCCAGCAACCGCAACCGCTACAACCGCGCCCGAAAGTCTTGAACTTCATCACTGGCAACGCCAACAAATTGGCCGAAGTCCGTGCCATTCTCGGCGGTGTCCCCGGCCTGGATCTGCAGAGCCGCAATGTCGAGGGCGCCGAGATCCAGGGCACTATTGAAGAGGTCGCGAGGGACAAGGCCTCGAGGGCGGCGAGGGCGGTGAGTGTGCACTTTTTGGGATTCGTTGGTCTTTTCTATGTTTTGTTTTTTTGGACTTTTATGGTGTCTCTTCTACTTGTTACCCCGGAGGAGGAGAATTCGATGGGTGAAGCGGCTTGGTTTGAGGTGTGGAGAGAGACGGGGCAATATGTCAGGAGGGCATGCGATGGTGGAATCGGGCGTGGAAATGAGATGATGGAGTATTCAAGAAGGCCCAGATTTACTTCCTCCTCTGCGAACCAAAGGGACAGGATTCAGGGGAAGGTCTGGCAGGAACCGTGCAGGGGAGCAATGGCAAGACAAGAGCTCTGTGACACACTCAGAGCTCAAGGGTCTGAGCCTTAGCCTCGCGGTGACCGCTGGTTTATGCTACAAAGCATCTTGTCTCTGCCGAATGGATAGACTAACGCCCCGTATCCCGACTAGGTAAACGGCCCAGTCCTTACGGAAGACACGGCGCTGGAGTTCCAGGCCCTCAAAGGGTTACCAGGTCCCTATATGTGAGTTCCTTCCACAATCCTCATTTGAAAGCATCCTTCAGCGTCAAGTCGTCATCCTTTTCAAGTCCACCTTCTCTTCCACGAACCATCATCACTCCCTTTTGCAGCCACTAACCATGTACGTCCCTCAAAATAGCAAGTACTTCCTCCAGGCTCTTGGCCACGACGGGCTCAACAAGATGCTCGCCGCGTACGAAGACAAGACCGCCTTCGCGGTATGTACCTTTGCGTACTGCGAAGGACCTGGCTGTGAGCCGATTCTGTTCCAGGGGCGGTGTCAGGGCAAGATCGTGCCGGCCAGAGGGCCACCAATCTTTGGTATGTGGAACCCTTCCGCCGCGAGGTTTTTGCATGAAGGCTGGTTGCCACTTTGCCACGGCCGTTGTCTGACCACTGCATCACACAGGCTGGGATGCCGTCTTCGAGTTCGAGGATGGCCAGACATATGCTGAGATGGAGAAGGAGAAGAAGGTATGTCCCTTTCCAAAACCCCTCCCCATTCTCTTCTCGTCCTGGGCGGCATCTTTGACCACTCTCCTTGTGTAGAATCTGATCTCGCATCGCGGCAAGGCTCTAGCAAAGCTCAAAGCCTGGCTTGCTGGCGGCGAGCTGGAGCCGTAGTTTCTCGGGCGGTCCCTCATTCCGATAGAATCATAGACTCCGTGACAGACATGATGCGTCAAAGCAATAGAAGAAATTCCCTGTCGAGGTCTTCTCACTGCCCTCCTAATCCCCCTTACCATCCGTCGTATGATCTTTGATCCAATTCTTCACCCACTGGAGGATCCTCTCCGCGTTCTCTTCGATGTCGTCTGCATTCACGCTCTTCAGCTCCACCACCCGCCCTTCCTCCTCGTCGCCCCATCCCTCTTTGGCCTCCTCGGTCACCACGCCAAAGATCTCGGCGTCCATGTTTTCCTGCACTTTGGCGTCCTTGTAGCCCCGGGCGGCGAGGCGGTCGTAGAGGACGCTCGTCTCTTCACACCTCAGCACAACCACGAGATCGACCCAGCGCACCGCGAAGCCCGCGGTGGAGTGCCAATCAATCACCCACCCGCCTTCGCCGTCGCCGTCAGCGATGTCTTTCTCCACCTCGTCCATGAGCTTGTCGTCGTCCACGATCAGGCTCTGCAGGTCTTCATCGTAGCCGGAGTGGCAGGAGCGGGACTTGACGAGGTCGTTGATCGAAAGAGGCTTGAGGTTGATGGCCGGTGTTGCGGACGAGGCCAGCCCGAGCAGTTGTGTGCAGGTGGTGGTCTTGCCCACGCCCGGGGTGCCCGTTATGATGATGTTGGGCAGAGAGCGCATTATCTCTGGCTCCAGACGATTGGAGAGTCCGTTTTTCGGTGCAGAAACGGGTCTGAAAGGGGACAGGGAGAGAAGCTGGGGTTCAGACTGGTTTGCTTGTGCGATCTCTACAATAAGTTCAACCCGTGCGGCCAAAAAAGTTTTGGTGCGGAGGCAGTGCGGGTGTCGAATAATATTAATAGTGGGACTCTGTGAGGGAGAGGGCGGAACGCAATGCGGCGAGGCGTCTTCCGCCACCAACTAGCGAGCCGCCTTCAGTGGAGTGTCTACTGGTTATGGTGACAGTGAGGCGATGGACAGCATTGCTTTACACCCGTTCTCCCTTCCTATACTCGGCACCCAGACTCTAGATGTGCGCAGAGCCCAACCACACAAAATATCTGACTACAACACTCCTTCAGCTCATGATAAAGATTTAGCACCAACAATCTACCTATTTACAAGTAAAGAATCGCCCACTTCGGATCTCTCTTACAAGTCGTATCATCTGCTCATTCCGCTACACAGAGAATTCTTGGATTTGCTGCGGTCCCCCTACCAGGATGGGTGATAGTCTCTCTCGTATGGCATTTGTGCCGCTTGATTCTATGTCATGATGCACAAGGTGTTCCCAATGCCTCAACCCCCGAATTCACTCCCCGCCATCGCCAACCAGCTCAAAGTCGACAAAGTTGAAGAGACTCGGGTCGAGGACAAAGTCGTTGACGGCAGCTTCGAGAGAACCCCAGGAGCCGCCGTGTGCAGTGTCCAGGCCTCCGTTACTGTTATTGTACTGTGCGGGCGACGTCCGCACATCATCCGTGAAGACATCCACAAGCAGGGAACAACCCTCCACTATCCGGGCAAGAGTTCTCCTCATCCTGGCGGTGATATGGAAATGAGGCTGCAGGTCTTTCATCATTTCATCCAACAACCGGAGCCACCGAAGGTCATCCTCGTCGACGGAGGAGTGCTCAGCTCCCAGGACGGTGGAGATGAAGACGGTCGCCGCCACGTATAGATTATCCAGCATCACAGATGGAGTGGTTTCCACCCCAAAAATCTGTCGGTATGTGATACCCAGCTGGGCGATCTTAACCGCGTTGTCATGCACAAGCTGACGAGAAGACTCGGCGGTCCAGTTGTGGAGGACCGGAGGCTGATCGTTGCCTTCGCTTTGTTTGCGCTTCCGGTGGGTTGATATTGGGAGGGAATGCAGCAACATCTGCACCCGCAAGTATTGCATATGCAGACCGTACGCGACTGCATCGAGACCGGAGACGTTGTCATAATCAAGTGCGATATCGGCGGGCAGTGATGCATACCACCTGCGCAGCTTGCCGTCAAGTTCTGACAGCCGATCAAGAGTGCTTGGCTGCATAGGCGAGTCCTTGTCGAGGATTGTCGTGATCTCGGCGATTAGTACACACAAGTCAAACCACGCCCTCAGGGTCAGATTGTCGGATACATGGCCGGCATACGAAGAAAGGGACGGGCTCAAGATCGCAATGTGGCTCGGACGGCCCAGGTACAAGCTCCAAAGGGTCTCGTAGACGAAGCAGCCTAATGTGACCGAGCCACGGAACCTTCCACCAGGGGCGTTCAAGGCATCTTGGTCACTGTTCTTGCTCCACGTGTGGTGCAGACCAAGGTCAACAATGAGTCGACAAGCAATACCTAGCATTTGATCAGGGGGGCAAACAGTGATGGCGGAGGGAGTCCTCACCACAGTACATCCAACCAACTCGATCCCGCCCTTCAGTCATCTCGTAGTCGCTGAGGAGCAGCATTCCCTGCAACGTCGCCACGTTGGGATCTTCCAACTCAGACACTATTTCTGACTTGGCGCGCATCGCAAAGGTTGATCCCAACGCGCGGACCGCAGCCGAAGTACTCAAGCGCGCGCTGCACGCCAGCAGGGAGTTTTCCAGAAACCTGGAGTAGTGCTGTGATCGCAAGCCTCGCGCTCGGTGTGATAGAAAGAGTTCTCGATGGATGATGTTGACTGAAAGGGTCTGAAAGTTGCAGTAGTTGTTGAACAGGAGGGTTTTCAGACGGTCCGAGTCCAGGTCGATCTGCGTGACAGGAGGTGGAGGATGGAGGCTCGACACACTTCTCACCACATCAGAAGGTGACGAAACATGGAGTTGACAGGTCGGGCCAAAGTATATGCCAGAGTCTTCGGAAATTCCCTCCTCACCGTTAATTCCAGGGCAGACTTGCGGCGTGCGGCTCTGCCTTTCGTTGTCGATGGGACTCAAGCTGGCCATATTCGGTCTTCGCTCAGGCTCGATCTGCGGTGTCTGATTCACGCATGAAGACTTGCCGCGAGGTTCCGGCATGACATTAGTTGCGCTATGAAGTGAACCCTCCCGCGGCACGAGCTTGCTAGTGATAACATCTGTCGTTTCTGGACTTGGTTGCCTGGATAAGTCAGCACTTCGTACGAAGAACACAGTCCTTGGGGACATCGAACATGGCATACAGAGCAACATACTCTGCAGGATGTTGTTGTGTTCCGCTGCGTCGAGGGGAGTCGTGATTGTTTGCGCCTGGCTGTCCAACCACTGACGAAGCTTGGCGACTGTGGACGAAGGCGATGTCTTGCTGCCCTTCTATGCCCTCACCAGTGGATGTGGTGGAAATAGCCGTAGCTGGCTGCACATTCAGTTGCGTTGCGGTCTCTGCTTCACCACTGCCAACTGCAGTATTCCCTTCCGGAAGGATTTGGCGCACCAAACCCTCCAGCGATCGGATTTGTTCCTGAAGGGTAGCAATGTGCTCGCGAGAGCCGTGCCTGAGAATCAACTGTCAGCTCACAGAGTACACCTGCCCAGAATCCACGTCACGGACTTCCTGCGATCCGAAAACTGGCTAACGTGACAGTCGATGTTGGAAATTCGGCATCCGGTACACGTAGACCCGGTAGGGAGACGTTGAATATCACACTAAGAGAACATTAGCCTTACCCTCCTGGTGCATTGACATCGCCCTCATGGGAACCCATTGCTTACTGACCTTGATCTTGCGTTGACGACAGCTGTGGCAAGCCAACGAGGCTCGGGACCGCACTGTGGGGGATCTCTTTTGTCGCTTGGTGCTGGACGCGTCCTCCGCCAGAGGTGATGCGCCTCGTCGCGTCGCAAAGACGTCGTCTGAACGCATGTGGAATCGACCTGGTAGAATCGATAATGCATACACCTGCTCGAGAATTCAATCAAGAAAAAGAGCATGCACAGAACACGGGAAGCCTGATACAATGTATTCGCAGCATCAAATTCGACTGGATTCTGGGGTTGACATTCGCCAGGCCCACAATACCCTCGCTTCAGAAGGTTCCGAGGGAATATTGCGGGGAAAGCAAAGGAGACTCAATTCGATGATTCCTGGGTCTTGGGTTTAGCACTTGAGGCGCGCGAGAGTGTCAAATGCAAGCCTCTCCACTCGCTGTACCGAGCACCCCTGTCGCGGTTGGACAGAGGTCTTGGTTATGCCATAGACTCGTCTGGCCAATGCCTCCTACGAGATCCAATGGTGTAGAATCGAGTCATAAGAGCTCCTGAGTCCACATCAAGTGCTGGCATGAAACCTTCCGACTGGCTCATCCGTGGGGTACGCTCTGTTTCGCAGGCACAGACGTTCGAGCCCGTGGAAATGTGTGCGCGCTATGATCCTGTAGACTCATCGCGGGTTTGAACTTTCCTGTCTTGGACATGGCGACGAGCAAGGAGCCAACGGCCAACAGCCGTACACATACTCGGCATACCAAATCCGTGAAGAAGGCAGGTCCCGAGGCTGAGGGTGCAGTTGCGGCTGGCGTTTTCCGAGGAACAACCCCACAGTCTGGGCCCCCGCAGTCTTGGCGTAGGGAGTCCGGAGCCCGGAGTAAGAATTCGCCGTCTTCGGGCCGAGACAACCGCATCGTCGAGGTGAAACTGCACCAGAGTGTTCAATCAGACCAAAACGAAACATTTGTTTGTGGCAGCGCAACCCTCGGATACTAAATAACCAATCCGTCACAGGCGAGCCCCTGCATACCGTTGCCGGGGCCTCGTGTCTATCTCGTCTACGATGCTCTTCTCCAGCTCCTTGGTGTTGACATAGAGAGAGCTCAGCTCACTCAAGCTGTTTACCCCGAGGAGCCTCATCGTCGTCTCCACCTCGTCGCTAAGTACTGCAATAAGAAGTTAGCCGCGGATCTAATCAGACAGAATTCCGTCCTGTACTCACATTCGATTGCGCGTTCGACACCTTGCTGTCCATAGGCGCCGAGCGCGTAGACGAACGGCCGCCCAATGCCCACAGCCTTGGCTCCTAAGCAAATGGCCTTGAGGACATCACTTCCTCTTCTCACTCCGCCGTCGAGGTAGATATCTATTCTCCCAATAATCTCAGGACAGAATCTCCGAATCTCGAGCAAGGTCTGCATTGAACTTGGTGCAAAGTCAAGCTGTCGGCCACCATGATTGCTAAGGTAGATACCATCTACGCCGGCTCGACATGCGAGCAAGGCGTCCTCGGCGCTCTGAATGCCTTTCAAGACAATGGGGCCTGAATCTCCCCAGGTGTCTCGAATCCAGCCCAGGTCATCCCAGTTCAATGTTGATGAGTGAACTCCTCGGAGGATTGGCTTCTCTTCTGATGCTGAGGTATCCAGTGTCCGAGGTGTGTCCTCCACGCCAGATTGATACTCCACTCGAGCCTTATAGCGATCGTCTTCTTCCCTCTTGCCGACAACCGGCGTATCCACGGTTACAAGCAACGCTTTAAAACCTAAGCGGCGTGCCATGCGGATGAGCTCCACAGCGTTTTCTCGTTTCCTCGGTACGTATAGTTGGAAGAATTGCGTCTGTGGCAGTCCTTCAGCTTTGACGCATTGCATTATCTCCTCGTGTGAGCAGGACGTGTAAGTGCTGAATGCAGACGCGATACCCTTTGACCCAGCTCCACGTGCAAAAGCCAACTCGCCGTCCTTGTTTGCCAGCTTGATCATTGCCATTGGAGAGATGAAAATTGGGAGACTGCTGGGTTGTCCCATGATTCTGCACGACATATCGACCTGAGCAACGTTCCTGAGCACTCGAGGCCGGAAAGATACTTTTGCCCAGTCTCTCCGGTTGGCTTCCAAGGCATTCAGAGATTCAGCCGCAGAGTGGAAATAGGTGAATGCTCTTTCGGTCAACATCTTGGATGCTTGCAGTTCCATGTCCATGAGATTTTGACAAAGCTTCAGAGGTATGTCGTCTGCATGCTGCCTTTCCCATGCATGAGGCGTGCTGGTTGTAACTTCAACTGATGTGGTCATTTCGACCGCACCTAAATGTTTGTCTGCCGAAGGCTCTTTAGCATCTACCGTGTTGGTCAATAGGCGTCCTACCTTTTGCGAGAAATCTGGGAAGAGTGTCTTCCGGATGTATAGGGACATACTCGTGCGTGGCATCCTGTGGTGGGCTTCAGCATCGTTGCTTCAGCATCAGAAGTTAGGAGAGACCTTTCCAGCAAACCGGAGTATTGCTGCTGCCCCCCCAGGATGGTCATCAATAATGTCAGTCACATCATATGCTTGACCCTGAATAATGACCCAACATGACTGCCGGGTATTATGTGCAGCCACCTCGCTCCGAGTTGGCATTTTCAGAAATCTTGTTGAGGACCAAACAAAAGAGATCGAACATGCCCAGCCAGACCAGCGGTGAACCGATCCCTTTCGCCTTTCACCCCTTGATACAGTATATTTACATTGCAGGCATCGCTTGGCGAAGTTTGGTCCACGATTGCACTTCCGAAGAACCGCGGAGACCAGAGAGCCGGGCGGGGAACCGAGCCTTGGAGAGAAATGCAAACGGCCAGCAACACCCGAACCCAGAGTGTAAGAAAAGCAAGGGTGCCGACAACGAGGGATATATCCTAGCCTTAACTCGAAACAGGGAAATCTGTCGTGACGCTCAAACTAGACTCCTGCAAAACCACATATTATTTGCAAAAAAGGCGCCTCCAACATGCCTAGTGTTACCAGATTGCAGATTACACCACTTGCAGAAACTTTTGCTGCCGAAGTCGAAGGCATTGACTTCTCCAAGCCGATTGACGATGGCCTTTTTGAAGAGCTGAGAGATGCCGTCCACAAGTATGGTGTCGTCGTCCTTCGCAAGACCGCGCTAGACGATGATTCCGCTATTGCTCTTGGCCGACGATTTGGGGAGCTCGACAGCGTCAGAGCTCACCGACTGGCAGGAAGGGCAATGAGGATTCCAAACGACGAGATCTTCGACGTAGGCAACCTGGACGACAAGAACGAGGTCGTGACAGTCAAGGATCCTCACCGCACAGCATCTGCGAATGGAAATGCGCTATGGCATGCAGATGGAGCTTTCAACCCCCGCCGCACAGGCGTCTCTATTCTTCGAGGCGTTGAACTTCCTCCCAAAGGTACTGGGGGCCACACGGAGTACCTAGACACTCGGACAGCATATAACGACCTCCCAGAGGCAAAGAAAAAGGAGATCGAGGGTCTCGTGGGCTGCAACTCGTTGTTCCACAACCGAAAGACGGCCAATCCGGACTCGCCCCTTTTCCTGAATATCAATCCAATGGATCACCCTCTGGCGAAGCACAAGATTGCTCAATTGCACGAACCTTCTGGTCGAATGAATCTCTACGTTACATCATATACGCACCATATCGACGGAATGGACCTGGAACAGGGTCAAAAATTGCTCAAAGAGATATTTGAGCATGTCAAACAAGACAAGTATAAGTTTGTACATCATTGGCAGGATAACAATGATGTCGCGATATGGGACAACTGTGCTGTGCTGCATAGGGCGACCCATGGAGAATACGAAGGAAAACATAGGCGGGACATGAGACGTGTTTCAGTCTTCGATACCGGGTCCACTGCTTACGGCGAGAACGATGTTTCAACATACTGGCAGCAGGGTCTCCCATAGTCCAGGCCGAGCAACCAGGACAGTGTGGAAATGCTGGCATCATTCCGAGCCACTATTTAACACCCACGTTCGAGGTACGACGATATTCTCACCAGTCTGACTAGTCTTGTTGGCAACTTCTTAACTTTAGGAGAGCATGTTTTTGCAGATCGATTGAAAAGCATTCTGATTACTAGATCTATTCTGAAGGCGACATTATAATGAGCTGCAAGCTGTACGGGTTGCACGGGTTGATATCTTTGGTCGTTATTCAATGTCAGGAGCAGAGGGTGTTTCCGAAACTTGTGTCGAATCAGTCTGAGAGCACACCATGTATTCACTGTCGAAACCAGCTGGATGTAAGGCAGGTACGGCAAGCATAGCATATTGGTCAACCACCAAACCGAGACGACTCCAGGAGATTCAAGCCACTAGCTATACATTGTTCAGTCATAGTGCAGGACAAGGCTGTGACCAATCGCTTTCTGACACAAGAGACGGATATCACGGTCCGAGTGCTGTCACCTTGCCGGCTCTACTATGCTTGGGAATGCTGATAGCCGAGGGTTACTTTCAACACAACATTTGGTCCACGCTTACCAACATGTTCAAGCAAACACTGCCGTCCATGCACGTCTCCCTCCCGGCTATATCGCCGAGCAAGCTGCCTGAATGTTTTCACTCTTCTCCTCCTTGCTAGTATAGTTCACTTCTTGTATACAATCCTAACTTGAGCAAGTAAAGCTCACGTTTGACTGAATTGAAGCAACACGACTCAACTCGGCCATCATGTTCAAAAACCCACCGGCCTATGTACCAGGCGATGGAGGCATTGCACGCTTCCGAGACCAACACAAGCGGCTCGGCCGGGCGTTGTTGGGCACGGTGCTGACCGTCCAAGCCCCCATTGTTGCTATGCTAGCTGCTCAGGCGTTCGACTTCGTGATGATCGACATGGAGCACTCTCCCATGTCGGCGGAACAAATGACTCAGATGGTGCACGGCGTGGTGGCAGCCTCCAAAGGCAAATGTTCGGCCATCGTCCGCGTTCCTTCTCACGACGTCGAATGGATCAAATGGGCGTTGGACAGCGGCGCGGCAGGGATCATCATCCCAATGGTCAACAACGCGGCTGAGATGGAACGCATCATTTCCCATGCAATCTACCCTCCGAGGGGCAAACGGAGCTTTGGCCCTTTCAACGCCGCCTTTGGCAGACAGCTGCTCGGCACGCAATTCGGCACCTACTACGACATGGCCCAAGACGACGGAGTGGCAATTCTCCCCATCATCGAGTCTGCAGAAGGAATCAAGAACGCCGACGCCATCATGGCCGTGCGCGGCGTGACCGGGGCTTTCATTGGACCCTACGACCTGCGCCTGTCTCTTGGATTGCCAGGAGGGGTGGACGGTCCCGAGCCAGAGTTTACCCGGGCCCTATCGACTGTGCTTGCTGCCGCTGAGAAGCACGGAAAAGTCGTCGGCTCCATGGCGACTTCCTCGGAGATGGTGGCCACGCGGGCGGCCATGGGCATGACTTTCCTGCTCGTGACGTTGGACTATAATGTTTTGGTCGCGGGCTTTGCATCGGCGGTGGAACAGAGCAAAGAAGCATTGAAGAAAGTCGGACGTATTCCGTCGCGTCTGTAAGCAGCAAGGGAGTCTATCAAATAAAGCATGTCATTATTAGTGAGTAGACCCCAGTCAGTCGTCCGGATCGTTGTTCTCGAGGCACGGCTATTAGGAATGTCCCACAACAGATCCGTATTTTTAAACGCGTTTAAAATTTACCCCGTCTTACTAGGTCGATACTAGCTGGTCAGGCGCTTAATCGCAGTTGCTGAGCTACCACAGGGATTATGAGCATGGCTTGAAGAATGAGGGGTACAGTGTTTGAATTGCTACTACCAACAACCATGTTTGCTCTCGTCATTACCTGGCTGCTTGCTCGATGGCAAGCTGCTCCGAATTATGCATGCTGGTTGTGCTTATCGCTTCATACCAGCTATATTTGCCAATGCCGGGACCAGTGCCTATATCCCACGTCGTGCTGTTATACATAGCACTGCGTACAACGGTTGCAATTCCTCCGCTGGCTATATCGCTGTGTTTCCGAATGCGGCGTATATCTGTGGATACCGGGAGTTTGGGACCCACTGCCTCCTTTGGCGCCTGTGGAGCCTCCCATATTCCATCTTCAGGACGGGATCAGCGCAGCCAGCAACAGCTCTTTCTGCACTAGTCCCTCCATTCTCTCTTTCCATACGAGTAGATTGAACCCCACTTTACTCCTACGACGTTCAGTTGATGATATTCGAACACCAGACAAGAAGTGTTCAACTTAAGCAACCTCATGATTACGGTCAAATCGCCAAGCCTGTGGATGTGGGCGATACTCTCACACACAGCTATCAGGCGTGCGAGCGTACAACATATGTTACACGAGAGTCAGTTTCCCTACAAAGACTCACCAGTAGACTCGCACGACAACGCCATCCAACAATCACATCCATTATACCTTCCATGTCTCCCACCTCCTTCCCGTCCTGACCTATCACGATGACCACGATACGTTCGACAGCGGGGATAAACTGGAGTCAATAGATGGTCATTTTCAATTGTGCCGGTGACATTAGATTGATACGGAATACATAACCAGAGTGGTGACTAGACTCGTCGACGTGGTTCCGCAGAATTCAACCATTCAACCTCAGCGGCCCTCCCCTTCCCGTGTGGTCATGATAGTGAAGCTCATTGACGTAAACGTTCACGGGTCGCCCTCGCTCAATCTCGCCCGCGACGCTCATCATGTCGTGATTCCTCCGCACCACCAGATCTCGACTATGTCCGATATTTTGATCCCTCTGAACCTCATATTGCCGTTGCTTGTGGAAGTGATGTTTTGTGCAGATCCACAGACCAATGGCGGCCACCGCGGCGACGACGCCTGCAATGGCGCCGATGATGGCGCCGATGTTGCTGCTGTTTGAACCGCTTCCCTTGCTGGTGTCTCCGTTGCCGCCACTTCCTCCTGACGAAGTGGCGGTAGAAGATGCTTCGCCAGATGCTGAAAAGGCTGCGTTGAGGTATCGTGTCGACACTCCACCGTCGCCTGTGATGGTTGGGGTAGCCAGTATTGTTATTGGGTCAGCAGCTCTTGTGTTGCACTCCCAATGCGTGTAGAAGTAGTCGCTCCAATATAGGGAGATGGTCGCACAATACGGGGTGTCGGCATGACTGCCAAAGTTCTCGTCAGACCCTCTGGCGTCGCTCAGAAACAGGTTGTCAACCCACCAGGCTATGACTCCGACGGTAGGAGTCGCACCCTGCTCTTCCATTTCCACACATGTCGTCGGCAGGATGGTGCTGGCGCCACTTGTACATCCAAAAACGCCAGGGAATTGCCATTGGACACACCCGAACCCCGAACTGCAGGCGACAGGCGAGTCTGGAGGCTGATCAGCAATTTGGTGACCCCATGGCGACTTTAATCGCTTCATAGGTGAGGCGC